CAATAAATACAAAAATACAAAAAATACACTGAGATACAATAATATAAAATTAAAATTAACAGTATAAAATAAGTAAATAAAGAATATAGGAGGAGGAAAGAGAAGGGAGAAGAAGTTGCCCTGGCCAGATCATATATTTTAACAATTAAAATGATGTTTAAATAAAAAGGTCTTTACCTGGCGCCGAAGGACAAGGGGTGGAGCCAACATACTCAAAATACAGCCATATCAACTCCAGGCTCTTACTTCCAATAACTCAGGCTTAGAAGAGGCCTTTTGGATTTTAGCAAGGTGAAAAAATATTATATCAACAATTGGCAGGTGGGAGCCAGAGGGTGGGGACAGGAGAAGGGCCAGGTTTCAATCCCGAGTGGGAGCCATTTAGCATAATTGGGCATCCCTAGAAGAGAGGTCTAGACCTTCCATCAAGCGGCCTTTATCCTTGTTTGTGGCCATCACGGAAGACTGTGGACCTGCCTTGCACGGCCTGGTGCCGCCAGCAGGGCTGGATCACAGCTCCCAGCATCCTGCCGTATTGGCCAGGCTTTGGAGCACTGGAGTCCAAATCATCCTGAGGTCGTGCTGGGAAAGCTGCAGCAGACGCACCTTCCTCCCATTTTTTCGGCTCCGGCTCTAACAACATCCCTTCCTCCCCAGATGCTGGCGGACAGCACAGAAGCAGCCCAGGAGCTGGTGAAGAACAACCCCGGCTGGGTCTACGTGCCGCCATTTGATGAGCCTCTGATCTGGTATGAGGCCGACCAGAAGAGAGAGGGACGCCCTTTCTATTCAGGAGAGATGCACATGTTTAGAATTACTTGGCTGCAGAGCAATGGTGCCAAACTGTGAAGCGCAGGCTAAGGCATTCAGCCCTGCCAACAAACCGAGCAAAGCGGCTTTCGCCCACACCAAGAGGAAGTCTTTGGGGAAGCAGACGGCCCCAAATGGCTCATTCAGAGCCAACCCATTCACACAACGAAACAACTTGTGATTCTAGAGCTAGCCACCGGTCAACAAGCCAAACTTAACCCACAGTCAGCCGTACCCTGGCTTGTTACGTCATACGAACCCAGCCATAGTCTCATTTTGGGCGGATGAGTGTGGGGAGGCGAAGGGACAGCAGAATTTCCTATCACTTAAGGGCCTTTTGTTTTATTATTGTTTAACCACAGTTTTATTTTATAATTTGGATCCTGTGATTGTTAGCCTCCTCGAGCACCATTTGGTGGCAAGACGGGGTGCAAATCAGCTAAGCAAACGAACAAATAAAATATTCCTCCCTCTTTTTTCGTAAAGTCCTGAAAAAATATTCTTTAGGAAGAAATCAGGATATACCTCAGAAAAAAGGCAGATACGCTTCAGACATTGTTTTAGCGAAATCGGGGCTCCCCTTTACCTCTCTCCACCTGCGATGCTGACATCCCGGGCCCATGTCCCCTGCAGGGAAGGACATATGTCCCTGGTGAGAGAAATAAAGGACCAGATGGACTCCAAGCCCGGTGCGCTGGCACTCTCGGTAGGAGGCGGTGGGATGCTGTGCGGGGTGATCCGGGGCCTGCGTGAAGTGGGCTGGGGCGACGTCCCCATCATCGCGATCGAGACCAAGGGGTCCCACAGCCTCAATGCTGCCCTGATGGCTGGGAAGCTGGTGACACTTCCAAAGATGACCAGGTGAGCAAATGGTGCTGTTTTCAGCAGGGGAGGACAGGTGGCCAGGACAGGCATGCCTGGGCACTTGCCAAGGCCCCCACCTAGGCAGGGGGCCCAGTGGCAAGAGTGCCCGAGACCTCCTCTTCCTCTTCCACATTGCGGAGCGAATGCTGGAGGAAAGGGCACTCCATTCCCGAGAGCCCAGGTGGCCCATGGGCAGGTGGGGCCCCAGGAGGACTGACGTGAGCCCAGTCGGTGTGGGGCTCTGCTCTCCTGCTCAAAGCCATAAACATCAACCCGCGGAAGCCCCTGTGCTTGCATGACCGTGGGGAGTACTTGCCAAGCCGCTCCAAGTGGCTTTCCCGAGAATTGCCCTGTGCTCGGCTCATGCATTCTTTGCTGGGGATCCATGCGGAGCCGCGTGTTCCAAAGATCACGTGCTGTTGCTGAAAACAGAAAGCACATGGCCAGCTTCCCTCCGCGCGACGCTTGGCTCTGTCCGCCCTCTGACCTGGCTGCCCTAGCTCTGATTAGAGCCAGGACAGCGCCTTTCCTCTCTCCTTCCGGCTCCAGCGTTGCAACCACCCTCGGAGCAGCCACGGTGGCGGCAGAGGCCCTGAAGCTCGCACAGGAACACCCCGTCTTTTCGGTGGTCGTCACGGATCAAGAGGCAGTGAGAGCCATTGAGAAGTTCGTGGGTAGGTAGCATTTCCCTCTCCACCCGCCAAAAGCAGACAGTCTCTGGGTGCCGGGCATTATGGAGCCGGCAAGGAAGAGGGAGGTGCTGGTGGGCATGCCAAGCCCAGGCTAAAGGACCTCCAGAGGGAAAAGCTAAGCAAGGCATTCGCCAATGAGGACTGGGTACGCTCCGTGACTACAGAAAGCAGAGTGTCTCCTGGGAGAAAAATGGAAAAGCAGTGGGGAATGGGAATGGAACGGAACGTCCTGCAAACTGGCTGGCAGGGACCCTGAGACGGAGCATTGCGCGCTGCAACATTATATTGCAGCTCCTCAGCATTAGAGCTGGTTGGTGGTAGAGGCCCCTGCTTCCCTCCCAAGCTGCCACCCATTTCATCCCATCCTTCTTCAGAGGTGGCATGGATACCTCTCCTTCCCTCCATGGCTTCCCACAACAACCCGATGGGGTGGGTGAGCCTGAGCTTCGTGGCCAAACGGGTCTCTCCCGCCTTATCTGGGGAAAGACCATGCCTCACTCGAAGGCACCTGCTTTGGATGCATGAGACCCACTTCCGCCAGCAGCATCTCCAGGGCTGAGGAAAAGACTCTTGGCTGCAAGATGGAAACTCACACACTGGCCTACAACTGCCCTCAGCCCCGACCAGCAACCCCAGTGGTGAAGGACCATGGGAGTTGTAGGCTAAACGATCTGGATTCCCTAAACCAATCCTAACCCAGGCGAAACTGTACATAAAAGAGTCTCACCAAAGGACCATCCAGACCATTCCTCCGTGAACTTGTCCCATCCCATTGAAAGCCAACAAAGCCAATGGCTAATGGCACAACCTGCTGCAAGCAGGGGGCCTGGGAAAACACGAGAGATTTCTAGATTTAAAATGCAATTATGTTTCTTTGTGTTTATCGCTGTCATTGTTCTAAGATGTGTTTAGGAACATCTATTTTAATCCTGCTTTGTGCTAATTGTTCTGGGCGCCATGCATGGCTGCTGAGCAGTATATAAATTGCTACTAAACAAATAAATGACGAAACCTGGGGAGGGGAGGACGGAAGGCACAGGGGGCACACTGTGCCCCGCGGAGGTACCAGTCCTTGCACCACCATGGCCAAGCGGGATGAACACAAGCCCGAGCACAGCAACATCAGGCATCACCAGCAGACGCTTTCTCGTCCAACTGACCCCCAGCATGTTACGGCTGAGCATATTGTCTCCTCTAATAAAGGCAGTGGAATAAGGAACCAGCCAGCGCAACATTATTTCAGAAAGGTCTGAACGATGCCATTTTGATCCGTGGGCTGACAACAAGCGACCAGGAATGAGGATCGCTGTGCCGACACGCCAGTATTACAACGCGGCACAACGCCACCGGGGTTTCGACCAAACAGGTCTTCCTCAGTGGTCCAGCATTACAGGTGGAGGGCAGAGTTTCCTTTTAAAAAACAGATGCTCGTGTGTGGGAGACGTGGGGGACTACTGTATGTGCATTCTGAGAAGCCTTTGGACGTTAAATATGGGACACTGAAGATGACCGATTTGGCCAAAACGCATTCAGTATGGGTACCTTTTTGTAGCATAGAAAAGGTAGCACAGGGTAACCTTGCTCATTGGTAGCCTGGAAAGATACAGATCAAAGTAACACTGGAATTTTCAAAATCCACTTTCAGCACTTCATTTCTCTCCGCCCCATCATTTGACGTTGCCACCTTAAAACTTCAGGGGTTGTTTTGCAGGTTCTGGTGGGTACAGAGGCTTAATGATTTTTTATAAGATAAATATTTTGTATTTCTGCTCAGCTTGGGTTTTCCGGAGCATGCCGGTGCATCTTTCTTCTTAGTGGCCCTATTTCAGCTCTAATATTATTGGCCGGACGGCCTGTGTTAGACGGCGTGATGCCACTGCGGAAAGACTTGATTTTCCCCTTTCCCCTTCCCCTCCCAGGGGTTCATCTGTTCCATCTTTCCTCTGCAGATGACGAGAAGATCCTGGTGGAGCCAGCGTGTGGGGCTGCCTTGACAGCGGTCTACAGCGGGGTGGTCAAAAGGCTGCAGGCTGAAGGCAAACTGAGCCCGCGGCTGGACTCGCTGGTGGTTATTGTGTGCGGGGGAAACAACATAACGTTGGCACAGCTGCAGCACCTCAAGGAACAGCTGGGCATCGAGAGCTTTGCAGACCAAACGGAGCAGGACTTGGAGGAGGAGGAGGAGGAGGAGGAGGAGGAGGAGGAGGGCCAGCTTGCCATGGCCATGTGGGATGTCTCTTCACAAAGCAAGGGTGGAATTTTATCCCGGGCTTCTCTCCGAGCATGTTGGAAACCATGCACCTATTAAAATGTGTGGCTGCCTTGCTGTCCTGATTCTCCCATGAGCTTCGTGCCACACACAGGAGAGCAGGGCCAGACGGGTGGGAAGAAAGGGGCGTCTCACGAGTTGGCTCAGGGCACCAGCAGAGAAGGGGCAGTAGGTCACCACTCCGGCTCGAACCTGAAGCCTTTGAATTTCCATGCACTGACCAAAGTGGGGAAACAGATCTCTCCCTGGACAGCAAAATACCTGCAGGCCTTGGGGTGACCTGTCAGTGGAGGCATACAGGGGCACAATCGGAGGTATATTTAGACAGAAAAAGCTCCCACAACATGCAGCATCCCAACCCAGTGCATGCTTGGAGTTGCATTATCTTTCTGCCTAAACATGCAAACAATGGCACCCTGAACAGACTATTTCAGGATGGGGGGTCCCAGGTGATACTCCGTGACATGGCATGGGCCACAAGGTTCTGCTAGAGACCAAAGCCCTGGGCAGGCATCAGATGGGCTCCAGTTTCTCAGGAAGCAAATCCGAAAGATCAGCACCATGGAAAGTTCCAAGCAGTGCTGAGGCTGAAAGTGACAGAAAGGAGAAAGCAAGACAGACCTCTGAAATTCAGAAGTACACTGAACTGAGGGGTGTTGGCCCCACTATCCTACCGACTCTGTTCCTGGATTCTTTGCTTGCCACTGGACCTTAATTCTGATGATCCAGTTTGTTCTTCAGTTCTGGCATTCCTCAATCCTGGCTTCTTCTCCCAGTCCTTCTCGTTCCTCTCTCCTGGATCAACTCCGCTCTGCCCATGGCCATCCCTAACACCCTCTTTTAAAACAGGAGCCAACTTTTAGACACAGCAAAAGCTGGGCTGCAGGGGAAGCAAGACTGTGCCTCCTTCAAGCCGAGCTCTTTCGATTTCCCTGAATAGACAGAAATGAAGGACTTGCACTGGACGAGTCCAAATTCTTGTCCTTTGGCAGAGGGAATATAATGGTTTTCTCCCACCTCTTTCACCAGCCGGCACATTTAGAAACCTGCCACACGCACTGCTGTTCAGCTGCTGCCTAGCCACACCCTGGATGGCAGTGTGCAGTTTGGTTCTGCCCGCATTTCAGAGACTGCCAGCTGTCGTTCACACCGCCATCTATACGTGGATGGAACTGCAGCAGGGAGGGTGGAAAAGCTACTTCTAGTTGTGCAACATGTCCTCAGCATGGCAAGCTGGCCAAGAAATCAGGCTGGGATACACAAACCTCTCCTTCTCTTCGCCATCCCTTGAATTCTACTGTCACAGCCCTTCCAGCTAGTTACACATCTAGCATCTTAGGTCTGAAGACAACACCCATCCCAGCAAAGTCCTCCGAGTGTCTTTGGACCAATCACAGACTCTCAGACCAACGTACCTCACAGAGTTTGCTGTGAAGATAAAGATGGGGCTGAGGACAACCACATAAGCCACTTCGGTTTCCTTGCAAGAGGAAAAAAGGCAGGATAGAAATGCAGCAACACACTTCAAAGTGAAATAATTTTATTTGATGTATTTGCTACACCAAATAAAATTATGCTGGGGAAAAATTGAAATGATTGTGCTCCAGTTCTTGGAAACACTTATTCTGATCCAGAGGAAGTCAGCAACCCACGTTTCTCTGGATTGGGGCCACGATTTCTGCCAATATAATAACTGCAAAGCGTCCCAAGGATCTCGGCAACATACATTTAATAAAACTAAAGAGTCTGAAAGATGCTTGCCAGGACCCTCAAGTATTAAGTATTTAATTTTTAAGTATTTAAAATGAGAATGCGAGTAGCTGAAGAAACTCTGAGCGCTGTCCAGAAACACATCAAACAAGGGGGGGGGCAAGTTAGCGTAGCCATTTATTAAGATAAATCATCTTCATAAAAAAATCTTTTGATCATACAGGACAAAATTCTTCACTCAGCTGAGAGACAGCCTTTCACGCTGGTTTACTGGAGGCCAGCTTTACGCTGTCAACAGACTGATCGATTTCTTTTGGCTCCAGTTAGCGGGCGAGCAAAGAGAAGTGGAAGGAATGGGTCCCTTTAAATCGCCCTGTGCACCAAAGGCCAAAGATCGTTTTCCATGTTTCATGATTCTCATTTGGAACAGAAAACCTGCACGAACTAGAACACCGAACTGAGAACCGAGAACTCTTGCTTTCGTTCACTCACATTACGTTCCTGTGTTTGCAGGAGATGCAACCGAAGAAGTGCTTTGACACCCTACCGAGACAATTCTGGGTTTTGCTGCTGGCTAAGCGTTCCAAAGCAAGAGACAGAAACTGCGCAATGCGCATGCCTGTAAGATGCACATTGCCGGTGGATGAGCCTGTCTCATGCACACGTCTTGTGCGTTAGGTGTATGCTTGAAAGTAACTGGACCATACTGGGTAGAATTTTTCTTCAGACAAGCTCAAACAGCTTAAGGGATCAGAGCCATACTGGAGTAAATGTAGGCAAATCAGAGTCATTTTACTCTATATCTGGTGGATGGGTCCTAAAGCAATCCAAAAAGGGTCCTAAAGCAATCCATTTCTGCAGATTCCCGTCACAGTGCTGCCACAGACAGAACACAACTGTGGTCCAGGCAGAGAACCCAAGGGGTTACAAGGGGTGCAATCCAGCACCGCCCCAAGAGCCATGTTCCATTTTGGAGAAACGTTTGGGGGCCATGTGCTGCTGGTGGGGGGGGGCACAAGCACAGGCTGGGGCCAAAAGACCCCAAAGACCAGCCATCCCGTAATTCAAACAAAGCTGGGGAGGCGTTAGGTGGGGAAGAGAGGAAGGAGGAGAAATGCATGCATATGCATGTGTGCGAAAGTGTGTGTGTGAGCTTTCCAAAGGCCTTGTCTTTTATTTGTGAAAAGGGAGGACTGGGCAAGGAAGGGGTGGACCCTTGAGTCTGGGAAGAGGCCTCCTGCAGATGGCGCAAAGGGAGGCAACCGGCGGTGGCTCTCACGTGGGCCCAAAGCCTGCACCTTTCTTTCCGGATGTGCCTGGGCGGCAGGCGGAGGGCACAGGGCCTCCTGAGTCCTGGGGCTGCAGGCGGGAGATGGAGGGCCCCAGCCCTCGTGAGCCAGCCCCTCCCACTGCCTACGGTGCCAGCAATTATGCCATCGGCCAGGCAAGGCAGCCTGATCTTCTAGAACAAGATCAAAGCGTCGCCAAAGCCATGCCATGAGCAAAAGGTTTGTGGCTGGCGGAAAAGGCAGGGGGACAGAGGGCGTTCTGGGGAACCACACCCAAAAGCCCAGACGGGGACCCTGGGAAGGCCAAGCCCGGCCCCTGGACCAGAGGTTCTGCACCTCGCCCTAGGGGAAAAGTTGCCTTTTGTGATGGCCTCCTTAGCTTGTCTTTCTAGCAGACTACTGGGGGTGGGGGTGGGGGTGAGAAAAAATGCATTTCATTCATACACACGCATGAATCAAATTCTGGCTGCTGAAACTGCAGCAGCCTTTTCCCTGCATGTACTTCCAAGGCATACTTTGTGACCATAAGGACTAGAAACTTAAGACCATGAAACAAGCAACTCTGCAGAAAGCCACAATTCTCCATTAACAGAACTCTGTACCTTCTGCAGTGCTCCTGTGGAACTGCAGCGTACAAATCACCCCTATGCCATTCCTTCATTACCAACTGCTCTCACCCGTTCAAGAACTCAAAACGCAAGAGGAGGTCTTCATTTTCCCTGCGGAAGAGCCAGCTAAAGGTGCAACACATACCCACAAAGCTCTGCAGTAACAGTGATTTGGCACCCAGCCTGCAAGCCTGGTGCGACAGGAACAGTCCGATTCCGTGCGGCATCAGTCCCAGCAGACCTGGATGGGCGGGAACTGCCAAAGGTCCGGGTGGCCCATGTGGAGCAGATTGCGGTACGGGGAAGAACTCCACTGGAACGCAGGCAAGTCATCCCAGGTAGGGCCACTCGTGGCAATCAGACTAAGGTTCTTCGCCATTTCGTAGGAAGTGACCTGGGGAAAGAAGCGGCTCAGGTCAACAGCCAGAAAACAGCAGAAATGTTAACACTGAAGGCCTGGAGAACCTGGGAGAAGAGCGCCAGAGTTAAAACAGCAGATTCTCTTTCTACAGCATGGCATGGTTTTATTTCCTCCACAGATTCGGGACATATAACCATGTCTCTGTAGAAGTGACCAGAACCAAGTGCAGTGAGGATTTCTCCCACATAAACAGGTGTACGACTGCAGCCTAAACATTCGACTGGCACGAAGAAAGGCCAGCCGAGGGTGCGCTCCGCATGCGCCCAGCTCCACGGCGGCAGCTGGGTGGTGCCCAGGCTGCAGGCCTGGAGGAGGGAGAGCTCGGGTTCTGCGAGGCGCCAGCGGCAGCGGCCAAGCAGGAGCAAGGATCGCCAAAGGCCCACGTGGAGCAGAATCGGCGGCCCAACCTGAGCAAACCCACGTGACCACAGGCTGCTACCCGACACGGGGCAAAGCGTTTGTGCCACACGGCTGGCCCAGCATTCTGAATCAGACGCGCCATCACACAGGCTACGAATCCCAAGATTTGGGTTTTTAAAAAAAGGCAAGATGACCAAACACAAACATCTAGTCCTCATTACTGCGACGGGCTTGAAAACCACGTCCTAAAAGATTTAGAGAGTAGGAATGCTCACAATACGATCGCTGTGCAACCTGCACGATCATGAATGCTGTGGGAAAGGCAGATATCCTGGCTGTCGCATCCCCAGCATGACTGAGACAGACTCAGCCAAGCCACTTGAAATCAGACACCAGTTTCGCCACTAAACACACAGTCCGTGCAGGCCGGAGGCAAAAGAGTGATTTCCCAGTCTTCTAAAAAAGCTACTTTCAGCCCTCAAGCAATCTCACTCTCCACCTTCAACCTGGGAGGGTATCTCAATTTGATAAACTAAATGACCTCTATTAGCTTGTCTGCTACATGGGCTATTGTAACACTGTAAGTCCCTCTGAATGCATCTGCATGGGAAAGTCACCTATATGTTAATTTTTAAAAATTATTGTAAGTACCATCTTAACTTAAATTATCATTTATTTATTTACATATATTTATAGACCACCTATCATTTATTTTACATATATTTATAGACCACCTATAACTGCTGAGACCTGCCTCCTACCTATTTCTGCTCACTTTTCTCGGATTCCCAAATCACAGTATTTATTTATTAGATTTATCTCCTGCCTTTTTTCCTACAATGAACTCAGAGCAGTTTACATCCTCCTCCCGGCTCTGTCTTCTCTCCAACAACAACCCTACAAGGTAGGTTGGGCTGAGAAGCTGTGACTGGCCCAAAGTCACCCAATGGGCTTCATAGCTGAGTGGGGCCTAGAACCCAGGGTGCCTGAGCTCCAGACCCACGCTCTGCACCACCAACCACACCTATCTTGGTAGCTCATATTCCGTTTCAATGAAATCTATCAGGGAATTTTTCCTCCAGAGAGTCAGAAAGTGGGATGGCCAGAAGTGATGTTGGGAACTGTCCCGCCAGGGCTGAAGCCTCAACCCTTTGGAAAGCCATCTGCCCCACCTTCCTTGCTGTCCATGGGGCAGAAACAGTTTCAGGACACAGCATATGAGGACTGGAGTCCCAGATCTTTCCACTGGAGCCCTGAATCTTTTAAGATCGGGGTGTTCTTCAGCAACAGAGTCCCTCCTTTAAAGGACGCATGGAAAGGGACTTTAGGGCATGCCTAACCCGAATTGTGCATGGGGGTGGCTGGATCTTTTCACCACACAGCACTGCCCGGTGTTCGCTGCTCAGTGTTGCTGCCCCCGTTTTTATCTCTGCTCAGACACAGCACCGACAGGAATTTCTTGCTTTTCAAGAACCTGCCAAGCTTGCTCAGTCACATCCAGGCAGAGGACAAGAAAGCAACGCAAGGGGACACGCGAGAAGAAATGCGACCTTCATGTCAATGCTGCCATGCGGCCTCTGCTGCAGAGCCCCAAAGGGGTATGTGCCGTTGGCGGGGTTGAGATCAGAGCGGGCGGCAATCGCATTCTCCCCATTCTGTGGCGGATCGCAGGCCTGGCACCGGGAGAGCGGGTCCTTCGGGAAGTTGTTGAACCTGTGCAGAGACAAGGAGAAGCTCAGTGCAGGCAGCACGGTACAGATCCCATGGCAGTGAAAAATACACTTTGCAGGGCAGGGGGAAAGCCTGCTTTCTCTAGACAAGCCCACTGTGTGTCTGTGTGTGTGTGTGTGCGCGCATGCTCCCCAGGCCCAGCAGGATCTGTGTGTGGCTGCCTTCTGTGGTGAACGCTGGAACTGCAGGCAGCAGCCTTCTCCATGAAGTCCCGTCAGTCTCTGGCCGGACTCTGTCCACCCAACTGGTCCCTTGGTCCTTTAAGAGGCTGTGCGCTGGAGGTAGGAAGGCAGCTGCTTGCTGGACTTCAGAGCAGCAGCAGCAGCAGCAGCAGCAGCAGGGGGCCTTGGAATGTGAGCCAATTCCAGATGTTGAGATGAGAGAAGCAGAGGTGCTTATCTCAAGGCAGACTCCCCAGGTGCTCCCCAAAAGGTACGGCTATTGGGAGGGGGGCTTGGCAGAGGCGGGCAACCCACTTTGAGAACAGGCATGCCGGTTTCCCTAAAGCCCCTCTTCAAGGAATGGGTCTTGGCATGCTCATAAGGAGAGTCCCTGGAGGTGAAAACTCGATTGGGAACAACACATCACTCTGTACATGCTCAGAGATTCATTCTAGGTGTCTGTGTTTCTGGAAAATACTTTGGTCAGTAAAGAACGTTTTGCAAGAAAGGCGCGTGGCTTTGAATGTGTGAGGAGAGGAATCCTATAGCTCACGGCACTGTGTCGCATAGTGGTTACAGAGGGCTGGACTAGGAAAACTCCCAGCCCTCAGAGGGAAGCGCCAGCAAAGCCCGTACCTCATGAGCCGGATCATAGAGGCCACGTCGCGGACAAGAGTCTGGTTGCGCCGGAAGATCTGTGCCCGGGGGCTCTTCTCATAGGTGAACCAGTCACCGTATTTCTCCACCATCTCAGGAAGGCCGCTGGCGTTGAAGATTTCTTTAAAGTACCTGGGCACCGAGAAACAGCCATTCAAGAGATACTTGCAGCTGAAGTATTTTTTACAGGTTTGTTTTAACTGGACATGCTAGGATTGAACCCAGAAACCTTCTGCGTGCAAAGCGAGTGCTGCCCCCCTCCACTCTTTCTGTGCCCCAGTCAAGACTGCAGCAATGCACCTACAGAAGATGCTCAACAGGCTCCGATGCTTGGCCCGGGGGTGCAACCTGCCCGAGAGGGCGGGCAGAGCTACCTGCCCCAGGATAAAGGTGCCCAGTTGGCTTGGTGTTTGAAGCTCCCAGCTCCTTTAGGTGCCAATCAAGGCTGTTTCTTTATGCAAAGGCAAGCACAGAGAAAGGGAAGTGGGTGTGGCCAGATGATGTCATGGAAAGGGGAGGAGCTTCAAGAGGGGTCCCTGCCTCCTTGACATATCTAGCCCACCAGCTTGGACCAGGTTAGAGGGTCTTCCGGCTGCTTTCCCAGTCCATGCCGACCAGTAACAGCTGTCAGGGATTTCTGTCCCCAAAAATGCTGGGGACGGAAGCTGGAGCCTCTCTCTCGAAGCCATGTGCCCATCACAGAGCTCTGACTCTTTCCCAGCAGGAAATGGAGGGGGCCCGGACAACCACAGGCGAATGTCCCTGAATCCTTACGGCACATTGTAGCTCGCCCAGTAACTCTCTTGGTACAGCTCTTTGGTTTTGTCCTGTGTGATCACCATTCCCCTGGACAGAGGAGCAGAGACAGAAAGAAGCGGGTAAGATGCGAAACTGTCAAATAGCCATTAAAATCCGGAAAAAGCTAAAGCGTTGGCAAGATTAATAACTTCTCCCTGGAGCACTGAAGATAACCGACAGGCAGGAGGCAGGGACTGTCAAATTGGGACAGGGAGTGGCTACCTGTATCGGGATGCAGGGACTGCACTGAGGGAGCACGGCAGAACTGGGGGCAGGCAGCAGCCCGAGAGCAGCTTCCTGGCGCCCCCGATTCTCTTGCAGCCTGCCATTCGCCCAGGAAGCATTTAGCCAAGCAGTGCCCAGTGTCTGGAATGCTCTGGAACGTCAGACCGACCCCCACAGTTGAGGCTCAGTCTTAAACATCTTAAATATATCGTGCTGCCCCAGGCTTTCTGCAGAGTGTGACTCAGCCAGTTGACAGTACAGGGTAGACCAGGGTTTTACTGCAAGCTGATTTGTATGGTGGTGTTTTTATTGGCTCTGCTCTTCTTTTTATTATGCATCCTATATATTCCATGCTCTGATGCCTTTGTGGAAAGTGGCTTATTGTTATGCACAATAATACTGTAATAGAAAAGAATAAAAACAGTAACGAGGTGCCCAGCTTTGGACTGTCTGCAGCTTCCCCCTCAGATCCACCACCCGTGTCTGACTTGCAGGGCTCCTGCCACGACCATGCCGTGTCCAGCACTGGGATTTTGAGGGGCTCATCCACGGAACCCCTCCCTTGGCGAGCCTAGCTTCTGCCTGCCAGGGTCCCGGCTGCTCCGGCTGCTGCTCCTCTTCCTCGTCATGGCTGCCACACGCTTGCTTGGCCGGCAGAGAGAGAGGAGCAAGGGGGCTGCAGCCTCCTCCGTCTCGGCACCGGCACCTCCTGGGGCAGGGGAGAGGCAGAGGCTGACGTGGGTGCAGTGGGGGGCGGAAAGCGGAGCGCTGCAACCCAAGCATGCTTTGTGCCCAACAGTGCTACCAAAGCGGCAGAGCAAAGACCGTGCGGGCGCTTGCACTTACGGGATCTGCTCCAGGATGGTGAGCACGCCCTCCTGGAGGCCGGCCCTGCCTGGGATGAAAGCTTTGTAATCCACGATCATCCACTGGTTATTGTACCTATGCAGAAAAGCAAGATGCAGAACATTAGCAGAAGACCTGGAATCAGATGGCACTGGGAAGAGAGGCTTAGGAATCGGCAGCCCTCCGGCTCAACGCGGCCCAGAAAGGTCCCTTTTCCCGGTGACAGCCATTCACACTGCCAAGCCCTAAAACGACTGCGTGGAGGGGTCTGGCAGCTGGGCACCGGGCGGTGGGCCCACCAACACACGACTGCCTCCTCAAAATGGCCCTCGAGCAAAACGAGTGGCTGGCATTTTAAACGCGGCAGCCCCAGTGCGGCTTCTCTTGCATACGGCAGCTGAGAAAACCGCAGTTGCGCGTTGTACGTTTCTAAGTGCCCCTACCTGATGAGTTACAGGCATGGCAAAATGCACACTGCAATTGCACAGGTGTGCAACATGGGGCACTCCAGAACACCACTGCCTTAGAAGCCCAGTTTCCATAAAAAACAGCCAAGTTTCTAGCCCTTGTTACTCTGTAACCAGTGCTCCAAAATGTATGGACAGTACCACACACAGCAGGAGTGCTCGATTTGTGGTCCTTGGGATGCTTTGGCTAGAACTCCACGATTCCTCAACATGGGCTATGTTGGCTGTGGCTGATGGGAATTGTGGCCCTCCAGGCATTTTGGGTAACAAGTGGCCATCCCTGAGGTATAAGGAAGCGGTTATAGACTGCTATTCATTTCATGTACTTCGTATGGGTGCTGGACCTCGTGTTGTCCTTCCTCAATGGAGTTCAGGGCATTCTGCCTGTTAGCCCCACCGTTATCTTCAACAACGCCCCTGTGAGGTAGGGCTTGGCTCGGAGGCAGCGATCTGGCTCCCCGAGGGACAGATCTGCATTCTCGAAACCTGGCAGGCACCGGGGTCCTTCTGCACTCGCAAAGCAGCCGTGCCGCCCGCCGACTCACGTGCCGCTGTTGAACTGCTGGAAGATGGCCGCCCACTCCGCCCCGCTCTTGGCCAGCCGATTGGCCACCAGATTGCGCAGCCACTCCAGGACACTGCCTTCGGCTTGGACGTACTTCCACCGGCTGGCGTTGAGGTTCCCAATGGTGGTCTCCAGAGTTACCTGCAACGGGGAGGGGAGGCCTGAGCATGCCCCTTGCCAGGGGAACCGCAGGCCAAGCCCACCCTGGGATTCTCATTGTGCCTGGAGCCAGCCGCGGGGTCCCCTCGGGCGCAGCAGCACCCCAGGGGCATCTCCCACCACACCCACCTGGGGCACGTGCTCCCTCCACTTTCTCTTTCATGACCTTGGCCAGCTTTAAAATATGCACAAGCAACACCTGCATGTCCTGGGGTCATTTTTGTCCCCATCCCATCCCGCCCTGGGCTGCACACATGTGGCCCTGCAGGGGACCTGGGAGAGAATGAATCGCAGCTGCCAACAGAGCATCGCAATGGCAAATGCAGCCTGTTTCTAACCTGTCTTTAAGCCCACTGGAACGCTGCAGCTACAGCAGATGCAAAGGGCCATATTCAGCTCATAAACAAGGCGGTCACGGCTGCCGTTTTCCCCCACAGAAGAGGCAGCAAGGAAATGGGCTACTCACCAGGCCACTGCTCATGATGTAGAAGTCATCTCCAGAAAAGATGCGGCCAGGGTACGAGGAGAAAGCCTGCACGTACCCAAAAACCGTGCTGTCACCTGGGGAAGCCAAACGCAAGCAGCCTTCAGCGCTTGTCCAGCAAAAGACCGCTGCCTCCATTACGAAGGACGGGGCTAGGTCCATGCACCCCGGTCTTCCACCACAAAGGATCCAAGTGGAAAGGCTTGGTGGCTGCATCAGAATCCATCCCCGGGAGATGAGGACCTTTGTGTGACCCGCTCTCAGTATCCAGCAAGGCATTAAGCAGCCGGGGGTGAAAACCTGCAGGGCTTTGGTGAAGTTATGAGAACAGCCACTACTGGGAGCTGCGAAAGGCTCCCTTGGCAAGGATGTTGGCGCATCCGTTCTGCAGCAGTGACCTGGGGTAGCAGGTCCCTCTCTCACCCTGCACCTCCCAGGTGGAGAGGATCTGTGCGCACAGAAGGCCTTTAAAGCAGGGAGAGGATAAATCTCCCCCACACAATCCTTAGGATGCTAGTGTGATCCTTGGTTCTCCAAAGCACCTTAAGCACTGAGGAGCATCATCTGCCACACCAGGAAGCCCCACAGCTTTAGGGACATTGGTAAGCTTTCCAGCTGCTCGTTACCGATCGCCTCTATCCATATTTCTCCCCTGCATGTATTCAATCAATGGCTTTTCATCTCTGGGATGCCAGGGGTTTCATGGCCTCTGCCTCCTACATATCCTTGAATGTAAAGTGAAGTGCCCTGGCTGGACCAGTGCACTGGGGTTAGACAATAGCTGGAAATGATTTGGAAGATGACAGGCCTCCAGAGAGGAAGAACATCATCCACTGTCTCAGCCTAACCTACCATGCAAAGTTGCTGCAAGGAAAACAGGAGAACCATACTTGCTGTCTTGAGCAGCAGAAAGAGTCCAAGTGAAGTACAGTAATTATAGCTCATTATTGTCCATTTAGTCTTTGTTATTGTTATAAATATATTCTGCTGTTTCCCACTTGCAAGGAAACCAAGACTGGTAACAAACTTCTCTTCTTCCTTTCCATTTGATCCTACAACAACCCTGTGAAGTAGGCTAGGCTGAGAATCAGTGAATGGCCCAAAGTCACCCAGTGAGCTTCATGGCCAAGTAGGGACTAGAACCTGAAGCTCTCAGTCCGGTGCTCTAACCACTATACAAGCCTGTCTCTAACAATGATAGTGCTTGGAGTGCTCTGAACATTTCCAAAATACTACATAAAGTGATGAGATACTGTGGGATCTAAATAAGCATTTGGATATGCACCACTGTAGCTCCCCCTGCCCCCCAAATTTAAACAACCTTCCACTAAGCAGTATTGCAAGCTGCTTTTGAAAATCTCCCCGATTTAAAAAGCCATTTTGCCTGGAAGGGTTGTAGGTCACTTCTGAGAAACACAGCCCCCCCCCCCCCCTCCCCCCCCACCAGGACACACAAAAAGAATTAAGCAGTCTCTGGATCCCGGCATGACTTATTTCTCTTTTTAAGATTTCCTATGTTTGCAAACTCCTGTCAGGTTTAAGATGACGCTATTCTGAACTCCACCCCAAGCGCCAAAGTCTTTCTTCAGAACAAGGCAGAAGGGGGCTTGGCCAGCTGAGGAACCTCCTGACACGGGGGGATTAAGGGAAATCCTCGGGTCCAAGGGTCCCCTTCCACGCTGGTCCATCCTATTTCTGCCTCTTCCAACTCACTGTGGGCTGAAGTCCGGAAGGGCAAAGTGTACTTCTTGAGGATGCGCAGCATGGACTGGTAGGTGGTCCACGTGTCGTGGGAGACGAGGAGGTCCTGATTGCCAGGCAATAGCTTGATGAGGGCTGAGCACGACCCAGAGCCCAGGACACGCTGCCTGTCCGATTTGTTGAAGGCCGGCTCCAGGTCTTCCAAGTCGCCCCCCAGCTGGAACAAGCTGGCAGAGAAAAAGCGCACTGCTTGAGTGGGGTGAACAGATCCGCGTATTTCTGATTGCTTATTTAAATCAGGATCTGGACAGCCCTCTGAGTGGGACGATGTAACTTGGTGTCTTGCAACAGCAGGGGGGTGGACTCGATGGCCTTCATGGCCCCCTCCAACTCCACTATTCTATGAGTCTACAAAATGCTGCATCCTTTTTGTTTCTAAACTTGCACAAAACATGGAAAATGGTTTTGCAGCCTGGCAGATTCCACGTCTGTTGCCACTTTCTCCAAAAACCTTCTCTTGGAAAGAGATCCAGGTTTTCTTTTGGACCGGTGACGCCTTCAAGTGCCTGTATCCTCATTGCAGGATGAAGAACTGAAAAGCCCATCCTGCTGAGCTCTCAGCTCACAGAACCCAAGCTCTACAACTCAGTGAGCACACAACTGCCCCCCTTTGGAGAACAGTGATTCTGCCTTCTGCTCACCCACCCCTATTAAGCATTCCATTCCCTATACCAGGAGTGGCTGCCACGAGTCAACAGGCTGCGGCTTCTCTCATTGATAAATTCGCCACGGGAATTCTGCAGCCGGGAAGATGGGAAGGGGCCACTCCCCCTTCCATTAAGCCATGGTTTGCTGCCAAAATTCACCAACAACTGAAAAGGGAGAGAATGCCACCAATTTTCTGCTCCTACAGAATGGCGGTGCAATGGGGCCAAAGAGTGGCTTCTCCCAGTGAGTTGTGGGGGTGGAACTGGCCCCCAGAAGTTGCCCACCCTGCCCTACATTCTGGGAGAGAAACCACTTGCCAGCACTCTGCATAGGGACAATGACTGGAAATTCATTGTCATTCTGTTTCCAACAATAGAAAGAACCTTCCCGTGCAAGAAGAGCCACACTGGGTTCAAACTGGTCCATCCAGCCCAGCATTTGGTTCACAGGACAGCCATCAGCCACAGCCAACACGCAGAACATGAGTGCTACAACACCCTCCTACCCATATGCCCCAGCACAGTCGTGAGGAAAGCACGGTGCGATGAGGCTAGTAGCCACGGATGGCCTCCTCCACACCACTGCAGGCCACCCGTGGATCTTGCGGCTGTGGAGTCCACAATTTACCTCTGTGTTGAATAAAGAAAGTTTTCCCTTTATGTGTCAGAGTTTCATGGGATGGGAGAAGCCCACCGGGTTCTGGATTTACAAGAGGGAGAAAGATGCCTCTCCCGACCCTCTCCAGGCTGTGCTTCCTTCTGGATGGACGCCTCCGCGGCGTCACTCCTCACTCCAGTCACAGGCCTATCACAAAACCCCTGCAGGATCCCAGAGTGGAAGAGCAGCCAGTGCGGCTCTGTCTGCCCCATCCGCGCAGTTGCAGGCACATGTGGAGACTTATTTCGGGTGCTCTCCTGCCGGCACTTTCCCCGCCCTTCCCCTCACGCAACCAGGACTCACAGAAAGCCGAAGGGGGCGATGGAGAACTGGCCAGTGGGAAAGGCCACCTGGCCGTTGTAGCCGTCCTCGAGGCCCTTCAGCTGCAGCAGGGCGAGGCGAATCTGCAAGTTCGAGTAAACAGCACGAAAAAATCGCTCACAGACCTCGCAGCAAAGGGGAAGCGAGACCTGCCATAACTAAGACACTTTTTGCCCGCAGGAGAGAAACATTCAGACACCCTTCTTTTCCCTGTGCCCCAGTTTTCATGGGACACGGTCCAATAAGGACATCCTTCTGAAACAGGTCTTCCAGAAAAAATTGAACTGGAAAACACAAACACAGAAGCAACCCAGCAAGGATTCTGAAGCGGCCAAGTGGTCATTTGAAGCCCTTTTGAGAAGGTACATCATTTTTGTCCGGTCTTGCACATGTCCAACCAAAGAACAGTTCCTTCCATTTTGCAGTTGCCACTAGTTTGAATCCTGCCTGCAGCTGGGATGCAGAACTGTTTTCCACCTGAGAGCCAAATTCCAGTCCAGGGAACTTCCCAAGGACCTCATTCCAGTGGATGGCAGCCTGGGACAGAGCTACCAAACACATCCATATTTTAACTTAAAGCTCTCCTAGTAACTAAGCTCCATCAGAAGTGAAGTCTTAATATTCAGAAGGAGGGAAAAGCTCCACAGGAGCCAGGAAACAATACAGTGCTTGGAGGTTGGGGCTCAGGCTCATGGCAGAGGGTACTTAGCAGGCTGGATGTGGCCCAAGGACCATAGAGAATGCAGAAGCAGCACGGCTGGGACCCACAGGACAACAAAGCCCAGCTGGTCTTCCTGGGGAGAAGAGATGCATCCCCGCTGGGAGCCATTTTGCTGCAAAAGTCAGCCTGGCCGGGTTCACCCGACAAGGCTGCACATTCGAGGGAAGCACCCGATCCCATACCTGGTGCCAGTACTCAGAGCCTGGAGCCGCCTCAATCTGCTCTTGCATCCAGTCCAGGTTGGCTTCCAGGTAGTTCCTCAGCTTCTGGCAGTACTCAGTCTGGTAGCTGAAGGGGCCGCAGTAGCCCACCATGATGTTCATCCAGTGCATGTAGATGAGCTGAAAGGCACCAAGCCCAGGCGGGTTAAGGGAGCTCGCGGCCAGGCTCTTTGCAAGAACCCGGCGGCCAGAGCAGGACTCTGCAATCGACCAATGAGTTCTGTAGCAATGCTGGGCTATTCCTGCTCGGCAAGCAGCTACACACTTTCGCGGGGTATTCCCCTCACACAGACCGAGCAACAGGTAAGGGAGTTTATAAATTTCAAGACGAGGCGAACAAACCCCTCCATGCCAAACTATCCGCAACCCATCGGGCAGCAAATGAGTCTTCCCTGGGCTCCCTTGGGATGTAGCGCCCTCTTTGGGTTTATTTTTCATCCTACTGGGGGGGGGGGTGGGGGGGGAGGGGGTCTTCTAAATACATGTTTCTAAATACATGGCTCAACAGAACTGAAAAAGAAAAAGATGTTGGCGTACTTGTGAACGATAGGCTAAACATGAGCCAACAATGCGATCCAGCCACCAAAAGGGCAAAAGCTATTTTGGGGTGCATTAACAAAAGTATTACTTCCAATTCTATGATTCTACTGCAGGCTTTGGGCGGTAGACTTGGGCTTGTGGGCTTGCCACAAGCCCAATTCCCTCGCCCTGGTTTCTTGGTGGTCTTGGCTTGGCTGCAGTCTCATCAGCTCGTTTGCCCGTGAAGGGCGTGATGGTGCACTTAATGGTGTCTACTACAAATCTTGCATCAAGCAAGCTGCAGTGCAGAGATTGCACGATAGAGGAGGGGTCACCACAGGGAAAGCCCTGCCACACAGAGGAAGGGGCCAGAGGTGGGACATCGATTTCCCCAGAAACCTAAAGAAATGAGATCAGGGGCAGAGGTGAACTTGCAAATCATGCAGTGTAGAGTGGATGCATCCAAGCACCTTCCCACACCTGGTCAGACACGGCCGCTTCAGCCAGACCTGCTGCGTACGCCTGGATGCTGTCATTATACTTGTCATTGGTGGTAAGTTCCAGGAAAGCCCATCTGCAAAAGCGGGAGAGAAACAAAATAGACTCAGAAGTCCAGGGAAGGAAGGCACCTCTGTTCCTAACACTGGAACAAGGGCCAGCCAAAAGATTTCCAGACTTTTTGGAAACTCAACACCCATCATCCAGACCATGGCCATGCTAGTAAGGCCTTCTGGGACCTGAAACCAAAAACATCTGGAAGGCAACTTTCTGCCCATGCAGGCACATGAATCATAGACTAGTAGAGCTGGAAGGGGCCAGAGGGCCATCAGATCCAACCCCCTCTTCAGGGCAGGACTCCAAGTTAAACCATCCCTCTCAGGTGGCTGCCCAGTTGCTTAGGCATATTGCTGCTTAAGTCATTACAGTGGCTTTTTGTAATGCTTCAGTTTCAAGCTTCTAGTCCTCAGTATGAAAGCTTCCCACTGACTTGCTGCCTCACTCCTCATTTCAGCATCATCAGTTTATGATCAGTCCTTGAACTCTCCCTGGCCCTTTTCCATCTACAGCCAGCCCCAAAAAACCTTGGCCAGGGAAAGAAGTACCCCTATAAAATATAGGACCTAAAAGATCAGCTTTGCCCCAGCTACCAACAAGCCGGCACTTTCCCAGCTTCTGTGCGGTTTCCCCCATTCTCCTGGTCAAGGTGTCTCTCCTGACATAGTGCAGAATTTTGGCAACACCCCTTTGCCTCTGGCTCCACCCACCAGCAGAATGCGGCCCTCAAGATGAAAGCGGCTCCCATGCAATTTAGCATCATCCAGAGTTGCACCAAAGAGCATCAGCAGCAGGGTAGCGGAGAAGTCTCCTGCTCATGCAAGATCTCCATGACTCAGTGAAGATGCTATTTCCCACTCTTTACACAGGAGAAAATAAATTTAAAACAAATAAACCAGCCACCTGACACTCCTTTCAAGCCTTGGTTGGAACCAGAGCACAAGAAGCAGCTTTTCCAAATACTAGGCTGAATCCTAGGACAAGGGTAAAACTTTCGAGTTCACCAGAAGGTTATTCCTGCCCCTAGGATATTTTTAACAAGGCGTAATTGCAAAGTCTGCAAAATGATACCACCTGACATGACACTCAGTTCAGCGGGACGAAATCCTGAGTAAACAGGCATCCTCTTTGAACACAGTGGGACTGACTTCACAGTAACCCTCGGAGGGGTACCAGACTGAGAGGTATCCCTGGACATCCTCAGTTCAAAATCAGGCTGTGATCTCACAATGGAGTACAATGCTGATTTCTTTCCAGGTTGAGTCCTGCAAAGTCGGGACACCTTGCAGGGCTGTTGTAACAACTACCAAGGTGAGTTCTATGAAGTACTCTGATTGGTCCGCTTTTAAAAGATCAATAGCAGGGATGCCTGACCCCAAATCCTGCCCCAGGTCCAAAGCTGGCCCCCAGGTGGCCCCGCCCCTTCCCTGGCGACACCCCCTTTCTGCGCTGGCCGCTTTTTTCTGATTTCCTGAGGCTCTGCTTGCCAGTTTGTTCCCCATTTTGAATGACGGTCAGGAAGTCACTTGGCGCTCACACAGGCTCGTTCTGGGCCCTTTCGCTTTCAGCCCCACGCCTGGGCCTTCCCCAGTTGCCCATGCGCTGACCACTATTATGGGCTTCTTCTCAGTGAACAGCAGCCAGTTCTGGCCTCATTGGGAATCAGGGCTGGAGAGGTAGGGTTCCAGGTCCATGTGGTCAGTCAGTCACATTTGGGTCAGGATTAGCAGGGGGGTAATTAACCCAGTGGGGGTGCAGACAAGGCTGCCAAAGGGGAAGCGGTCTCTTACCCAGTACCACAGGAAGGGACAATTAGGATACGAAATTTAGTATCATGACAGGGTTCAGGCAAACGGATAACCCACTCCAGAGGTCTGAGTGGGATTTTCCTTGGGCCAGTGGACAGCCCTGAAAGACAGATTTTTCCACCCAGCTGCCCTATAAGCCATAAAGAGAATCCCCTGGCTTGCGCCTGGGTTGTGAACAGTGGGTTGCTCCTGGTTTAACAAGCCACGGTTTGTCAGCGCCACTATGTGGACAACACAATAACCCACATTCCAGCAATAAGCCATGGTTCAACAACTAGCCATACTCAACCCGTTAGCCTGGGTCATGGTGCTGTCTGAACCCGATCAAGGGGAAATCCACCAGACACATAAAGGCAACCCCTTGCCCAGAGCCATACCAAAATGGATCAGAGTCTGTGCTTACACAGGGAGCAACCCACAAGTATGTTGGCTGCCCTGTCGCAAACCACATTCTCTCCAGTGCACCTTTTGCTGTTGTCAGTTGTGAAGTCGTGTCCGACCCATCGCGACCCCATGGACAACACTCCTCCAGGCCTTCTGGTCCTCCACCATCCCCCGGAGTCCACCTAAGCTCACGCCAACTGCTTCAGTGACTCCATCCAGCCACCTCATTCTCTGCCCTCCCCTTCTTCTTTTGCCATCTATTGTTCCAGCATCAGGCTCTTCTCCAGGGAGTCCTTCCTTCTCATTAGGTGGCCAAAGTTTTTGAGCTTCATCTTCAGGATCTGGCCTTCTGAAGGGCAGTCCGGGTTGATCTCCTCTAGGAGCGCACCTTTTACTGGGCAGCAACCCCCCCCTCGGGTCGGGGAGGGGGCGACCCAGATCCCCAGCCAGCGGCCCGACCCGGAGCGCGCGGCCACCTACCCAGTCTCCCGGATCGCGTCGGTCAGGTTGGCCCAAGCGACGGCGCCGGGCGCCCAGCCGCTCACGACCTGCAGCCGCGCGGAGAGCGGGTCCAGCAGCACCGAGCAGCTGCGCGTGGGCTCCGCGCCGGCGGCGGGGAAAGGCGGCGGCGGGCCGGCCCGCAGGAGAGCCGGCAGGGAAAGCAGCAGGAACCGAAGCAGCGCCATGGAAGCAGCTCGCCGCACAGCCGCGGGCGCGTCCGGCCTCACGTGAGCCGCGGATGCGGCCGCGGGAGGCGTCCCTGCGCCTGCGGGCGCTGTTCCGGCGGCCGCCTCGCGAGGGAGCCCCGGGCCCGCGCACCGCGGCAGGGCGCGTGCGTGTGCGCGCGCCCCCGCCCGGCCGTCTGCATAGGGACTGATGGACGGACGGGCGCCGCGGCATTCACCGGCGGCTCTGCTTTCGCCGCCGCCGCCGCCGCCGCCGCCGCCGCCGCATCCCGCCCGGGCGGGCCCGCGTGCTCGTGCAGGGCCGGGAGGGAGCGGCGTCTCGGGGCGCGATTCGGCGCCCGGGTGCTCGGGACGCGCCCGCAGGGTCGAGAGAAGCGGCGCTAGGGCGCGATGCTGCGCCGGTTGGGCAGGCGGGAGTCCTACAGTTCCCAGCATGCTCCAGCCGGCTGGCGCATGCTGGGAACGGTAGGACTTCAGGCGGTCTCCAACCGGCGCAGCATCGCGTTCTGCAGCTGTCATTCTCTAGCCGTTTTCCCGGGAGGATACCCCATGAAAGGTAAAGCAGGACAAAGCATTTCTGGCTACTCAGCAGCTAGTCCATTGAATTGCATGGTCTTTATTCCTTAGGTATCCTCAGATAGAAAGCCACTAAATCGAGTGGAGCTTACTCCCAAGGAAGCATGCACAGGATTGCAGCTTAAAGCTGGACCTCCCATGTTCCGGGGAATACGGCCCACAGAAGCAGGAGAAATTACTTCTGCAGGGACGCGCATAGGTGGTGCTCTATTTGCGTGCCGGCTTTCTGCAAAGTGGAAATTGTGTCGCAGGTGAATTGTGTAAACAACAGCAAAGCATTAATATAATCAGTTTGCCTTTTCATTATCAACAACCTCCACGATTTAGTTCAAACTACATATCAGCTCTTCAATAATAGCTCAGTAACCATTTGTGTTATTTTTAAACAAATACACACTAACACACACCAAACAAAAGTTAGATACTAAAATCTAACTGTAAACAACAGCAGCTGTCAGTCCAGCAGTGAGAGTTGCAAAAATAAAATCCAGCCAGTGTTTTTGGCAGTCTCCTTCACAGCCAGGCTAGCAACCCTCCACTAATAGATATGAGTTATTGATATAAATATCTTTGTTCTGCTCCAAGAGTTTCTTGCGCTCAAGCAATAAACAAGAGAGACTTCCCTGCAAGCTTAAAATCAGAAAAAAAGGACAACACACAAGGAAAACGGACTCTGCGGGGATTGTTGGAATAGCCACATATACACTCTAATCTTGAGGGTCGAGGCTGAGGCCCAGTTCACCTGGAGCAACCCTGAAGTTCTCTTTTGCCATGGAGCCCTGATGTCAGTTCAGTGCAGAATCCCGATATAACAGACTAGACTCATTTTCATGATGCAAGCCAATGAACCTAACCCTAAAGTGTTGCCATCTGTTTTATGGCAGCCCCTTTGCAAAGCTCACACAGAGAAGTTATGACCATCAGCCTTTCTGTCTTCAGCATCCAGTCTTTAAGGTACACAATTTCTGTGCTGGGAGGCACCATTCCTATCATTGGTTAACATGATCATAACAGCAGCCTTGCTGGATCCAACCAAACAGAGCCAACAAGTCCAGATACTCTGCTTCCCATTGGCAAGCCTTCACAACACTCACACTTTCTCTTAGTCTGTCTCCTCCGCTCTGTTCTTCAAAGCTACACTGCCTCTGTATATGGAGGTTCCATACCTAGCCATTGTACCTAAACAGATGATGAAGAACCACTCTTCTGCACTGGACTAAGAAGGCCCATGTATTCCAGGTATATATTTCCAAAAATGTCAGCTAACAAGTGGGATATGTGAGAGCAGTGATCACGATTTCCTGTTAGCATACACTCAAAGCTACTCTTGCTCATGAGTAGGACCTGCAACGTACTGGTGGACTGTGGGGAAAAGAACGGACCCCTCTGGCTGGAAGTCTCAACTTATCCCTGGCAGAGCCCTTTTTCTAATTCAGCCCAAAGGCTTCAGGTTGTCCACTCATGCTTTAGACCAGACCTGGGCATCGTACGGCCCGCGGGCCACATCCGGCCCAATGGCTGACCCTGACTGGCCCGCAGGAGGTCACTGGCTAATTAAAAGTCAATGCAATATAGATCGTCGTAATACAGATACAAGCAATACAACTGCACTGCTTTTATTTTGAAGGATCTGCTAAATTGAATTGAATTTATTGCTTTTCATGTAATGTTAATGTTTTTGTGAATATTCATTAAATAGTGTTGTTCTGTGCTCCACATTTTCATTGTATCATTGTAATGTTTCATTTACTGTTTTTATAGAGATATATATTGAGCAGAGCTGTAAGTGTATTGGTCCGGCCCTTAACAACTGTCGAAGTTTCTCATGTGGCCCCACAGGAAAATTAATTGCCCACCCCTGCTTTAGACAATCAAATAGATTAAAGCTTCTGGCTTTTGAACTTTTATTTTTCCAATTGCCTTTTAATTTTGTACAATTACAGAGCATGTTCAAACTTCAATCAATGGCTATAATCAATTGCTTTGGCTGTAATCCTGTTGGCACTCGATACCTGAGTTTGCTTTTAGAGGGAGAAGTGGCTATTTCTCTAGAAACTTGTCTAATAATCCTTTTTAAAAGCTGCCTAACCTAATGGCCTCCCCCTACATCTTGTGACACGTAATTCCTCAGTGCTAACAATTGCTTCTGTCATTCCTGAATTACTGCTGGTTAGTTTCACCAAGTCACAGTGACTTTTGAGTCCTACTTCTGCAACAAAGGGAATGCATATTTTACTTCTTTCCACACCCTGTATACATTTTTTTAAAAAATATAATGCCCCTATCCTTTATTCATCGTTTTTGGTAGGAAGGACTCCAGTTGTGGTTAGCTTTACTGCTTCTGTGATTCTGATAGGACTTCCCTGCTTTTAAAACAGTCACATATCACACAAGTTAAGCACTCCCTACTTGGTGCAGGAGAAAAATAAATTCATGAATTTATTCCATATATGAGTCACCATTGCAGATGAAATTCTCATCTATAAAATAAACTGATCAATAAAAATAAACCAATGATAAAACCCAATAAAAGACTGTTTAAAGATTCTAAGCACAGGAAAAATAATTTGATTTATTTCTTTAAAGAGAAATATTCAAGAAACTAAAACATGAAGAACAGTTCTAAAAGCATCTCACTAAAAAAAAAAAAAAAAAAAAAAAAAAAAAAAAAAAAAAGTTCTAAAAGCATCACACAAAAAAAAAAAAAAAAAAGGCAGTTAAACATGATATTATGGAGTGTTTGCCTGGCACCAAAAAAGGCGAAGCAATAAGTATCAGGCTGATTTTTCTAGGGACCATGTGCCACAATTTGGGGAAATGCCACAAAATGGACCCACGCATGAATACTCACTCAGGCCGGGGGTTGGAGGCACTGAGAGCAAGGCCTGGGGGGCGATTTCAGCACATGGGCAGGATCCACAGTTGAATTTTGCTTGCTCTGTTAAATGGCAGAAAATAAATAAATGTTAACCACCCGCCCCCCCCCCCCCTTGAGGCCGTGTCTTTAATAACTCTGATGTGCGAAAGGCACACTTTTTTCTGAGGGAAAGGGCTGGTGGGCCATGGGGTCTAGGGAGAGCTGAGCCCCAACTTTCACAGCATTAGTAACAGAGCAGTAACCCCGAGTTAACTTAGCAGGACCCCTGCTTAATCCATGCTTCATTCTGACAGGATTTGGGGTGCAGGTGGAAGGAGTCGAGGCAGACGTTCCAGGCAAAAGGAGCCAAAGCAAGGCACAAGCACAGTCCAAAGGCCAGTACTAGAGTCAGAAGCAGAGTCATGGCAAGGAAGACGGTGAGGCCAGGCATGTGCATCACAACGAGGCCAAGCCATGATCGTGAGCTAGCCAAGGTCCAAGGCTAGGAAAAAACAGAGCGGGGAGCTGGTACCTGAAGCAAAACAGCCACACTAGAGCAGCCGACCAAGCAAGGCAAGGACTGGATCGGGGGAAGTCCAGCAGGATAAAGGCACTGAAAAACACAGCAGGAAGCAGGAGTCCTGCACCGATAGACAAGGTGGAACAAGACAGTGAGCCAGGAACTGGCTCTAGTGAAGGTCAGGTGAGCTGCAGGAACTGCGACACACTGCAGTGGATAGGAAGGCCCATCTTGCTGGGGCAGGAAAGCAAGGCGGGAAGTTACTCCCCAGTCCCAGGCGCTGCTGGGGTGTTCAGCCTCCCGATTCGTGCCAGCTGGGACCCCTGCTGGACAAGCTATTTGAGCTAGCTCCCGCTTCAGCGGCTGCTTTAGTTGTGTACATGTTCTTGTGTGGTGAAGTGGAGTCTGGTGTTTGTTTGGTCCAACTGTAACTCTTGCTGCTTTGGAAGCCTGCTTGGCACCCAGCTGCAGGTCTCTGCCTTGCTTCATTTCCTGCTCCTTGACTTTGGCCTGTTCTTTGCTGCTCCATGGCTCTGTTCTGTTAAGTGTTTCTGGTTCTTGACCTTGGCCTGTTCCTTGAATCGGACTCTGCCACTCACCTTGCTATTGGCTTTTAGACAGTATTCAGATTCTGTCTTCGCTTTGGTCCTGTTGACTGGATCTTGGTGTATCTGCCTTGACTTGTGCCCCATGGCCTGGGCCCTGAAAGTTGGTTTATGACCTGTGAGTTGTTCACCATGGTTTGTTATCCTGGATGGCTTCACACAGAATGATTGCCCTCATTCCTGCAAGAGCCCCAGTTCAGGAGCAACTTGCACTTGAATCTGATTTCTCAAGCTTTTCCCCCTTCGACTGGTGGCAGCTTCTCAGGAGATAGTTAGGAGAAAGCTTGCGCATGTCTCTGGGCAACTGCATCCTTCTAGCCTACTTAAAACGTCAAAAGTTGGTGCGATGGTTTAACACTGTGTCCCACTTGTGTAAACAATGTACAGCTGGAGTGGCCTGCTCATCTAGGGTGGAAGCTCGGCATGAGCAAAAGGAGAGGGCTCAGCTTGGTGGATTGGGACCCACCCTGGTAGGATGCTTGCTTTGAACCTCTCATTGCTTGAGAACTGCCACCCCTTACTCATTTCTCTTGGACCTGTCACTAAACCTCTTTTGGGAAAAATAATTTGGGAATTAGACCTTGCATCCGGTCTAATTCCATCTGAAAAACTCAACTTGGCCTCAGTCCTACATTAGTGAGCAATGTTGGGGGCCCTTTGGCAGCCCCCCCCCCCATGAATCTACCTTCTCATTAGCTGGTCGTGTCCTTCAGTGGGTGGGTTCCCATCATCTCTGCAGCCTACCATGGGCTGTGGTAAGTTATGGTAGGTTGTGGCAAGGGGTGGGGTCCTTCTGAATATGCACCCCCAAGTGGGGGGCTGCTATGGGTTATCATGTTGTCCAAGCCCAGGTAGCAGTGATGGCTTGCAACTCAATCGCACTTGTCAACAGCATGAAAAGCAGAGCTATGCTGTTTAGAGCAGCCAGGTAAGCTCCCCGTGGCGTGCTAGAGAAACATGACCATCGAGGTGCCGGGGGAATTAAGCAGGCAAGGTGCCGACCCCAGGGGTCCCAGGCAGTTGTCCACAGGTGCCAGGGCTGTTGGAATCCGTGCCCCTAAGCAGAGCGGTTCAGACGGATCAACAGCAGCAAAGCATTGATCAGTGCCAGGAGCTTGTTTGTGACACAATGAGGTCCCTTTCCCAGGAGGCAGCGCTGTCCGTGCAGAAGACACTGCCCAGGCGTGTCCTGACCGATGTCCCAAGGTGAACAATGTGGCTTTCAAGGGACAGCCGCCCCCAAGGACCCTGCCAAAGTGCGCGAGTGGACATTCCTCTTGCGTCTGCACAAGCCTTTGTCTGCCTCAGCAGAACTGCTTGAACTCCCTGATGCAACCGGCCGCGGCGGCGTGAACCCGGTGGCTGCTCTCTGCTCAGGCATGTGATTCTGGAGCACAATTTAACGAGGTGCCGCACTGACCTTTTAAGCTGTTCAGGCTCTTATGTCACCAGCCAGGTAAGGAAGCCAGCCTGCTTTCCCAGGGTGTTTTTCATCCTGCCAGGGACGGGTGCAGGACAGCCGTGGCTAGCGCAATTCGAGGGAAGGATCAAGCCCATAGGCTGGGTGGGGGGACAGAAGACCACCCTCTCTCTTTGGGTCAGCTACAGGTTGCAATGACAAGGTAAGTGTGGAATATTCCATTTTCCTAACTACTATTAAGGGGGAGGGATGTAGCATTGAAAAGGGGTCCCTCTATCTGGTGGGCTTTGCCTCCAAAACTGGGGTACAGCAGGTGAAAGCAAGTTTCAGATCCATCCCCCCAGGATCTGAAGTAGCTCTTGAGGCTCCTTCTGGATTAACTTGGGACCAAGACGGGGCTTTTCTCTATTCTAGGACACCCCCGAGTCCACCTCTAAATGCTGAAAGGAGAACTGCTTTTCGGTCACTGTGATAATGAAAATGTGAAATTCAAATGAGATGGAAGTGGTAAAGCTATTTCTGGACTCTGCCACTTCAGTCAGCTGGGGAAGGATTGCAAAACTGTGTGAGAAAGAGATTTTCACTCCTAGAAATCTAGCTCATCGGGAATAAAGCAGTCTATACCAGCATCTAGTTTATATGCTGTTGGGGGCAGTGTGGTATAGTGGTTAGAATGTTGCCCTGGCACTCAGGAAATCTGATTTCTAGTCTCCACTTAACCATGAAGCTCAATGGGTGATTTCAGACTAGTTTATGTCTCTTACTGAACCCACTCTGCAGGGTGGTTGTGAGGATAAAATAGGATTGTGTAAGCTGCTTTGGGTTCCTTGCAGGACAAAGGGGCCGGGTGGCAAATTCAGTGTCGTCAGTAAATACTTATGCGGAAGATGGAATCTTCCATCCTTCACATAAAGCCTATACGAATAGTTCAGTTTTTACTTCCTTTTCTTGCCTGTCTTTTGGGGATACTCTTTCCTGAATTCTTACAGCTGCAAGGGACTAGAAACCAGATCAGGCTATAATGCAAACTTGCCATGGAAGAAATCACATGCAACATTATATTAAGTATCCAGTTTCCTGTCCAAGGTTTTGTATGTTTAACTAGGGGGGCGGGGGGGGCAGGCGGCATCCAACAGGTTCAGCTTTCCTTGGCATTGGGAAATGAGGAAATCTTTGCCTGTTGTATAGCTGCCGAGGTGAGCGAAATTCAGGGTCCAGGAGGCTTTTAAATGAATAGCAGCCATGCGGTGCCCCCCATTTGGCTCGCTCAGTCCCTGCATTCAGCAACATGCGTGGCCACTGAATTCCACGGGGGTGACTGAGTAGGTGGTCAAGTGGGAACAGAATCCTTGCTCCTTTCTGTTCCACAGTCAGTGCAGAAATCAAGTGGGCAGTCTACAAAGAAACAGAGCGAGTCAGAAGGGGTCTCCTGGGCCATCTAGTCTGACCCCGGATCCAGCAGGCTCCACTCATGACATGCCCACCGTGTGCAAGTCCAGAAGAAGGCAGGTTGTTTTGACCAGCTTGTTAAGACTCCTGTAGCCATGGGAGGAAGGAAAGCTATCCTGCTCCAACCACCATAGAAATAGGTGCTCCTGGCAGTGCCCCAGTTGGTTTCGAAAGTTTGATGTATAATCACTATTGTGACTTAACAACTTTGCACAATATAATGGATGCTCTTAATTTTACAGTGTCCATCTGAGGCCTGTTTTGCTCCTGGGTTCCTTTAAAGCACTCTCCGGACCTCATTGGTTCCCAAATCTAGCCTTCCGATTGACTGAGGATTCTTTACTAACCTTGCTGCAGGTATTTTGTTGGTGGTAACACATGCTGTGTGGAAAGGAGGCATTTTTCTTCTGCTTTTGTACTACCAGAGTCCAGTGGGGTTATCCCATGAAACTGACTGGTGGGACATTCTGTACAGATCAAGGGAAATGCTTCTTGGCAGAAGATGTAGGTAACTTATGGAATTCAGTTCTGCAAAAGCTAATAAGGGTGCAGTTTGGATAGCTTTACAAGAGAACTGGACAACTTGAGGGAGGAGAAGGTTATTATGGTTGCTAGTCCTCATGCCTCAATGCTTCTTCTAGTACCAGGTGCTGGGGACTGTGAGGCTAAGGGCCCTCTTGTGCTCAGCCAGCCTCAAAGCAGCTGGGTGAGCTTAGTCTGGTTGTGTTGGATGCTTGCCTTCCTTCTCTACAGTAGATGGTCTCCCAACTCCAACTTACAAGGCCAAATGATTTATCTTCAACAAATTTGAACAGCTTGCCTCATTCCCCAACCCTTGGCCATCAGGGCTGGGGCTGATTTGACCCAGAATCCAACAAAGTCTACAGGTTTTCTCCCTTGACTGTAAATGCTGCATATAAAGCAACAAACAGAAATGAAAGCAAGTTAGCAATACTCAATTCCACCCCACACTGCACCAACCACAGCTTGTAATCTGACAGAGCTGAAATTCAACAGGTGGAGAATGTTTCCTAGCATGCCTTGGCTGCATTCAGTAAGATGGTGCTGTCCAGATGTTTAGAATTGTGGCTTCCATCATTCCCAGCCAACATGTTGGTGCAATTATGGATTCTGTAGTCCCGTTCAGCTGGACAGCAACTAGCTTGGGAAAAGCTGCACTTTGGTGTTCTCAGATAGTAAAGGCAGAAGCAAAGGTTCTTGAGAGATGCTCCCGGGCAATCCCTTCCTTGTTAAAACCTGACCTTTGATTTTGGTGGCTGTGTCTGTGTGTCGAGGTTTTCAGGCTGAAACCATTTACAATTATGGGTGCTCCTGGAAATCCAAAGAACACTGAAGAAGAATCCTTTCATCAACAGTCTCATGGCCATGCATTTGCATTAGGGTTTTTAAAAACGAACGTGGGCGTTTGTAATTAGCAAGCATTTGCCCTTGCAGTGGGTTGAAAGCATTTGTCAGTTCTGCAGTTAGTTAGCAAAGTACTCAGAATAGTCAAAAGTCCGATCTAGGCCAGAGCAATAATATAGCTGGGCACCAATTCTGATATTTTGTGCACAATTAATAGTGCAATCCTATGCAAGCAGAAAAGTTAGTCCCTGGAGCTTTTCTGGCTGAGTGTGTGTAGGGTTGCACCCTAAATGCACTAATGTTTGTCACATGTTCTTGCATTAAACTAAAATGGTGAAATTGGAAGCTTTCAGGTTCCCACTAGAAAACCTATCCCAGATAATCCATGCTGCTCTGTGTAGAATTACTGCTGTAGCTGCCTGCTCACTGAGAAATAAGACTTGCTTCTGTCAGAATCCCGAAATTTCAATTCGTGAGGAGGAAATCAAACTCGGGTTCGTGGGAAAGATCAAGCGTTCAGACCATCTGTGGCTTTATTGTTTGGCTCAGGTTCCCGTGGTAGACTCACGATAATGAACTACCGTGCAGGCAGAGGTAAACTCGCTGCATTTCAATACAACTACAGGGTATTTTATACGCTCCTGGTCAGGTACACAAGTACAGAGCAATTGATGACAGAATGCAGACATTGCAATAAGATTCTGAGGTCATCACATCCAGAACAGATAACGGAAGGTCAGCCAATCATACAGTGACAATGAGATTACAATATTTCTAATTGCCTGTATTGACACTTTAGTTCAGTAGCTTGAACCCATCTCCAGGTCTGCTTAGACATGTAAATTCAGGCTACTGAGAAACTATTCCTGAACTCATAAGCTCATCTAGACTCAGACCCTGAGTATGGCCAGGGCACATGAAGCCCTCTGGGCTAGCAAAAGATACTTCCCGGTAAACTGTGAATTCCAACATGGATTATTTAATCATTGTGAAGGTATATAATGTATATTTGGACTGAATGGCCTGTCTACTGTAGCTTACAGCTGAAGGTGAGAGAAAGGAGCAGGGGAGGAAAGCCATTTTAAACAGTGACTTAGCTTGGAAAGCTGGTGCTTTTGAGAAGGAGTGCAGGATTGATTTTATAACATAGAAGCAACATTTTTCTGCCAGGATTTATCCAAATTTTCCCAACACTTCTAAGTAGCTACATATGTGATTGCACTCACAGACAAAATACAAATGCCCCCAAACTTTAATACACAATTTGGTTCATCCAATAGAAATTTGGATTTTAACCAGGAAGGCTTGGATTCAAGGCCCATCTCTGTTAGTTGCGCCTTGTAAGCTCAGGTAGATCTTGTCCTTTCTCGGTCTCAGTTTCCCCTTCCTTAAATGGTTAGCATGTACAGTGAAGGGTGCAGAGTCTCTTTACCAGTGGTAAGAATGAATTACCAGGCATCGCAGGGAAGACTGAATGGCCTTGAACCCCAGCGTGTTTTTATTGGTGAGATCCCCCGGGCCCCCTGCAGTTACTTAAGGCAGCAAGCTACCAGGTACTGGTCTGCACCACCAACTACTAGCTTTTAGAACATACAAAGAGTGTTTTATAGATTCTGGGTCACATGGGCCCAGCAGCTGGGCAGTTGATGATGAAATAAGGGGATCACAGTCAGAAGAAGGTGAGGGGTCTGCAGAGGGGGCGCCATACAATGGCATTGATTGCAGGATATTAACATAACGATCACTGAAGCACAGAGATTGAGAGTCTTGGCTTGCAAATGAGGGAGACTGCAGTGCTGTTAATCTGGCAGCCTTATTGGCTCTTGCTGTTCAGCAAAGAATAGCCCTGGCAGCTTGGGCAAGCTCCGAGTTCCCACGTCTTAAAGTAACAGCACATGCCAAACAGTGACCCGGCTTGGAAATCTGGTGCTTTCTGAGAAAGGGGTGTAGATTTGATTTTATAAGACAAAGGCACATATAAGCAACCTTTTTCTACCAGGATTTATCTGAATTTTCCCAACAACGGGGAGAAACATAGAACTTGCTCAAGGGTTTGCCGGGTGGTAGCCTGAATTTGCATATGATTACTCATCGGGAGCACCCAGCCCTCACTGAAACCAGCCATGCCTGTTTTGCAGACACAGGGAGATGTTCAGCCTCCACTTCTAGAAGGCTTTGCTTGGTCATCCTGAGAAGTCCGTTTACTTATTCAGCTTGCACTGTGTTTGAGTTCCGTTTTTGCCAAAAGCTGGCCTGGGATCACTGTTAATGTTCAAGGGATGGAGGCAAAAGTACAGTAAGTAAACTCTGCAGATGTTTTGGACTCCTCCAGAGCTTCTGGTTGATGGGAGTTGTATTGTATTCTTTTAAATAGGTATGACATGGCTTGTACACTGGTACCTTGGCTCATGAACACCTCAGTTCATGACCAAATCCGGTTGTGAACAGAAATTTTAAAAAATATATCCTCAGGTCACAAACTCCGCATCGGGTGACGATCAAGGTCGTGCTCGGGGCAGGTGGGGTGGGGGGGGGAGATGGCAATGATGCCCTGTGATTTAAAAAAAAATATTACAGAACAGATTAACCTTATTTACATTGAACCTTATGGGGAAATTTGACTTGGCTCACGACCAATTAGGTCCCCGTCAGAGTCGTGAAACGGATTAAGTTTGTGAGCCGAGGTACCGCTGTATTTCTGATCATTTGCATGGTGTTGTGACTCTTAGCCAGAATGTGCTGGTTGTTGAGGCAGAATAAAAATAAATACACCAGTACATTGGAATATCTTGGGATGGCTTGAAGGTAAAACCCCACTGAAACCCACAGGATCTTCAAGTCCGAGCACCTGGGACTTTTTCTCCCCAAATCAGAATGTTATACACAACTGTATGTCCTATACTGTGTCAGGACAATATGAATTGTCATTCAGTATGAATGAATGCTTTGCCATTACTTGGCTGCTGAAAGCCCGACACTGAAAGGACAACTTTAGACTTAAGGTGGGACCTGATCTGATCAGGGAACCCTGTTTGTTTATTAAACCTGTATTCCACGCTTCTAGTCCTGTAGGACTCTTTAGGTGATTAACAGTGAAGCAACAAAATTACAGAATACCCCTGAAATGACAACTCTATAACAATGAAATGTAACAACAATAAAACAATATACCACAGTATGCAATATACAGCTGAGAGTTATGGCATGATAACTTATAACTCTAAAATTACATAACATTATTTAAAACCAAGTATTAAAATGCCTGGAAAATGTTTTTACCTGGTGCCAAAAAGACTGCTCTTGGAGGCTATTCCATAGGTGGTGTCCAACCACTGAGAAAGTTCCTTTTCTAGTTGTCATCCTCATCTCCTTGGAGGCCGACTCTTTCAGAAGAGCCCCCAAACCTGATGTTAGGGGTCTTCTAGGTATATGTGACAGGAGCAGGTGGCCCTGCAGGTATCCTGGTGCTAAGCCATTGCAAGCTTTCCTCCCCAGTACACGCTAGGTGAACACCTTTCCTGAAATGCCTTTCCCTTTCCCTAAGCTGGGGATGGAGGCGGGTGTTCTTTGAAGGGTGAAATTCCTACAACTCCCAGCATCCTCTTGCAGGAGAGTTGTAGGACAGTTTTGGTCTGCCCAGGACTGCACCCTCAGCCTCCAATTTTGCGCTGGTTTTCCTGGGAGTAAGCTCCATTGAATGCAATAGGATGCACTTCTGAGTAAACATGACTAGAAGTGCGCCTTGCTTTATATTTGCTTTATTACTGTTTACTGCCCAATAGCTGAAATGCTCTGGGTAGTTCAAAGCTGTTTACACATACACATGCATCTAAAGACAACTTTAAACCCTCAACAATTTCTATGGCCCCTTTTCTGCAGAGAAATTGTGTCCTAGGTGCATCAGGGCTAGCGAAGGCATGTTGGATGTTGCAGGGCTTTTGAAATTATCTTAAAATGCAATCCTGGGCAGGGCTGGGAGACTCCTACAACTCCCAGCATTCCCCGGACCAGCACAGCTGGCTGGGGACTGCTGGGAACTGTAGGACACTTTCTCGCCCCCTCTCGTCGCGGCAGGAGTACGGTTGCGCCCTTGTGCGAGGTGAGAGCAAGCGTGCCCCGCCACTTCTGCCGTGGCCCGGCGGGGCGCGCGGTGCCGGAGCGCGGTTCCCAGCCGGCGCGCCAGGGGCTGGAGGGCTGCCCCGGGGGGCGCTTAGAGGCTGCCGGCGCTGCCCCTTCACGCGGCGCAGGGGAGCGAGGGCCGGGGCGGGCTGTCCGCGGCCGGCGCTGGGCACGGAGGAGGGCGCAGCGGCGGCCCGGGCGCGGCTTGGGCAACCGCTGCCGTGGCGCGTCGCCGTTCCCGCGTTGCTTTTGGGAGGGGAGATCGGGGCGCGCGCGAGCCGGGCTGGCCAGCAGCAGCAGCAGCAGCAGCAGCAGGAGGGGAGGGCGGCTTCCAGCCTGAGCCGGGTGCTAGTCCTCATGAAGCTCACGGGTCGAGATCCGGGTGCTAGTCCCCAGGATGTTCGGTGGGTGACTCTGAGCCTGCCACTGACGCTTAGGCTAGTCTACCTCGCAGGGTTGCTGTGAAGATAAAATGGCAAGGAAGGGGGCCGTGTAAGCTGCTTTGGGTTCCTTGGGAACTGAAAATGGGGTAGGTTATAAATAGCAAATGCCCACCGTACTTAGGTGGCACAACTAGGATTCCAGAGCTGAGGGTCCATGCATGGTCATGGGTCTCACTGGTCGGTCACCAGCTCTCCTCCTGACCTACCTCACAAGGTTGTGGTGGACATAAAATGGGCAGGAACAGGGGATCCCATAAACCACCTTGGGTGCCTTGTAAGATGCAAGCATGGTATACTTACAAAAATAAACTTAGAACCCTTTCTTGAGATGGCCTGGTAAGCACATAACAAACCTCTCTCTTCCCCTTTCCTTGCTGCTCCGTGCTGTACACCTGCTTCTGTGGTCCTGACAGGCAGAAAAATAGCAGTGCAACTGCTTGTTGACCCTGATTTTTCAAACACCTCGGAGCATGCACAGGTTTGCGTTTCCGTAACTCTTAAATGCAGCCTCCATCAGGGCTAAAGGGGACTCAGTTCTGCACTTGCTGCTTTCCTTGTGTTCATTGTGTTGTGGGGGGGCACTGCAGGGTCCCTTGGACTTTGGCCACAGAGATGTGCCTTAATTGTGCTACTGGAAAAGGAGGGCAAACCAGGGAACTGGCTTTCGCTGCATCAGGCCAGAGGCCTAAGCTAGCCATGGAGTGTATTCTGGAATAACAGCTGTGGTGCAGTGGTTTCACAGGGCCAGAGCACCAGTCTGCATTCGCCCTCGGTTTCCCTCCGAGCTTAGCTGCAGTCTTCCCAGTAGCAGCAGGAAAAGATGCACTTTCCCAGCAAGAATGTGTTGTTTGCTTTAACGCAAAGCTGAGTGTGTCTGAGAGGCTGGATTAGTCTGGAACAGGCAGCCAAGAGTCGGGCGCTAAGCAGAATTCCTGCTTGTGGTAGAGCTGAAAATGCAAACCTGGTTTCTTGATACGACTCAAGGGGACTGAATTTTTGGACTCTGTGGGTGCAGGGGCAGGTGAGTGCCTGGGCTTCAGCATCCGTCCCTGTGTTGTACCCACCGTGTCCATCAAACCTCATGCCTGAATAAATTGGCCAGCTTTGAAGATTCCACGGGGTTGTTGGATTAGACTTGCCTATCGAGCATGGTGCTTTTACAGAACGGGTCCTGGCGCATCATAAAGGTTGCCGGATTGTGTGCAGTGGCCACCCAAAGAGGGCCACTTCTCGTATTTTTATTTGTTATATTTCTATCCCCCCTTTTTCCCTCCAAGAACTCAAATCGGCTTACATATTTCTCCTCTCAATCTTATCCTGACAACAACCCTGTGAGGTAGGTGAGGCTGTGACTGGCCCAAAGTCAGCCGGTGAGCTCCATGGCTGAATGGGGACTCGAACCCAGATCGCTGGAGTCCTAATCCTGCACTCTTAACCACTTTGCCTTGCTGCCGCTTGTGTTTTCTGACTGTTAGCAGCTGTCCAGAGTCTTAAAGTTCTTCCACATCATCTGCTACCTGCTTCTCCTGCCTGGAAATACCAGGATTCAAACAGGGCATGGCCGCAAGGCTCATGTTCCCAAGAGGGCTCCCATCCAGGCAGTGACTGGACCCCATCCTGCTTAGCTTCAGCAAGGTTGTCGCAGCACAGCCCTTCAGCTGATGCCCTGCAAGCAGATTGCGGCATGGATTTCACTGATAGAGCCTACTCTACCCTGCCCCACCTCCAGCTGTTTCAGCTAATGCATTTATGGTATTTATGGTCCTGGTATTTTGTCCTTGTTCCTCCATAAATGCACTGAATGGTATGAAGGCAATGCATTCTCCCTTGGTCCCGTGGGAGCCCGTGTTGTTGAAAAATGGATTGCTGTCCCTACATCTTTGTGGGGGTGTCGTTTTCCGTTTGTGCCAACCCACTGGTGGTGTCAAGGGTTATATAAGCTTTACCCTTCGCCAACGTTTTTCTTCGTTTGCTGAGCTTTTGCCTAGCTTGAGCAAAGATGTGGCGTCTTTATAATGGGCACAGGCAGAAGCTGGATCAAGGGCTGCTGATAGATTCGTAGAGGATTGCAGTAGATCAGCGAGGATGCCTGGCTCCCGGTAATTTTATAATAGCTAATTGCAACCATCCCTTCATCACCTGATCGGGTGGTTGTCCATTCCATAAACCTGCACTGAGGAATTGTCTGCTCAAGGGTTGATCATGGGTTGTGTGTGGGTGGTTGTTGTCTCACAGTATCGTGTCAGCTGAACCCAGGTGAGATAGCAATCCATGGGCTACAACCCACATTTTGGAACCCAGCAACAACCCATGGTTTGTAGCTAACAAGCCATAGGCTGTTGGTGCTGCTGGGTTCAAACAGCACAATAGCTCATGTTTCATTATCAGCCCCTAGCTCAACCATATTCAACCCTGAATAGGGGTTATCCTATCGTCTACAAATCTTTGTGTTGCAGTTTTCTCTCATTTGCACTAACCTGCTGGTGGCCTAAAAGATTACCTAAGTTTTTTAGTGGCCAACTATTTTCTTGACTTGCCTGTTTTTTTCTTTTTTTTGCAAAAGCCAGAAAAAAAGTTGTTTTATAGCTCTGTGTTCTGAGTGATTTGCAACACACTGGCAAGGACTTCTGACCCCAATGCTTTTACGCTAGAAAGGAACATGAAGCTAGATAACCCCTGCCCATGTCTTTCTTGGCTCGCATTCATCGGGTTCTCCCTTGGTACGGCACGCTCGTGCAGCTCGGTAGCTGCTTTGGAAGCTCCTGCCAGAATCCCTGATCTATAGCAACTCAGAAGCGGGTCTCCACTGTACACAGAGCCTCCAATTAGTGGACTGTGGCAGTCGAATAAACGAAAATATCCCAAGTAAATTGCATGTGCTCAAAGGCCATACTCTGGGTTTATAGTTCAGATGAAGTGAAAATCCCGCAGAAGTTTGTGCTTGCGGCAATTTAAAAGTTACAGATGACAAAAGGAATGTAATTCCTGTAATATTTCATTTCTCAAACAGCCAGTTGTGAATGTCCACACCCCTAAACCAAACACTTTCAAAGGGAGAACTGCACACACAGTCTTCATTGTCTCTGCCTCTTTTGTGAGGTTCTCCTAGATAAGTTTTCTCCCAACAACCTGATGGTCCCCCAGTATGCTGGACTACAACTCCCATGAACCTTAACCAGCTTTCAACAGTGCTCCTCCCCAGTCCTGTCAGTCATGGTAGTGGTGTTTATTTTAGTTAAAACTTAATAAACAACCTTGTTATTTATTGCAATATTTATGTCCTGTCTTTTCACCTGCAAGGATCATTGAACATTGTAAATAGTTTTTAAAATTCCTGGAAGGACACAGATATTTATTTTGTTGTTGTTTAAACTACTTTGTATAGTATAGTTTAAAGCACAGGGTGTTGTGCTTTAATAAAAAGATATGCAAACTGTAAACTAAAATCTGGCTTAAACACTGTGTGATAGGAAAAACTTCATGAAAGCACTGCCCAAGTAACAAACCAGAGCAAAGCTGAATAGCTGCACTGCTAAAACTAAGAGTCAACATTATGGCAATAAAGAATAGCAGCAGGTTAAATAGCCCTGTTATGTTCCCATGACACAAGAAGCTACTGTTTACATATTCAGAATAACCTGTTGCAAATTAAACCAGCGGCAGGAGACTGTGGTGATTGTGGGAACCAGGCCAATGTGTCGCGCAGTCTTGGCTTTTGCTGCTTTCAGTTTTGCATACTGTTGCTAAATTTTTGGGAGTCAAACTCGTAGAACTGCAAATCCTCATCAGTTTTCTGCCCACCTTTGATCTAAGGGCACTGATTGTCTCCGTGTGCAGGCAGAGAATACTTTTCAGTGCAGAGATGGGAGAGACAAAGGAAAAGCTATTTTTCATCATATCGTCTTTGGGTCGCTGAGAGGCACCTGTTGAATTTGGGATGATGAATGTACTAGTAGGATGCAAAATTTATTCATTCATTCTTTCAGTAGGAGGTCAGAGTTATTTAATGTATTGCTGTCCTGCCTTTTTTCTGGCAAGGAACCACAGATGGCCTTCCTTTCCATTTTATCTCCACCGCAACTCTGTGAGGTAGGATAGGTCGTGGTGTGGCTGAGAATCGGTGACTGGCCCCAAGTCACGGCACGGCTGAGTGGCGACTCCCAACTCGGATCTCCCAAGTCATCAGTTTTAACATTTTGCCCGAGTGATATATTGTAATTTTCCTTCTGAATATTTTTGGTGCTTGAGCATTGAGAAATGAAATGTCTTCACTTCCAGTTTGGAATCTTGTGACTGAAAAAATTCTACCAGAAATTAAGCATTTGCTTTTCTTATTTTGGCCATGCAGGTCTCGAAAAGGGAATTCCACGTGCCAGAACCAAAGATTCAGAAAAGAGCTCGAGCCATGATGCTTTCGCATTTTGAGTCTGTGTGCTAAGGTGAGCGATTGGGCACTTGGATCTCAGCTAGGGCTTGATTGAATGCTAAAGATTATTACCTTCAGTCATGCTGTGACATTAAGATGGTGCATCAATAAATTTAACAAATTAGTGACCTAAAGGAATCCGCATGATCCAGGTGGAAACAGCACATGGGGAGGTCAACTTCAAACAGTTCAATGTGTCTGTGCTTTATTATGTCAGACTTTTGTTTTACTCCATGCTAATTGCAGTTCCTTTGATCAGGATTGGCTTGTGGGAGATGGAGAATTTAACCCTTCTTGCTCCCTGACACATACTAGGACACATACCGTTCGCCATCTGATGTTGCAGTTGCTTCATGTTGACGCTCCCAGATACTGTGTTGATAACTGCCTTGGAGGGAGGAATTCTCAGCAAATGCTTAACCCCTTCCCTTCCTGTGTAGTCCTGTTCTTGGGGGTGTGATCATGGGTGTGCGCACCCTGCTAAGTACACAAGTCAGAGGTGTGTCTGGAAAGTTGCCCCAGAGGGAGGCTCGGTTCAGTGCTTCAGGGCATTGTGGGAATGCTCCCAAGTGCAGCTCCCCAGCCTGCAGCCAGAAGGGGAGAGGTCTGGCAGGTGGCTCTTTGGTGGTGGCCCCTCAGACCCCGAATTGCTCTCTCCTTTTCATTGGCCTGTAGAAGCACGGTCAGACTGGCCATTTTCTGGGAGGACCCTTGGCTGCTCCTGATTAGCTTCCACTCTCATTTTTTCAGCTCTGATCCGTGTTGCTAAGTATTATTGATAGGAGTTTAATGCAGTGTGCTTTATGCTATATCTGAATGAGTTTATTTTTTTAGTATGTCTTGCTAGCTAGTATAGAGATAGGCAAATCAAAAAAGAGCCTTTAATTTAACCAACTAAAGCTACTGTTTTTTCTTAAGGGAAAAAAAAAAATTTTACTCCTTATTTTACACAAAGTGGCTGGTGGGGTGGGGGGCATGTGCCCTTCATTTGGCATCCCCACCGACTCAAATATTCCCTGCACTAATTCAACTTGTTCAGCAGCTCCGATTTCCTAGAAGTAAAAACCTTAGGGAAATTCATATGTTTGAATGATTGAGTTCCTTAGAAGATTCTTATTCCAAATTTTGAGCCTTGCATGGGAATTCCAAATGAAGAACAGCAGACAATTTCAGATGAAGAGATCCAGAGAGTAGATGTTTAACAGCAACAGGAGAAATCACTGTAAATATTTGCAAAGATTCTCTGCTTCCAAATTAAATAAAATAAAGCCAACACTTTCCATCTAAAGTGCAATTCATCTGCAGAAATGGAAGTCACAGGCAGCCGGGAAGCCAGCATGCCAGGAGATGAGTGTTTACGAAAACTTCTTTTTAGGTTAACTCCAGGAAATGGTTTGAAATTCTAAGCCTCTTGATGTGGGATTCCTGAGCTGAGCAATATCCACAGGAGAAGTAGGCCTAAGGCGTTGCAAAAAATAAAAAGAAATAAAATTAATGTTGGGTATTCTGGTCAAGCATCTGAGAGAGCTACAGGTGAGAGATTATTACTTGTTAAATATGCTTATTACTGCACACAATTATTAGTAGTGTACACAGGTCAAAATATTTTTTTATTTTTATTTATTTAAATATATGCCACCTGTTTTGCTCTGGCATCTTTAGGTAGCTAACAACAGATAATTAAAATACTTTATAAAACAATAAGACCATGGCATCAATTAATATAGGATGAGGCGAAGGTGTACTTAGGCTTTTAGGAGCAAAGGGCACTTGGATTTTTAAGCTAAGCTGACTTCTCAAAGTGAACTTCTAAGAAATAACCAATGAGAAACTTTCAGCTTGCTGGCAACAGGATATCTGGCTTAAAGATTCCTCCCTCTATAAGGGCAGAGGAAATCTATTGGAGGATTTTGAAGATGTGGGCTAAGTTTGTGCATTTAAGGACGGAAGAGAAACTGGGGTGACTTCCAAAGCGCCCGTGAACCCTAAAATAAGCCATACGTTGCAGGGTGGGTTATAAGTTACTCCCGTCACTCACCTTGCCAGGTTTGCATGAATGCCTAAAGTCACCATGGTGCAGTTCGCTTTACTTCCCTGATGGGGCAGATTTCTGCAAAGAAATCGAATCAGACAGTCTTAAAGGGAATCAACCCTGACTGTTCTTTAGAAGGTCAGATACTGAAGATGAGACTCAAATACTTTGGACCTCTGGAGGAGACCACTGGAGAAGACCTTGATGCTGGGAATGATTGAAGGTGAAAGGAGAAGGGGACGGCAGAGGTTGAGGTGGCTGGATGGTGTCTCTGGGGTGGTCGGTGTGGGCTTGGGTGGACTCCGAGGGATGGTGGAGGACAGGAGAGCCTGCAGGAATGTTGCCCATGGGATTGTGAAGGGTCAGGCAAGACTTTGTGACTAAAGGACAACAACATTCCTTATCAACCCCGCCCCCCATTTTTTGAGTGGGGAAGAAGGGAAGGGATTGACAGAAAAGATGAGCCATCTCTTCTCCAAAAATAGTGCTTGTCCATTGCTCAGCTCATGGGCCTTGTGGTGACATTTAACATAGTGAACTGTGGAGACGCTAAAAATAGTGTCTTCCTCCTGCAGCTGGGGAGTCCCTTCCCTAGCAAAGGCCAAATAAGCATGAAACCTGAAACCAGCCAGGAAAAAAACAGCCAGAAATGGCAAAGTCAGAGATTCCTGCCAGAGCAACACCTATAATCTCTGGAAGTACTCCTAAGAAAAACAGAAAAGAAAGCGTTATCAGTTACTCTGTTTATTCAGCCCACAGGTCCCAAGATAAAGCGAAGGAATCTGAGAGTCTTTTCCTTCAGTCTGTCAGCTCCTCAATCCACCTTCCTCTTTCCAGTAATATTTTTTTTTTAAGTTGCGGTGGATGGACCCATTTCCAGTCTTGGCTAAGTGCCCAAAACTTGGTTCCAAATCCCTCCCAGCCAGCCTGCCATTTCTGTGTCAAGCTCCGATTTTAAACATGCACAAAAACCTGTTTTTCTCTTGAGCAAAAACATGAGCACTGATTTTTTGGTTCTCATTCTATACTTCTGATTACATGCAGCTTGGCATGCTTTCTAGCCAAGAATTGTGGTGCAAAATTCAGAGAACTGCACAAACCAAGGGAGTCTCCGCCAGCACCACCATGCAAAAGCCTCAGTTCTTCGGCGCTCAGCCTTCCTTATGGTCCAGCTTTCACAGCCATACATTGCAACTGGGAAAACCCATATCTTTTGACTATATGGACTTGATAAGGAATACTGCTCCCCAAAAGGTCAGAAAAACTGCACACAGATGTGGGCAAAGATTTTAACAAGGTTTAATCTTGCTAGGGTTGCTTTTAGTCTTGCTCAGTGTTTGTAAAAACATGGAGTAGAAAAAGAGGTTGCTGTTACCCCTCTTATATGGGCATCCATGTCTTCGAGATGCATTTTTACTTGGTGTCTTTGCTTTAGAAGGAAGTCGCAGAAGGCTTTTGTGTGTTCCGTAATAGTGGTATCTTTTACAGATAAACAGATTGTACTGAAGTGGAAGGCAGGGTCCGCAACATTTTTGGCACATTGGGGAATTTTGAGAATGGGTCAAGGGCGTTCTCTCAAAATGATTGACATGGGGGCGACTGTGTGCTTTGCCCATTCATAAAAAGGTCTTTCACAAAGCCGTTCATGTTCCCGAAGGCAAATTGGTGAGGCTAAAAGGCAAGTGACTTGTCCCAGCACTGAAATGCAAGGCAGAAGTGGGGTCTGAGCTCCAAAATGCAAAACCGCTCTTGAACCCAGATAAAGATGACACTGAAAGTCAACCCTTCCATCTATGGCACGCCCGTGTCTTAATTATTTTAGTTAGGAAATCAGGCAAAAAGTAGGACCGGCCTGGAGTCTGGTGGATGCCATGGGAGGTGTCTGTAGACGTGACGCTGGATTATTGTGGGGGTGGGGGATAGTGCAACAACAGATACCCTTTCCCGAAATGGCATTTTCTTTCCAAGGAGACTTGAGGATCATCATGGGTCCTTTGCAATAATTCAAAAACAATACTGCCCTTGGCAAAATTGCAAATTCAGAAGCATTAGTATTTCTAGAGCCATTAAGCCAGGGATACAACCGGGGCCTTTCTTCATCAGAGTTTGTTGGATTCCAGCTCCCTTCAGCTTCAGTGAGTCAGGGAAATGGGAATTGTAGCCCATCACCCAGCTTGTTACAGTACCACTTAAAACGGAGCTCAATGTTTACTTGAACAGTGGCAGTGATCGGGAAAAGAGGAACAGGGCCATCAGCATCCAATGTTATTAATTAATTCATATTTAAGTATTAAAATGTTTGGGGGTTGGGGGAAATTGGATCTTCCTTTCAAGAAAGAGCTCTGCTTTTTGGCCTGTTAGCCAAGCTTCTCTGTTTAGAATGACCTTTCTCCAGATTAATTGCCATGATTTTTAATTGAGCTGATACACTGGTACCTGTTCTCTTTTCTTTTTTCTTTTCAACCTTACAATCCTGATGTTTTCCTTTTGGCCACTCTGCAGGTTTGAGCAATTTATCTAGGGAAGCTGTTGCGAAGAATTCTCCACCTTTCTGCTAAACAGAGACCGCTTCCCCATTTCCACCAACGGCTGAAATTTGCGAAATTTCCTGGTGGTTGGAATAGGGGGCTTCTCCTGCTCCCACACAAGCGATGCCGTGACTGGCCAGCATCCTATTTCAGTGGCCGGCCTCTCTGCTTGGAGGTGGATTTCGTGGCCGGGCACAATGCAGACTCTCCGGGTGTTCGCCATAGCCTGGTTGCTGCTTGGGGAAGCCAATGCCCGGCTGTGGAATTCCAAGATCCCAGAGTCCCACCACTGGGATGGCAGAGGACAGCCCGGTGGGATCCAGGAGTCGGCCGCAAGCGTGGATGTGAGTACTGAACATTGCAGTTCCTTTCCTGCTATGAAAGGCATTTCCTTTCCGAGGCACAAGATTGCCCGATTCACGTGCTTTCTTTTGAAGTGAGCATGTGGCATTGGGCTGATAGGTATCTCTCCTACATGATGTGATTAATGCAGTTTAGTTGCTGAGCCAGTTTAGCAAGAACTCCCTTTTCTTTGGAACAGGGATTCTGCGCAGTGGTGGGGAGGCTTGGAATGCGGGTTTCTGTCACAGTCTTCTCGGTACCTTTCCCTGTGCACATGGTTTAAACTGATCTAAGAATAATACATGCTAGTACTGTAGAAACCTGTTCATTGGTTACATTTTTATATTGCCCAAATAGCTGAAACTCCCTAATATAGTGAGAATTAGAGTAAACATAACAGTAGTGCAAAGTTTTAAAATATAATACAGAATTTAAAACAGACTGCAACTAAAATTCCTGGGAAAGGGAGAAGGTTTTTGCCTGCTGCTGGGAAAAGCACCAGTGCCAGGCAAGCGTCCCAGTGGAGTCAAATGGGAACATGTTTTTTTTCTTCTTAAATGTCTGTCCCATAGTACAACTTGGGAGTAAAGATGGATCTGAAGATAGAGGTCTTTTACTTTCGTATAATGCTTTTTCTCTCCAAAGGGCCTATAACACAAAAGGCCCTTTCAACAGGGAACTGCTATTCATATTTAAGGTGTGTACTGAGCATTTTCTGCAGAGAACATGGAATGAACTAATCCCTACCAGCAGAAGCATGATGATGATGATGATGATGATGATGATGATTCTTGCCTTTTGTCCTCCTTTTGCAAGGTGCCCAAGCCATCTCACATGGCTGTCCTCCATTTTATCTTCACAACAACCCTGTGGGGTAGGCTACACCGAGAGCCAGCTATTGGTTCAAAGTCACTCGGTGAGCTTCATGAGCAAACCAGAGAATGCAACTGGAATCACTCAGGTTCCAGGCCAGCTTGCTAACCACTGCACCACACTGTCTGCCTAGATGGATCTATGAAGATGGCCTGGGTGGCGGGTGGGGGCATCCCTGCTAAAGATGATTCTTCCGGGATTTAGTTCCCTTTGCTGAAGCGTTGTTATGGCTGCATTGGATGATTTATGGGTTCGGGTGAGTTCTACAGAACTTCCCGAGGTAGTTTAATTGCTAGATAAATTCCTAGCATTTAAGGGACTTTGTCACGGGGTTCCTCGCATTTGAAGATCATGCACAAGGCGCACATCTGGCCAAAACTTGCAGGAAGGGAGCTGATCTCAGCACGGATGAGGCAACAGGGACCTCAAAATGGCACTCAAGGGGGCTGGCATTATGGGATGCTGCTGAAATAACACAGGGAACGCGTGTGTCTCAGGGAGCCATCCAGCCATTGCAACTGATGGATGAATTAGATGGACACGGCTCTTGTGTGACAAGATTTCTGAACAGCGAGCAATAAAAAAGACTCCAAATGCAGAATTAAAGCGTTCAGAATGAGATTGTATCATCTAAAGCAAGTCAGTTGGGGTAGGCGTGTCCCCCGATAGTGCCCTCCATTTCTCCTGCCCCCCCCCGGGCACACGCTCGGTTGCCTTTGAGCGTGCCCAGCTGGCCTTTCTGGAGCTGTTTTCGGGCGCTCCTTTCCCTGCTTCCGCAACCATTGGCATCCCTTCCAGCTTGCAGAGAACCTCCCTCTTGTGGTTCTCTAGAGTCAGTCTCTTCTGCCTGTCTGATCTGTCTCTCAGAGGCTGCTAAGACCACGTGCTTGCACCAGCGCTGCTCTGGTGCAGGGGTCAGAACGTTGTCCCGGGATGTGGGCGATCCGGGTTCTAGTCCCCGCTTGGCCATGAAGCTCCCTGGGTGACGTTGGGCCAGTCAGAGACACTCAGCCTGAGCTACCTCACAGGGCTGTTGTGAGGGTGACATGGAGAGGAGCGAAGCCCATGCCGCCAGCTTCCTTGGCATCCTTGCAGGAGAAGAGGCAGGGTATAAATGCGATGATGTTTTGCGTGCAGCAGGCTCAGCATATCTCCAGCAAAAAAAAAGATCAGGTAACTGGTGGGCTGAGACGTTTCCGCCTAAGACGAAAGGGGAGCCGTTGCTACGCAGGGCATTTTTGTTCTCTCAGGTGATGTTATTTTATGTGGCTTGTGTTTTTCAGCTTGGCTCAGCCTGCCAGCCTTTTGCAGCAAACCATGCCAAAAGCGTGGCAGTGCCCTAAAGAGGAATGTGCTTACGGTGCCATTTGCTTTCATAGATTCCCACCCGCGCACGTCTTAGTCTTTCAGGCCCCCCTTCCCAATCTGGTGTGTCCCTGATGTGTCAGACTGCGGCCCCTGGCTGGGAATGGTGGCACTGGCAGCCTAGCACATCTGGAGGGCGCCGGGTTGGAGAAGGCAGGTCAGGGCAAACCAGTCCACTCTGCGTTTAGACAGGGAAGGTTCTTAAGCCTGTTAAGAATGCAGTGCTAAGTTGCTCGGCAGTCGTTTTTGCATAGGATTGTAAAAAAGGAGTGGGTTGAAAATGAAAGAGGGTGCAGGATTTGGTTCTCCGGAGAGGTAACTGCGGTCATGCTGGGTATTTCTTTTATAAAGGTGCTGGTGGGTCAAGTGCAGGGACCCCCGTCATCCGTCTGTTTGAGGGGCCCTATTCTTGCAATGTGTTCGTTTTCATTTCTTTATTACAAACTAAAACAAAAAATCCATACAACGGTTGAAATATAAAATGCACTAGAAATGTTTCAATGAATAAAATGCAGCATAGTGCAAAATAATTAACAGCACTGGAATAGGGAACACCAACTTTGTAAACTAGAACCAGGTCTCTAAAAGGTCTGGGAGGAAAGAAAGGGCTTTGCCTGGTTCCAAAAAGATAACCACGTAAGAGCTAGGCAAAGCTTTTGGGAAGTTTATTCCGTAAGGGGTGCCACCACCGAGTAGACCCTTGTTCTTATCATAGCCACCTGTCTAAGTTCCTTTGGTGGAGGGAAGGAGGGTTTCTGAGGATGGCAGTTGCATGTGGGTCTTTCGAACAGAAGGTAGCGATAAGGTGATGTTACCAGAAGCCACTGATATGCAGTTCCGCCAGTGAAGACAAAATCCCATGCGCAATAAGCAGAAGCACATTCTCCAGCCATGTATCATGTTGCTATGAAGAAGCATTTGGGTAACTCTGGCTGCACAGGAATGTTGGACTACAACTCCCTTAATGCAGTGGTGTCTGGGGTTCATGGAAGTCAGCAAGATCTGGGGAACCACAGGTTCCCTATTATAAGGGATTCTCTTTGTCCAGTTGGCCAGCCAGATGCCTCTGTGAAACCCACAAAAGCAGGTTATAAAGGTGCTAGTCCTCTCCGTTTTTTCTCCTCCTCCACTGGTTTTCAGTGCATGCTGCAGCACCTCTGGGCCTGGAGGTGACCTAGCTGATCGAATGGGCAGTCCTTGACACCCAGCTATGCCACTAAAGCCACAGTCCCGTGCGTGTTTTGGTGGGGGAAAGTCCCGGAAGTGCTGGCTGGGGCATGCTAGGAGTAATCCTATATGGACGTTGTTCTTCCCCTTTATAATAATGGTACAAGGAAAGATGGCACTGAAGAAACCCTGGAGCCAGCTGGTAAATTAAAATGCTTTTGTGATCTGAGTGAGGACCCTTGTCAGTGAGCCTGTGTTGGCCTATGGCTAGACTACTGCACCATATTCCTTGTGGGGCTCCCCTTGAAGACAGTTCAGAAGCTTCGGCTTGTGTAGAATGCAGCAGCTCACCTCATAATGGGAAGAGCAATTGGGAATCCGGCGTGTTAGCCATCCAGCCTATGCCCCTGGCTCCTCTTGCAATCGGGGGCCTGGCAGAGGGCTTCCTCCCTGCAAATGGGGATGGGTGGGTCACAGCATTTTGGCTTGGCTCACGAGCCGCCTGTTGCCTACGATCTTCGCTAGCCTCTTCTGCTGACCTGTGCAAGGTGTCTGGAGAGGGCCAGGCTGTTTGATCATCCGTCCAGCTCTTTGGAGAAGCCAAGAAACCGCAGGCTGCTCTCCCAGGCAGGGCAAAGGATGCCGCCTTAATGATTTCTCATTCTGCCCCAATGTGCCGAGAAATCACATGGGTGGATCTGCCCTTCCAAGGACCTGGGTAGGGTAACTTGAGGCCCCCTCCTACAGGCCTTCGGGGCACAGGACGTTTTCAGCCCAGGGGCCTCGTCCCATTTCAGAGCAGCTGTTGGGGGCACATTGCACCGGGAGGGGGGCAGGCACAGAGGCAAAAGGGCTGAGGCCCCCGTCCCTGCATAGCATCGCCCACAGCCCTTCCTGCCGCTAAATAAGCCTTAGGAGACCCGGTGTGGCGTCGTGGTGCAGAGTGTTGCTGGACTGGGACTCCGGAGCCCTGGGCTCTAGTCCCCGCTCGGCTACAGTGCTCACAAGGTGATCTGTGGCTCCCTCTCAGGGTGGTTCCTGTGAGCTTAGAAGGAAGAAGAGAACTAGGTAAGAGGAGGAAAGGTGGGGTGTAAAATAGGGGGAAATGAGGCAAGGACCGGTGGCATTTGAGTGACTGGTGGTTGAGAAAAGGGCGAGGGGAAGGGGACTGTGGGCATTTGGGCACCCCCAGGAGCTACACCGGAAGCCCTTTTTGGAGGTTCTGCACCCCTGCTATAAATTCCTGGGGTGCTACTTAATGCAATTCCCTCTTGTGCCCGCAAATTATCTCCAGGAACCCCGTGGACTCATTCATAGTAGAAACATAGAAGCCGTAGTTAGCCCTCTAACCATAGGTCTCCCCTGTTGTAACCATAGGTTAGAGGGTTACCTGTGGTTTCTCTGTTTCTACAACAAATTAGTTTTAATTGCTGTGCACGACGCAGAGAACTTTAACTCTTGGGCCAAGAATGACCGTGAGTGGGGACAGAGATCATCTTGCCATCCACAGGGCTGGACTGCTGCAGCGGCTTGTAAGGATGCCTTTTTGAGAAACAGTCTGCTTTGAAGCAACTTGCTTGGGTGCTCTTCTCCCAGTGCCCCCTCCATCAGAAACGGGGCAGCTATGAAGCAGAGAGGGACTTTCCAGGAAAGAAGAACCCGAGCCAAAGCTGGGAAATAAGCACACTGTTGGGGGAAAGGGAACTCTGCCCGTGTTCAACAATCTTCTGTTTCTGTCCTTCAGTGCAGGGAGGTGGGGAAACAGAATCAGTCTGAACGCTGCTCCTTCATCCAGAGTAACCCGGACTGCAAGATGGATGGCGGGTTCCTAAGCTACCTCAACGGAGTCTTCTGTGTCTTCCCGGCCACTCTGCAACCTCTGGCGATAACCCTCTATGTAAGGACCAAAGTGGCAGGGCCCAAGCTGCGTCCCCACCCCCCGCCCCCCAAGTTCCCTTTGGTTGCTTGCAGGCAGGTCTTGCAATGATGAGCCTGCAATTATAAACTCCAGGAGGTTTTCAGCAGGTGCTGGGGTCTCTGTTTAAGACTGAACTTTAAACCCAGGTTTCCGCTCAGCTGCGCGGTTGTTTTCTGTATGACTGCTGCTTTTTATGCAGCAGTTGCTTTAGTGCATCTTATTACTGTATTTGTTTTTATTACGTGTGTCTCCTTGGGAGCTTCAGCTCTCATGAGAGGAATGACTGAATGAAAGGACGCTATCTGAAGGGACCCGTGCGCACCAGCAGCTCCCGCCGTGGGAGAGGGAATGCTAGATAAGGTCCCTGGTTTTTGGAAGGGCAGGGTACCCGTGTGTACATCTTGGAGGGCATGGCATTCAAGCAGCCACCCTTTCTTTTCCAGAGTGTGCTCTAGAATGGACGATATCTGTGTTTAAAAGTTTGCAGAAAGTTGTTTGCATTCTGCCACGAGAGAGACGTGATTCCTCAATCCAGTGCAAAAAAGATACGTCCTTGATTGGTTGCTGCACATATTTCTGAGCAGGCAGGAAGTTGCAGAATTTCAGATTGCTGCAATAATGGAGATATTTTGGTTTTGAGACTCTGACTGGTGAAATGAGGCCTCATTTTTGGAGACTGTTTGCTTGCGGGCTGCAGCTGGGGTTGGATGGGGTGATCTTGGGCAGGGGAGTCCTTGTTGCATTTCACCACATTTGACTCATCTTTGTTTCTTACAGGCTCTGTGGCTGCTTTACTTATTCATTATCCTCGGCGTCACTGCTGAGAAATTGTAAGTTTTTAAATTTCTGAAGTTTCGGAATTTCATTTCAGGGTTGCTTTGCTTTTTATGATATTTGTATTGTATTCTCTGGGCATTGTTGTAAATCACCCAGAGAGTTCTGGGTATGGGATTGTATAGAAGAAGAAGAAAATAATAATAATAATAATAATAATTATTATTATTATTATTATTATTATTTTGCCCCAGTTATATTTCTGAACCCACATCTTTAAGGAAAGTGACTGTATAATCTTTTCCATGCTAGGATTCAAAGAAGAGTAATCAGACGTGGGGAATCCTCCTTTCTGGCCCAAGAGCCAAATTTCATACGGGAAAAGCTTTCAGGTGGCATTCCAGTGGGGGATGGGGCAGAAAGCCAAGTGGGTGGGCCCAAAGTCAAGGGACAGATCCAGAAATCCTGGCGTCTCGTAGCTTAAAGTGATTGCAGCCGGTAACATGACCTTAGAGGCATTTCAGATTCTCGGAAGAGAGAAAATCTGTGCACAAGCAGAGAAAGTCCTGGCTGGTTGGGGAAGGGGCGGGGCTAGAGGAAGGGGGTGTGGCCAGTGGGGGACTAGCAGGCTGACTTTGTCTCTCAGCCTTGAGGTCCTGCGCCCTGATCTATAAATAGGGGAGGTGGGAGGAGAAGTGCCATTTTTGAACACTTCGGTGTGCCAGGGAAAAGTGTCTTCCAAGTCCTGGGTGTGATGCATACCTCCAGAGGCTGTTGGACTGTAACACCCATGATCCCTCCCCACTGGCCATGTTCTCTGGGGCTTATGGGAGTTGTGGGCAAAAACATTTGGGTGGGGGCACTCATTTCCCCCTCCTAGTTGCTGTCAGCTGTTGTTGCCACCTATTTTCCATGTTTTGCATCAGAAAGTAGAGATTCCCCACCCGATCGGTGATCTTGGCCTTGGGCGGCATTTCTGTTTTTGCTTTCCCATCCGCTGAGCGAGAAAGCCGCCTGCAGGGAGCGGAATTGACTTGGGGGCGCTGCAGCGGGGGCATCGCAGGAGAAATAACTACCTGCCTTTCTCTCTTCGAAGCTTCTGTCCTAATTTATCGGCCATCTCCACCAAGCTGAAGTTGTCGCACAACGTGGCAGTATCCTTGCATGAATGTGTTCCCGGTGCGGTGCGGAGGTGTCGGGCAGGCTCAGTGTGGAATCTCCCACATCTGTCCAAACGCTGTCCAGAAACAAACCGGGGAAGTGAGATTGCATAGGACTCTAGCCGGGAACATAGAAACAGAGCGAGTCAGAAGGGGCCTCCCCGGGCCATCTAGTCTGACCTTCAGCACCAGCCGGCTCCACTCACGACATGCCCACCATGTGGACGTCCAGCCTATCCTTGAACACCCGCACCGATGGGGCCTCAGCGACCTCTCATGGAAGCCCATTCCACGCCCTCGGGGTCCTGACTGTCAGGAAGTGCTTCCTGGCATCCAAATGGAACCTGGGTTCCTTGAGCTTTGCTCCATTGGAGCGTGTCCTGCCTTCCTCTGCAGCGGAGAACAGGTCTCTACCCATCTCCGTGTGACATCCCCTCACATCCCTGTATGTCACCAACAGATTCCCTCTGAGTCTCCTCTTCTCCAGGCTGAAGAAACCCAGTTCCCCCAGTCTCGCCTCATACGGCTTCCCCTGCAAACCGGCCACCAACCTTGTGGCCCTACGCTGCACTGACTCCAACCTGGCGAAATCCTTTCTGTAATGAGGGGCCCAAACCTGAGCACAATACTCCAGTTGCGGGCGCACCAGAGTCATGTAGAGTGGCAGTAATACCTCTCTTGATCTAGAAGCCACACTTCTGGCTATGCAACCAAGGGTGGCATTCGCCCTCTTGACCACCGCATCACACTGCTGACTCATGTTCAGCCTGCAGTCTAAACCTCCAGCCACTCATCGCTGAGCAGTTTTGCAGAGCAGTCCGGCCCCCCAAAGCTAAGCCTCTGATTTCTGAGGCTCTGTGCCAACCTACCAAAGCTGGGGAGGCTGGGTTTCCTGTATTGTTCCTCTGCTCATGGATGGAGTGGGAATACTTGCCCCTGCCAAGGGCTGTGGGTGGGAGGGAATAATTCACAAATGCTTCCAGAAACAGGGACATGATTGAAGGCTGAGAGGGCATCAGATGTATCGGCTCCATAATGCCCCTTTTGGCTCATTGCCAGCCCAATTTCGCTCCTTCCTGAGTTTGGTGTTCTGGCCTTGAGAAGAGGCTTCCACAGTGTCTGAAAGGAGCTTTGCATGGATTTAAACTAATAGGAAGCTCTTTCTGCAAGTGCAAGTTCTTCTATAGCACAGATGGCAACCTCCACGCTCAAGAAGAAAGTCTCAGCAAGTTTGGTGGGGGATGTAAAAAGTTTTCAGAAATACCAAAAAGCTTTTGGAAAATGTCCCAGTCAAGGGAAGGCACCACCACCAGCACCGCCTGCTTAGAGGCCATGGAATAACTGACTCACTGTTGTGGGGAAAAGATGAGTGGGAGAACAAAGAGGACTAGAAACTTGTTTCCTCTAAAACGAAATTCTCGGGCAGCTGAAGGCAGGGCCCTGTGCTGGTGGTTTGAGTGGGTGGAATTTACATGGCTCCTCATGAAGCAGTGCTTTCCGTGCTGTCTAAACGTGTGTTTGGCTGCAAGGAACCACGGCCCTGGGCTGGCTCTCAGCTACCTGTGTCTCAGTGGGATTCAAGAGACCGTCATGAAGAGGCTCCGGAAGGAAAGCGGCCACTTTGTTTTCCTTAGCATTCTCCCCCATGGTGTTACCTTTCTGGCCTTCGGGAACGGCGCGCCAGATGTTTTCAGCGCCGTGGTAGCATTCTCCGATCCACGGACAGCCGGCCTTGCCATCGGGGCTCTCTTTGGTACGGCAAGTGAAACCTGCAGTGTGCATTCCACCCCTGTTCCTTGCTTGAGCCTGGTGCTTTGTTCTGCTCTTTTGCTCCCTGGCTTTCTGTTGGGATTAGTTGGGGGAGAATTTTTGCATTCCGGTGCAAACGGGCCTTCTTTGCACTTTGGGAATGTTTCCTCAAGCTGAAATGCCATTATCTTTGCTGTTGGCACTTTTCCAATGCTTGATCTGTGCTCTTGTCACAAAAAGACAAACTGACAATGCATTTTTGCTTCCCAAATTTGGAAAAGTGCACATGATGAATCATTGCACTTCAGTTCCAGGCCAAAATGTGGACTCTTGGTGTTTTGTTTCTGTTGTTTCATGGGGGAATAGAAATGGAAATGGGATGGAAGGAGCTTTAGAGGAATGAGGCTTTCTGGTAGGAGAGTCCTCTACAGTTGAGGCATCACCACCCCAAAATCTCAGGTACCTTTCAAATCTCACAAAAGGGGGAGAAGGGCAGTGAGGCGAATCTGGACTGATGGGTCCCCCTTAGGTTCTCTCAGTCCTGCCCCAAGGCAAAAAGAAAGCCGTTGAGTTCTGGTATTCCCCGTCGAGCTCATTCCTGCCACCTCTTTCAGTTTCTCACTGCGAATGTGTATACCCGTGGTGCAATCAGGACGTTTCAGACTTCGTAGCTTTCTGCCCCCGCTCCTCTTTGGATAGCAACATGCATTACTTTGTCATGTGGCATGCCCCCCCCCACACCGCTCTGTTGGGGGGCCTTCACTGTGCTGAGTAGGGGCCCAGACCATCTGCCCCAAGCGCCGGCTCTTATGGCGCCACTACTGTGCAAGCTGGGCCCCAGGACTGGGGCAGCCCTCCTGCTGTGCATTGCCGTAAGCCAGGCCGCCTCGTGGAGCATCACTTGGCCTGTGCCAAGAACCATCTTCCACGTCTCCCTGGAGACGTTGGTGCGAGCCCGTGCGGCTGGCAAGAAAGTTCGTTTATTGTTCGCCTCGTCTGCATGCTGCCCCACAGCCAGAGGCTCTCTGGGCAACTCACAGTGCAATATAAAAAGTACAAATAACAATAACAACCAAAACCATAAAACATAATAAGATTAAAATACAATGTAACTACAACTGTATAAACAGAACAGGAGGAAATATAAGTGCAATATAACCAATAACAATGACCAGAAAAGCAATAAACCAGCAGCAGACCGATTGTCCAATCTAACAACAGATACTAAATTAAAAAGTCTTGTCCTGTGCTGAAAGCAAGCTAAAGTGGGTGCCCGTCGTGAGGTGAGACGACAGAGAAGGCCCTTTGCCTGCACCTGCTCTGGGGCTTACCTGTCCACTCCTCTTCCAGGTGCCGGCATCTTCGTCACAACCATGGTCGCGGGCGGCATAGCCCTGGTGAGGCCGTTCACTGCGGCGTCCAGGCCGTTCCTCAGGGATGCCGTCTTCTACATGGTGGCCGTGTTCCTGACGTTCGTGGCGCTGTATTTTGAACAGGTCACGCTAGCAGAAAGCCTGAGTGAGTGTCCCCGTGGCAGGCGCCCGGGTCGTATGTTCTCGGGGGACGAGGTGACGTCAGTGGGTCCCCCTTTCCGTGCCCACCTCGCCCCTTGTGTGTTGCGTTCCCAAGGTTTCCTGGTACCAGCAATGAATGGGATCGGTGGTTTTCTACTGCTGGTCCGTGGACCGGTGCTGGTCTGCGGAAGATTTCCTGCCAGTCTCTGGGGGCCACATCCTGCTCGCCACAGACCAGCCCAGGGGCCGGCTGTGCCCCACCACCTCTTCCTCAGTTGGCATCGAGTTCTCGGGTGCCCCGGTGCCACTGGGGGAGTGGGGGCGGGCAGAGATTGGAGAGTCAGCTCGGTGGAGCTGGATGGGAACCACACCACACCAAATTCAGGATTTTGTTCCATGGTAGCATTTTTGTTGCTCGGTTTCTGGTTGTTTGGGGGAATTTTCGTCTTTTTGGTATTGTGTTTGGAAACTAACACCCAGAATGCTGTATTGTGTGTGGTGGTGTTTGTTTCTGCCTCAGTGGTCCCTGAGGCAGGTTTCCTGTTTTCGCTGGTCCCCAGCTGTGGAAAGGTTGAAAACCACTGAACTGGAGGACTGACTTTATTATGCTGTTGTAAACTGCACCGAGAGCTTTGAATGTTTGTTGGTGCAGACATAAAACTAGTTCTAATAAGTAATCCCGACTCATCCCCTCTTTCGAAGGACCTAAGCTGGCCTACGTGGTCCTCCTTTTCTCAGTTTTATCCTCACAACAGTGCTGTGGAGTAAGACACCCAGTGAGCTTCAGGACTGAGCAGGGAAACACGCCACCCTGAATCCTGTGCTTCCTGTTCTTCCTCACAACAGACCTGTGAGGTAGGCTAGGCTGACAGTCAGCAGCTGTCGATTTTCCACCAAAAAACAAGCAGGAGTTTTGTGGTTTACGGCACAAAACTCCTACCAAGATTTCAGAAGATCACCTTTAGCTTGCCTTCTAGCTCGACCATTTATTGTTTATTTTTGTTTTGCTGGCATGAATTTGGCAGGCGAGGGGGCTATATGGCCTGTGAACATGCTACTGATAGGCATTTCCCAAATACTGTGCACCTTCGAAAAAACCTGTGAAGTAGAGCATTTAGCCTTTTTGGACAGCAACTGGGGCTCCCCGTTAGAAAGAATAATTCTGACCTGATGCTATGAGCTGCTTGTGCTCCTGCATTAATTGCCCACAATCCTCAGAAGTGTTACTGGGCCAAAGGATTGTGGGAAAATAAAATGGAGGCTAAAGCAGGTTGCTTGTAGCGTGACTTCGAGCAATGTGGCCAAGTCAGGAATACGGCTCTGCAAGGAGACCTCTGTTCTGGAGCAGCTCAACATCTAAGCCAAGAACAGGTGTGGAAAAGATGTGCTTTTTGGCCCATGAGCTGTGGCAAGCCTGGCGACCGTTGGGCCATCCATTTTAGGGCAGCTCTCGGATCCCAATAGAAATGTGAAAGCTTGGGTTGGGAAACAGCAGAAAACCAGGGGCCAAACTTCCGCCTGTTGTTTTCTTCCTGTGAGCTTTTGGAGAAGGCTGTGGGGAAAGTCACCTGGGTTCACGAACTTTTCCGGGGTTTTCCTAGTGAGGGTGAGTGCCGTTGTCCGTAGGCTTGGAAGCTGTGGGGCTTGATCCACAGCATCATGTAGGAAATTAAGCTTTTCCCCACTCCTGGCATGCCTGCTGCTCAGTTGCCCGCGTCACCCACACGGAGCGCAGCTTTCTGGCTTGCCTGCACCTAGCACGGTGCATCCCCCCAAACCACCCCAGAACCTTACAGCAAGCCATGGTTTCTGGGGTGGAGGAGTTGCCTTCCCCACGCACTTCTCTGGGCTCAGACTCCATCGAGAGCCTTGCACCATCAGGATCATCGTGCAAGACATGCAGCGTGCAAGAGCTTGGGCCTTTCTCACTTCCTTTCCTGCAGATCATCCAAACAGTACCCATGTGGCTGGAGCAACATTCATAAATGCAGATGTTTCGGCCTACAGCACCCATCTTCCCCCACCATTGGTGGTTCTGGCCCAGGTTGATAGGAACTGTGGCCCTCCAGACACTTCAACCTACGGGTTATCCCTTCTGCTTCGGTGGACATATTTGCATTTGCAGGCAAGGTGTGCAGTGGGGGGCATGGGCTCTCCTGAAGGAACCTCTCCCCCTCCGCAGGTTACCTGGGCCTCTACATCTTCTATGTCCTGACGGTTGTGGTCTCCACCTGGCTGCACAAGAGGCAGCGGCAGGAGAGGCTGGCCCCTCCCAGTCCTGGGGAACCAGGTAAGGCAGGAACTCGGAGGAATTTATTTATCAGATTTATATCCCCCTTTTTTTATAACTCAAAGTGGCTTTATTTATTTATTTATTTATTTATTTATTTATTTATTAATTAAAAGCTTTTCTGTCCCATCCCCTGCGGAACGACTCAGGACAGCTTACAATAAATACGTAGAACAAAACAAACCCTCAGCGTCCGACCATTAATATACTAAAGCCCCAACTAAAATCAATTAAACATTAACACATAATGGGAAAATAAAAAGGGTTTTGCCTGATGCAGAAAAGAATATAACATTGCACCAGGCGAGCCTCTCTGGGGAGCATATTCCATAGTCAGGGCACCACCACAGAGAAGGCCCTCCTCCGGGTAGCCACCCTCCTGATCTCCTTCAAGGAGGGCTCCCGGAGCAGGACCTCTGCCTCAGATCTCAAGGGGCGGGAGGGCACATAGGGAAGGAGGCGCTCCTGCAGGTATCCCGGTCCCAAGCCATTTAGGGCTTTACAGGTCATCACCAGGCCAGACTTCAGTTGGCAGCCAGTGTAACCGATAGAGGACCAGCTTACATACGTCTCCTCATCCTGCTCTGTCTCAATCCTCAACCACAACCCTGTGAGGTAGGCTGGGCTGAGAGTCTGACTGGCCCAGAGCCACCCAGTTGGCTCCAAGTCCCAGATCCAGTCCCAGCCTGGCTGCTGCTTAAGGGTGCAATCCTGTGCAGACTCCGATGGGGAAAAGTCCTGCAGTTCCCTGCAGTGGCTGGGGAAAACGCTGGAAACAAGATGACGTGTGTGGGATTTTGCTTAAAGCTCCAAGCTTAGGACAGCCTTTTACAATGGAACAGGAGTTAAGAGAACACCCACCGGCTGTGAGCAGAAGGCGGCCATCACCCTCTGGGATCCCCCCATGCCTACATCCCCACCCCCCAGCCTTACACACAGTCCACCCCTTTCAAACGTGCTCCAACCCACACCCAGCCAAGTCGTTCAGGCTCTTGGGAGGTTTGTGTCACCAAACCCAACATTGCCGACTTCTCGATATTTGTCTTTCTGCAGAGCTTCCGACTGACTCTGATGACGGAGATGCATCAAGCACCGGCCGAGGGGACTACGGTGCGTCTGGTCGCTGGCTGTTGCGTGGGCTGAAAGCTCTGGAGCTTTGCCGTAAATGGATGCGCATTTCGGTTTCCAGAGCTCCCACCATTGCAGCTCCCAGATGAGTTATTCATGATTCATTTTCGTATTTAATGAGGAGGACGAATCTGAGAATAGCTCATGTGCTTCTTTCCTTCCCTATGTGGGTCTCCCTTGTATTCTTGTGAGAACCGTGTGAGAGAAGGCAGAGAGAAATAAAATCAGTTTCCCACAACCTGGGCCCTCCCTGATATTCTTGGCTGGCTGGAGATCGTAGTCCCATCAGTTCTGGAGGGTACCAGGCTGGAAAAAGCTGCAGGGGACAGAGCAAAGCCACCCGCTGATACTACTGCGAGGAATGACTTGGCCGCATGTGAAATTCTGGGGTCAGGAATGGTAAAGTCACCTCTCTCTAGCAAACTAGCTTTAGCTAAACCTGCAGTGTGCCGCTGGGGACACTTTCCTGGTCTACTCGGTGGAGCTTGGAGGGCCTCCAGGAATGGAGCCAGGGGGCTCTGGCAGGCAGGCACGGGGTGGGAACTCGGGAAACTCCGTCAGCCTCGTTTCAGACTTGCTTTTCCCCTCTGGTGTTCTGCAGGGGAAGAATACCAACTCTTGCTGCCATCACAGGAGAGTACGCTGCAGATCCTGACACATTCCATGAATCCGCTGGATTACAGGAAGTGGAGGAGGAAGTCCTGTCACTGGAGGATGCTCAAAGCTTGCAAGGTATTTTATCTGTTCTGATTCTGTTTATTCTGAAATTCGTATCCCACCATTTCCCCTCTTCTTCCAAGGAGCCCAAAGAGGGTCACACCTGCCTTCTCCTCTTCCTTTTACCTGCCAAACACCCCTGTGAGGTTGGTCAGACTGAGAGGCAGCAGCTGGCCCCGAGTGGGTTTCATGGCAGAGTGGGGGCTACAACCCAGGTCTCTCCAGTCCTGTGTGGTAACCAGTGCCGCCTACTGGCCTTCATCCCATGCCCTGTACTGGTAGGATCCTAACAATGGGCAAAAACTTCATATTTACTTAACTCCCTTTGGAGTTCAAAATGTTTCACTGTTTCATTACCTCAAATCAGTCCTTTCTGGGAAACCTGAAATTTGAACATCTGAAATCCACAGAAATTTTAGACTGCAGGGATGATATCTTATTGATATGCTTATAGCTCGCTTTTTGGCCAGGATGTGCTCTGAACACTTTTTGTGGTGCAGAAATGAAACGAAAACCAAATGTGCACACACAAAAAGACGGGCGATAGTAAGGTGGTATTAAGGGCCGCTTTTGGTTGCAAAAGAGGTCTTACAATGTGCTGCCATCCTGTGCATGTTTAGAGCAGAAAGAAAAATCCTGGCTGGGGTAATTGGGAACTTATAGACCTTGTGTCTCAGTATGTGTAGGATCGCACACTTCATCTTACTCCAATAGTTCCAGTTAAAAGGGGATTACTTGGAGGAAGTTTTCCTGAAGCAGCTTAAGGGCTGTTGAGCTGTACCCGACTCTCCAGGGGGGTGCGTGGCACAGATGCAGGGCAGGCCAGGCCTTCTAGCTCTGAAGCCCAGCTCTCAGGTGGTCAAAGGTGGTCTTGCTTGAGGAGCAGAAGCACCCAAGCCCACCCTCTCTGGTTCACGGAAGGTGACCTTCTGAAGAGAGAGACTCTCCTCTCTGCCTGTGGGCAGCCTTCAGAGGTGGAGGAGGCCCTTCTCAGAAGGACAGTTTACATGAGCCCGAGGGGGACACGAAGGGGGCACGTGAAGTGTGCTTCCGTTCCTTGGACTGGTCCCTTGAGCACCTTCAGGATGTCGGACGGGGCTTACACCGTCCTATGCTGAGCAAAGGACTGGCGTTGCAGAACTGGGCCCAGCACCCTCCCAGTGGGCCTAATCCTTTATTTTTCTTTTTGAGGGGGTCACCTTTATAATGCTGTTTTCTCACCTCTCCCCTGCCCTACACGAACCACTAGACTCAGGTCTGACGGGCTGCACCACCATTTTTCATCCCTAGTCCTACAGGACCAGCATTTACTTAGAAAAGGCAGGGCTACGTATTTTCACAGTGGAGAACGATTCTCTGAGGAAAACCTGTCATGTAGAAACTTCCCAGTTTTTATTTTGGGGTGCTGCTGGTGGCGTTTTTATTATGGGGTGCTGCTAAGGGCAAGCCTGCAAACAGCACCATGAGGGGTTTGCTGCTTTCAGGATGGAATTTGAAAGGGGACGCGATGTTGCACTGAGGTCTACTTTTTGCAAAGAATTTCTTTTTTATTCCTTGTAAGGTCTATTAATATAATAACGATGAACATAATTGAGCATTACTAATAAACACTAAATAAAGAATTACTAATGAAACATTTCTAAAACAGTAATTAAACAATTACTAATTGAAGTTTACTAATAAACAATAATTAAACAATTGCTGATTAAAGATGGCTAATAAGCATAATGCAAAGAATTTCTCGCAGGGAAACGCATGCTGGCTTGTTCTGCCTTGCTGCACCCCAGCCTGCCTCTCGCGGTGTGCAAAGAGGATGGAAACCCGCCGACTGAAGCAACCGCTGCTCAGGGCGGGTGGCGGCGAGCAATAATCGGAGGCTCTGTTTCACACATCTGTTTCTGAGGTTTTGACTTCTGCAGCTGGGGCTGGGGCTACAGAGCTCCTCACTTGTGGGAGCTGTTTCGATGGCATACATGAAGTTGCCAATGGAAATTCTCCCCACTTAGAAGGGTATTTAAGGGTTTGTGGACACATTTGTATGTTCTGGAGAGATTTTAATAATGAGGACGTGATCCATGCTACAGAGGCTTCAGCACTCCTCTGCACCAAAACGACCGGTTTTAGGCAGCTGTCTGGCCGACAAAAGATGTTCGTGTTTGGGGTTTCTCCAGGTAGGAAGAGAGGTGAGGTAGGCATGCAGAGGACGTGCATGGAAGCTGTAACGCGGTGAGCAGAAAGCTGGAGGGGGGAAGAGAGAATGCTAGGACCTGGAGTCACCCTGTGTTTGGTTGATGGGAAATTCAGGACAGGTCCGAGAAGGGAATTGTTCACACAGCGCCGAGCTGAACACCGGAATTCAGTGCCACAGAATGACACCAATCTGGACAGTTTTAAAAGGGGATTGGATAAATTTCTGGAGGAGAAGTCTGTGTGTGGCTTCTCCTCCCGATGGCTGTATGCCGCCTCCAGGGCCAGAGGCAGGTTGCTGGGGCACATGGGCTGGAGGGTGCTGTTGTACTCCTATCCTGCTTCTGGGGTTCTCGTCAGGGCAGCTGACTGGCTGTTCTGTGAACAGAATCCTGGATTAGTCCTTAGCCTGACCCAGGGCAGTGCTTGTGTTCTTAGGAACCTCTCCATATTTACACAGAAGTAAACGTCTGCAAACGAGGCCTCAGGCTGGGCACTTGCAAAATCTTCTGGAAATGTTCCCTACACTGTTCACACACACACTCCTGGCGACAGTTCTACATGCTAGGTACTATTGTCCAGGCAGGTGGGGCTGATGGAAGTTGTAGTCCAGTGCATTTGGAGGGCACTGGGGTATCCTTAGACCGTAGGGTAGCACACCACATCCATCTGTCAGAGTAGTTTTTAGCAAGGGAAATTGCCTATAACTTCGGGTTTAGAGGCTCCATCTTGCATCTTATTTAGCTTGTCTCCTTTAAAAAGAAGGGTGAGTGTGTAAAGCACGCACTGGGATCCAGTACAAGACAGGGCTGCAGCTTTGTCCCCATTGGGGTCCACGGAGAGCCCGGTTGAGCCCCTCTCTTGCCTTCCAGTTGCCGGTGGAGGTTGTGCTGCTGCTGACGGTGCCGATTGTGGACCCCGACCGGGAGGACCAGAACTGGAAGCGGCCCCTGAACTGCCTGCACCTGATCACCGGCCCCCTCGTCTGCATCCTCACACTGAAATCCGGCGCGTGTGAGTGCCCCGTTTCCCCTCGGGCGGGGATGCGCTTTGTTGTGTGAGGAGGGTGGGGTCCCGGATCCTGGACGATTTCCTGGGCCCTGGATCATTCCCCAGCAATTCCGTGATGCCCATGGAGGGTGATTCCTTTCCCTTCTAACCATTCACAGGGCAATTTGGAAGGGCATCTGCCGTGAGGGATGGTTGGAGGAATTAACTCCCTCCTCTGCACCCCCAAAGAAAAATCTACCCCTGCATCGCCGTTGAGTCTTGGGGAATAAAAACACTTCCCTTCAGTTTGGGTGATGTGAGGCGATGCACAAATGAATTGGCGAGTGTTTTCTGACTGGGAGAGTTTGGTTGAGAAAGGAACTGGCTGGCTTTGCACTCAGTGCAATTTAAGTAAATACTTGAAATTCTCTAGGAGAATGTGATAGTGCAGCTGTGAGTCCTGTGGACCTGGACCCGAATCTTTTAAGCACCTTAACACCACTGTGTGTAGGTATCCTTTGTGGGAGGGGTCTGCCCTTCACAAGTGATCCTCATTCGCTTGAGCACCAACAGTCCACCCTAATCAGAGAAAAAGCATACAGCTCCAGAAAGTCCAGATGTTCCCAAATAATTCCTGAAGCTCCACATTCCTCCCCCCCCCTTTTTTTAAACTTTCCCTTCCTGGGAGACAAAGTTACAGAGGGAGCCTAGCTTTACAGAACCTAGGAACTTGGTGGGTTGTGCTATGGTTAAACAACCTTCACAGAACCCTAAAACAAGCCACGGGTTATGTAAGGTTTTGCACCCTCACACAATCCACCCTCAGCAAGTTTGCTTAAATATTCAAAATGGCCACCCACCTGTGCTAGAGCCCATCATGACTTAAATGTAAGCCATGGTGAGTCATTTGAACGTTTGAACTGGTCCACTGAGTCAGACCATGTACTCCTATAGCTCAGTATTTTCTGTAGAGAAGTTCATACAACCAGCCCGCCACAGGGCATGCCTGCTGCCGTTGTGAATATTCAGTCCCAGACGGGGTGTTGTGGTTGCATCTGAACGCAGCCACCGTGAACGGTGAATTCGTTTTTTCATTTTTTCTTACGAACTCAAAGTGGCTTATGTCCTCCTCCTATGCTGCTCTCAGTCTGATACCCACAACAACAACCCTGTGAGGTAGGTTGGTCTGAGGGTTGGTGACTGTTCTAAAGTCACCCAGTGCATTTTACAGCAGAGTGGGAACTCGGCCTGCATCTCCTCAGGCCCAGACCGGTGCTCTGACCACTGTGCTTGTTGTGAAGATACAACGGGGAGGAAGGAGACCCTGCAAAAAGGAAACATGGCTGGAGAGAAGGCCCAGGTGGCGTAGCGTCGCCCTGGGACTCGAGCGGCAGGTTCGGCTGTGGAGCTCACTGGTTGTCTTTGGGCCGGTCACTGATGCTCAGCCTAACCTACCTGTAAGGGCTGTTGTGCGGAGGAAAGTAGAGGTTGAGGGTGGACTGTGCAAGCCACCTTGGGTCCCCTGGCGGAGAAAAGGAAGAATATAAATAAGGTGGACGCTCGGAACGGGCCAGGCAGAATTGGCTTCAGCCAGGCTTCCTCCATGTCTCTTGCAGATGGGTTTTTCAAGATCCAAGGCGTCTTCCCCATCTGGGGCCTGGTGACTCTGGTGGGGGCCGCCGTGGCCACGATCGTCTTCTGCACCACGAGGAACGAGGAGCCCCCTCGATACCACTGCGTGAGCATTCCAGTTGTCGCTGCTGCCCAGCCTCTTTCCTGCATCCACGAGCCCTCCTCTCCACCAGCGCTGGTGGAACTCTTGGCATGCAGGAGGCGGCCATGACACGAAGGGCCGGGGAACAGCAAGCGCCCGCAGCACCTGCGCTCTGTAGGCAGAAAGCCCCGGGTTCAGTCAGAGTCCAGGGCCAGACGAGATCCTGGGAAGCCACCATCCGCTAGAGTAGGTAGCCCTGGGCCAGAATGGTCCGTAAGCTTTCCGGCATGTTTTTGCCTCTGTCTCCCTCTTGCAACAGGTTTTCGCCTTCCTGGGTTTCCTGGTCAGCGCTCTGTGGATCAACGCTGCAGCCACGGAAGTGGTGAACATCTTGAGGACTTTGGGCGTGATCTTCCGTCTGAGCAACACCGTCCTGGGGCTGACGTTGCTGGCCTGGGGGAACAGCATTGGGGGTAAGGAGCAGCACCCTCTGGCTGGACCCGCCGTGTGATCTCACTTGTGGCCTTGATAGCCGCCCTTCCTTTCATACAGCTCAAGGCGGCTGATACGGTTCCTCTCCTCCCTTCCCATTCAGTCCACACAACAGCCCTGTAAGGTAGGTTAAGCAGTAATTGGCGCAGCGAGCTTTGGCTTAATCATCAGTGCAAAGGGCGTGTGGGCAAGGAATTAAAGGAGGCTGAGGCTTAGAAGGTCGGCAGCAAAGGAACGAGCCAAGATCTTCCAGTGTTTCATGGGAGGCCAAGACCAGGCTATTCCCAGTCACTCTGTATGGATGTGAAAGCTGGACAGTGAGGAAAGCTGGCAGGAAGACAGTGCAGCTGAGAGCTTTGGAAATCCCTTGCACAGACCAAAATATGACCAAGTGGCTCTAGGTCAAATCAAGCCAGAAGTTTCACTGGAAACAAAAATGTATAAAACTGAGGCTGTCGTGCCTCGGGCACGTCATGCGAAGGCAGGGCTTCCTGGGGAAGACAATCCTGCAAGAGAACATCAAAGGCAGGAGAAGAGGGAGAACAGTTATGGGGAGAAGGAGGCTGCAGCCTGGAGTTTGCAAGAGCTGAGGAGGCTGTCAAGAACAGGGTGTTTTGGAGGGCTTTCCTTTGTAGGGTCGCCCTAAGTTGGAGATGACCTTGCAGCACATGTGAAGAACAGCTTCCTGGTCCTAGTCCAGCATTCTGATCCTGGGATGCAGAATGCCATGGCCAAAGGCCCAGTCCCGCCCCAGGTGGCCACAGACCATCCATCTGGCTGATTTCCCCCCCTGCCACTGATTGCTTGCGGGTTTTGTAACTTCTCTGCAGTTCCCACCTCCATTCTAATAGGTACTGTTGCCTCCTGAAAGGTGCTGTTTCTGGCAGGAAGGAGTTCAGGCGAAGTAGGTTCAGTTTGGAGGCCTGCCCCTTTTCCCTTTGGCCTCACCCACACCCGGACAGCACTCCTCCAGAATTTTGTGATTTGGCCTCCCCACACTCTAACCACTGGTGTACACAGCCCTGAAGTCAATTATGGATGATGCAGGGAGATCCCAAAAGATAGTGGGAACTAGACCCCCCTGTACTGGGGTCCTTTCCTTGAGTAGCTATTTGGTCTGTTGTGCAGCAGAAATGGTTCCTAGGTTGGGGATGATGTGATTATGACTGTTGTGGTTTTTCTCCCTCTCCCATAACACTCGAACCTGATTGGGGGGCGGCTTGGGGCAGGTAAGAGGAAGGTGTCTTCACACAACATTTAGTTAAACTATGAGATTCGCCGCCACAGGAAGTGGTGATGGCTGCCAGTCTGGCTGGCTCTCAAAAGGGATCGGACAGGTTTGTGTAGGGGAAGGTTCTTGGCGGCTGCTAGCCAGCCTTGCTGGCCAGGGCTACCTCCTTTCCCAGAGGAGGCGTGCCTGCACACGGCAGTTGCTGGGGAGCTGGGCAGGAGGAGGTCTTGCCCCCCCACCCCCACTTGGGGGAGCCTGTGGGCAGCAGGTTGGTCACCGTGCGTATGGAGGGCTGGACTGGGTGGACCTCGGGACTGATCTAGCGTGGCTTCCTTATGTCCTAATTTAATCTATACTGCCCAGTAGTCAGAGCTCGCGGGGGCGGGGGGGGGGTCACTGCAGCTTATTCAACAGAGGGTGAGATAAAATGACAGTAAACATGATAGCATGCCATGGCTAAATGGCGATACGGCACAGGGATTCCTGGCACAGCTGCAGTCCAAGGCTGCAGGAAGGCCTGGGCCACCTGTGGCAGGTCCAGTGCAGCGTGCCAGTGCGAGGCGGAGCTGGGAGCTTTGGACCAAGCAGAGCTGGTGCGGCCCAAGGACCCGGCTGCCAATCGGGGAGCTCTTGCTTTGAGCATCGTGACGAAAGGAGAGCTTTATCTCTTGGGCAGTACAGAAATGTAAGCAATCCAGGTGGGAGGTGGCCACGGGTGAGCCACACTATCTTAGCTCCAGTTTCCCACCTGCAGGGGTCCCGCTGACCTGGCTCACAGGGCTGCAACGATTCCTGGGAGAGAATGTCTGAGCAGTGGAGGTCGCAGTGGGGGAGCCCCTGGTTTACCTGCAGAAGGTCCCAGCCGCACCCTCTGGCCCCTCCAGTTTCTTTTTAAAAGGATGGAATGGGGTGACACTTGGACAGTTCTCTTTCCCTGACAGCAGCTGCAGAGCCTGATGGAAACACAGTCTGGTTTGTTAGAAAGCGGATTCCAAAGTACCTGAGTGCCTCTGGCACTAACACCCTTCCCTTTTTATGAAGGACAAAGCTAAATGTGCACCAGCGGGTCTGATCTCAGAGAACTCACCTGTGTCTTCCTTTCTGTTCCTGCATCCCCTTTCCCTTGTGTTGTTGCAGACACTTTCTCTGACCTCACCATGGCTCGGCAGGGATACCCCCGCATGGCCTTCTCGGCCTGCTTTGGTGGCATTATCTTCAGTATCCTTGAAAGATTTGTCAAGAGGTTGGCTGGCCAAGGATCATCGTCCTCAGGGTGGTTGTATCTCCTAGGGGGAGGGTAGTGGATGAGCTGGCTTACATCTTACATTGGTCCTCAGGCTATTAAGATACAGCAGCAGATTTTCTTGATGGTTATGTGGACATGTAGCCCTGATTGGTTTTGTGGTCATTATACCCTATCAGAAGAACAGCTTGTTAAATCGCACTGAAGGTCCATCCAATCCAGCATCTTGTTTATCCCAGTGGCCAGTCAAATGCCACAAGCACCATATAGGGGGCATCAGTGGTCAGTGTCTTTCAGCCCAAGGGAGATTTAATTTTGAAGGAGCCCTCAGGGCTGGACTCTGGTGTGGTCAGCAGGCAAGATGGCAAGGACAAGAATACAGATCTACAACATTGTAGATTAAAGCTCTTGCTGCTAATAGCGAAGCCTGAGCGATCCAGCACCCCTGGTTTGTACTGTGCAGAGAATTCACTCATCTCCAGATGGCTGTTTTGCCACTACCTGTAGCTTTCCTGCAGCCACAATTTTGCACTTTCCTCTACCTGGTGGGTTTGGGGGGTTCTGTGAAAAAATAAGCTCACCCACCCTGAAACCTGAAGTCTGCGCAATCTAATTTTTAAATCTGGTTGAGTTCTTGCTGAATATCTAGAAAACCACACCGTGGCTTTCCTAGAGGAGTGGATTCCGTGCTTGGCAATAAGCCGGCTGGTTCTGATGGGCAGCCACTGCCTGCATTATATTTTCTTGGTTTGGCTGTCCTGCCAGGCCCTCTGGCCTTGGTGCGTAGGCTTGGGGAGCAGGGACCAATGAGTCAAAGATACCCATCCTGGCAGGACTGTCTCCTGAACTTCCTTCCAGATATGCTTGTCGGAGTGGGACTTGGCTGCCTGCTGCAGATGACCAACAGCAAGCTCGTTGTCAGGGTATGGACCTCTGTCTTTTTTTCCTTGCACCTTCAGATCATCCCATCTCCCTGGCTGCCTGGAAAGAGGCAGAAGAGAAGGCAGTGGAACGCTGGGCAGGAAAAACGTTGCTGTCTCGTCTCCATAAGGTTTCTGGGAGAGGCTCTTTGCTTGCTGGAGTGGCCCTCGCTTTGCAGGCTCGGTTCACTCCACGGGATCTCTGGTTAAGACTGCTGAAACAAGCAGGCACCTGTTTCTTCCTGAGAACCGGGAGAACCTGCCGCAAGCCCAAGCAGTTAACATGCCCAGCGCTCTGCCCTTTTGTAAGAAGCCTGCGAAGTTTTGCTTCAGCAGAATGTGCTTTCTCTTCTATGGCAGCCTGTGGGATGCGGCCCTCCCCGCAACGGAGTTTGCCTGGGACCGGTGCTGCCTTGTTCCATTTTTATGGCCCCAGGCCGCAGACTGCTTATTTCCCAACACAAGTCCAACACTTGTCATGGCCCAATTCTCGTGGGCTGTTTTTGTGGTGTTCCTCCTAAGCCGAGTGTATCCCGTGCAGGTGAGCGCTTGTCCTGTTGCACGGTTCTTAAATCATGTCAGTCTTGCGGTCCTTTTACTTGCATTGTTCTGCCGTTGGTGGCTTCTTTTGGCTGTGAGTTCTTTCTGCTAAGAGAATTACGGATTTTGAGACTGCCTTTTGGGCTGGGAAGGGATGCCTACATTAATCACGATGCTTTGGCTTGTCCCTTCTCACCGTGTAGCTGGAGTCGGACGGCCTCCTGGTGTGGATCCTGGCTGGGGCGCTGGGCCTCAGCCTCGTCTTCTCCTTCCTCTCGGTGCCCGCACAGTGTTTCCGCTTGGGCCCAGCATACGGGTGCTGCCTCATCGCTTACTACGTGGTATTCCTGACGATTGCGCTTCTGACCGAGTTCAGGGTGATCCGGGTTTCCTCTGTCTGACAAAACACACCTCGTACTTCGGGCCTTGCTTAAGTCTCCACGGGGTGGCGAAGCAGCTGCAGATCTGCTCGGGGCCTGGCTGCTCAACTTGAAGAATGGTGCCTTACAACATGGCGGGCAGGTACCACTGGCACATCCAAAGAGTCCCGTCGGTTGGCTTTGAGCGTGGCCGCAAGAAGGGAGACCAGCAAAAATCGGGAAAGCAGGGCTGTGCTGGAGCTGCAAACATCACACTCCAGCTGCTTTCCAGCCCCCAAAATCCAGGGATTTGGGGACCAGATTAAGGCCTCAGCCCAGACGCCTTGAGAAGCTACCAGCCCCCAGCTAGGAGTAACTTTTCTAAAGAAAGGCGCAATTTAGATTTGAAATGGTGAAATGTTCTTTTAGAACAAGATGTGATTATTATTTGGAGGGGAGGCAAATATGGCTAGAAGCCATTTTCGCTCCCGTCTTAACTAGGATGAAGATGTTACGGCATCAGTACCTCTGGTATGCACTCACTACTTCATTACTTATGAGCTTTGGTTGCTAAAATAAGGTTTAAATGAGCAGTGGCCTGTACGACCAAGAGATTGTCTATTCCAGGTTAAAAAATCAGGTTTCCAAATGCTTCCTTCCATGCAAGCATGAGGTATCTGCTTGCTTGGGGGATCCCCAAAGTTTGTGGAAAATCCTCAAAGAGGGAAACCAGAACAGCCCAAAATACTGATGGGTGGGGAAGAATGGAATGCTTGGAAGAGGGAATGGAATGATGCCACTACTTACGTGGGGAGAAGTATATATAAAAATGTGGAAAGATCAGGAGAAAAGGCCTCACAAGTCGAAGGACATCATTCCTTGACCCTAATAACCAGGTCTGATGAGAGGGAAAGTTTCTAATGCCTGTTGTTCATAGCGGGTCAGCAGCAGTGCCTGTATCTAGTGGAAGCCTCTGGTTTTGTGTCTTGTCTCTGGTTTTCCGCACATCTTTGTTGGATGCTTCAGATGCTTTAAAAATAACCTTTTTATTTTTGCTCTGTGTCCCTCTTTCTCTTCTGCCATCGGTGATGCTGGGCAAGCATTAACACTCACACACACACACAGAGGTATTCCTGCAGAAGCATGCAGAAGGAGTGGGTGGCTTGAGCCCACGACATTCCAACTTTCCATAATTGTGATAGTTTAATGTTTGTTTTAAGGAGGAAAATTGTCGGCCGGGCAGTTGCATTTTGTTACTCTGCTGATCTCCCTGCAACAAGCATTGCCTTTTGAGAATGGAGGCTGTAGCTGCGTTAAAACTTCCACGGTGAGAAGCTTCCCAGTGGGGCCCTGTGACACCGGCTGGTTGCGCATCATGGCCTTCCCCGCTCTTGCAGCCCTTCCTGTTTTTTTGCAGCTCCAAGCACAGGCGGGAGTTCACCAGGCTGTGCTTGGCCGGGCGAGTCATAGGTTGCCCAAGCCTGCGGTCCCAGTGAGAAGTGGCCGCCCCGAGCCACAGGCATGACTGGGCGGTTTTATTCCCCGCTCAGCACTTGGCCACACGCGGCAAGATCACAAGCCTCTGTGTTGGGCAAAAGGGAAGGCTCGCAACGTGTGTTTGTGCTTGCTGTCTAGCCCACTCAGGCGGCAGAGCAGAAGTCTCTCTGCGCTCAGGTTCCCTGAAACGGCCCTGCTGATTTCACACTCTTGGAGAACCCGGCAGCGGTGTGGGAAACGTACCAGACCTCCTCCCCACATGCATGGGATCCTCTTTCCATTCCCAGCATGCATTGCACACCTATTGCAACCCCCTGTGACTGACTTGGAGGATTGCATGAGAAGCCACCGGGCACTTTGAATGCTCGGCCCCTGGCTGGGGCGTTGGCCTGATTTGCTGTGTCCGGTGGTTAGAGGAGGGAAGCAACTCACACAGAGCCCTGGAAGGGAGTGGGCACGAAGCCGCCACGACGTGGAGACCATCTGAGGTGGTCTAGTGCCACGGAGTGGCAACAGCTGCGCCAGTGCTGGAGTTGGCCCTTCTGCAGGGGAAAACCGCAGGAGGAAGCTGTGTCAGCTGCTGGAATGGAGAGTTGTTGAGAAGTCCACAGTGTAACCAAGGAGCCGGAAGGACAGAGAATGCTGCTCGTTTTTTATCTTTTTAGCAGAGCCGAGATGGGGCAGGGATGTGTGGCATGTTTACTTTAAAATTAAACCCCTTCAGTGAGGTTTACTCCTTTGTAAGTGTGTTTAGGGTTGCAGTCTTCGAATGCTAATTTCCAGTGCTTTGGAACCCAGTATGGTTCAAGCCCCACTGCCTGGCACTATTAGGCAAAGCTATCGGGAAGAATTTCTCAGAGGCATCAGCCCATGCTGGTTTCCTGCCCATACGCTGTGATCCATATGCTTGTCACAGTGGTTCTCCTTTAAAAAATAAATCTGTACAGTGGGGTTTTTCTAGCACAAGGCACAACTGCTGCAGAGAACTCCATGTGTGCCAGTGTCATGGACTAGTTCCGTTAGGTCACAGTTCTGTCTTGGAGGCGTCTGGAGGGCGTCTGCTAGAGCGACTGCTCTTTGGGAGAAGCCCGCAGGGGTGGGCTTCCAGTGGTGGGCAGGGCCACAGGCCAAAGGGGTGTGGCCAAAATGCAATCCCCCATTCCACCTGACGTTCTGGGCCTTTGCCAAGCGTTAGAGGCATCTCAGCCTTTCAGATCGGCGGCAAAGAAAGCTGGAAACAGAAACTGGTTGCTGGGGGAAAGGAATGTGGCCAACTGGGACCCAATTTGGCATGTGGGCCTTGGCTTCCCCCACCCCCGAGCCAGTCCAGTCCTTCATGCCCTGGCTAGATTTCCTAGACTGGTGCTTTCGTGTGAGAGAGCTTGGCCCATGACCTCAATTGCTGAGACATCTTTAGCACTGTTGGAGTTGCAGAAGATAATTGGGCGTGAGTTAAGTCTGGGGGGGAATGAGACCCCCGAGCTGGGACCAGGGGGCCCGTAACGGCTGTAGGGCACTGGCCCCAGTAGGCGAGGATTCCTGCACAAGCTTGTATGTGCAAAGAGTGGCTGGCTTGTTGAGATGTTGCCAACCGCTGCAGCAGGGAAGCGAGCGTCCAGTTCTTAGGCTGCCATGGAAGCCTGTTCCAGGGACAGATGTTCTCCTACAGAAGCCTCCAGGCTGTGAACTTTCTGCAGAAGCAAAACATAAAAATTGGTGTCAGGAATTCAGTTGAGTTGCTGACCATCCATCACGCCTGGCTGCTGAGCTGTCCTAGGTAGGTGGGGCATTAAATTGCCCAAGTTGGCACCGAGCTCACAAACGGAGCACTTGTTGATCTTTGGAGCAGCAGCGAAATGGCGGAAAATTAGGCGGTTGCCTCCTGCCAGGCTGCTGGGTGCTGCTGCAGCTTTGCTCCCTTTGGCTGGCACGGAGGACCCCAAAATTCAAGGCTGCTTGCTGGACGATAAGGGAAGAGGGCCCTGAATCTGTCAGTTAAGGAATCCCTCCGTGTCTGTGGCAGGATTGCTCCTTTCTAGACAAGTCACCCTGCATTGGGTGGGGGTTTAGTTCCTTCCAAGCCTTGATCCTACTCCAGAGTGGAAAAACACTCATGGACAGTTTTCTCCATCTTTACGGTGGAGAAGAGAGAGCATCCTGTAGTGCAAATTTGCCACCAATGTCTCTCCTAACTGCTGACTACCAAGAAGCATACGTGGACAAATCTGCTTCAGAACTTACCTGAGGAACTGTAGCTTTTGACAATCTTTCTCTTTAATAATCTACCTCATAAAGATAAAATGCCAGATGGAACTTGCCCCGAGTGCTTGGTTAGGCTGGTAACCTAATTAACAACAGTCATCACATGTTGCAGGACTTAATCGCAATTCATGATACTTTGTTTACAAAATGGCTTGTTGGAGAGAACCAAGCAAATTCTTAAAAACAACCTGTTTTCTTCTCCCAACTGTGATGGAGCCGGCTTTATGAATCTCTTTGGAGAACCAATAAAATAGCTGCTTTCCACGAATTCTGAGTGGAGTGGGAGGGAGAGATTGAAGTTATTAACTGACCTAGAATTGCTGTGAGTCACTTTTGGACTTATGAACCTAAATGGCAGGGAGCTGTTTGTTCCACTAAAACATAGAAACAGAGTGATCCAGAAGGGGCCTCCCGGGCCAGCCTGGCTCCAACCGGCTCTGCTCACGACATGCCCACCATGTGCATGTCCAAAACATAAAATCAGCCCCGCAAGGCTGTTTCAAGGGGAGGGCACAGTCCCTGCAGAGTGGCACCAGTGCTTTCCAAATGATACTTAAAATATTTCCCAAGGAATCTTAAGCAGCCTTGGAATCTGGCCAAGGCACTTCATACCAAGTGTCAGTAGTTCTGCCATAAATCTACAGTCCCCTTTTTGTGAAACTTTCCCCTTCTCAGAGTACAACATAGCCTTCGTTCGGTTAACAGGGAAAATAAAAAATACTGTCTTCAATGCATGTTCTTTGGGTGTGCAAAAGCATCCTTCTAAGCGGTTTTTTTATTTTTTTGCATGCTTTTGCTAAGCTATGGAATGTATTAAAGTGGCATTGGGCAAGCACGTGATGCTGGAAGAACTCTGCTTCTGCAGCCCCTGACCGTAACTGCCACGTGGGGAGAGCAGTTTTGCATAGGACGTGTGCAAACTGTATGTCAAGTGTGATGCACACCTGTTGCACACTCAGTCTTTGTTACTGTGCACACCAGGTGCCTAACAAGCTAGGCGCTGTATGAAAAAATAAGCAGGCTTTGTGGCTTGGCATATGAGCTAAAAGTAAAGGCAAGCACATTGACTTGGGCCCATGAAGCGTCTGGAGAAGGGGCCTTAAGGTAAATGTGGAGAGAGGCAGGGGAAAAGTGAAGGGGAAAGGACGCAAACCAGGAGACGTTTCCATCTCTCCATGTTTCCAAGTGCTGAAATATGTGGCACATAAAACTAATATTCTTAGACTTGGTTTGCATTCTTCTCCAAACAGCACTCTGCATTCAGGAAATGGACAGCTCTGTAGCAAATCAAGTTGCTATTTTTTGAAAATAAAAATGCAGAAAACAAAAAAGGTAATGCTTAAAAAGTTTTATTAATAAACGTGCCTGGAAACATCTATATAATACTGTTTCAGACATTACAATTTCCATAAAAACTCCCAGCCTATGAAACTCTCCAAGTGTTTCATGCCTACAAGTGATTGTCTTTGGAGTTAAGAGTGCTGAAGAAAGCCAGGGAAAGGACGGTTAGAAGGGGATGCCCCATACTCTGAGGTTTATTTTCCTTCCAGCCTACAAGATGTCTGGAAGAAAGTAGCTTCTGGAATTATTACTAGCTTATTTATATCTGTTTTATATAAAAAAAACCACCAAAAAATACAGTGCAAATTGAAGGTCAGTTCGTTAGCAATGCAGCCGAGGAAGCATGAATCGGTTCCCAGCCCTACAGTGATCATTTACTGTAGCTACATGTCTGTAGCTCATGTTCCTTAACATCACTTACGCTTTATAGGGTAAGGTCCAAAATGCTGCTCAGCTGTTGGGGAGGAACAGCTGGACTGGACCTCCTGCATCCTGCTGTCTCTGCAGGGGGACTGGGTAAGCGCTGCACAGGATTGTTCCTTAGTGGTCTGAGAAGTGATGAGGCAGAAACTTCCATTTCACCTACTGAGGTCAGAATTTTTTTTTCTCTCTTTTTAAATCGAGAAGTAGTTCCACGCATCAAAATTGGGAGAGCAGGGGAGAGTGATGCAAGAGTCGGAGTTGGTGGGTTCCCCCCGTGCATGTGGACACACATGCACAAGCCCCCAAGTGGATCTTACAAGCCGTGTGGTTCTCTCACCTGGTGGGGCAGCCAGCTCTGTAAATCCACTTCCAAAAGGAGTGAGGATCTCAAAAGGATCTCATTGCCTGGGGCTTCCCTAGGGGCAAGCCTAGTAAGGCTAACCTTTCCTTCTCCTAGTAGTAGTCATTTGAAGGGAGTATCTCTTCTGATTACCTTAAAGTAGCCTTCCATTCTTTCTAGGGACACATCAACTTATTGGAGATGCAAACGAGTACAGGAATAGTGTGATTCACGGTTATGTTGGCCTCCTCTAAGCCAATCTCCAGATTTATGCAGTCAGAACAACTCCTCTCCAAACTTGGGAAAAATTCTGCAGTGAATCAGGCAGATCCCAAGCTTTCCCTTGTGGAAGGAAAGCAGCTGTGTTTCCTCTCTTACCAGCTGGGGCTGCAGCGGCAAAACAGACACGGAAGGACGGTGTCCCAGTGCTCGTCTCTTTGCCAACTGCAGTGCTGAATGGAGGGGGCAGTTCTGTCCCCGCTGCTTCGAAGTTGCCTGCTTTGCAGGCAGCTGGAAGGGGTGCAGTTTTCCCCCTGTGGCTTGGACTAAGAGCAGATCTAATCTGAAGTGAACACTGCGAGTCGCCAGACGACCTCAGAACGAGGCTTGCCGCCGGTTCCCCGCACTGCCTATTGTCTCTTATTATGCAGGGGGTTCTCAGAAAAAGCCCCCCAAAAAAGCCCCCCGAGTTGAGATTTCTGTGCAAAAGTAACAAAGCTCCAGGCCCAACTGAGATGTCTTTGCAATGCTGGCAAGTGAACAGCTTAAACATTTCTTCCATCAAGGAGTTATTGCTTTAATATCAAGGGTCGGGGCGGCCTCATCAGACGCATGCAGCCCTTTTCCTGGCCACAGTGTTCAGTTGTTTCCTGGGGGAGATTCCTAGGCTTTAATCATTCCCAGGTTCCCATAAATTTAGGATTTGTTATGCCTAAAACAGAACCACCATCTTGTCCGGGGGAGGAGGGAGAGAGGCTGCACTATGTCGCCAAGTGGCTGACGGAAACGAGAGCTCATTTCCTTTCCAAAGCCGTTGAGGAACGTGTGCCCCCCTCTCCGCCCACCCTGGCCTGTTACAAACTGGAAGGCCTTGCTACCGTGATGGGAAGCAAAAGTTAAGCGGCAGAGGGCCTTTTCGGATGCTGATGAACTTTTAAGACAATGGGGGTCAAGCTCTGAGCATGGTTTAGCTGGCCACTTGATCCCACAGAGTGTTTACAGGAAGAGAGCAACTGGTTTGCAGGAGACAAATGCCGGAAATGCACCATGATGGGGACCCAGCTTGGCAAGCTCCCTTTCTTAGGCCCAGCCTACCAAGAGGGGCTTGGGCTATGCATCAGACCGCCGTTGCGCTGGCAGGCCTGCCGAGTTCTTGTACAGCAATTGCAAGAAGTAGGACCCAAACTCTCTCATCCAAAGGAGCTCAGGAGGTGGTTTTGCCAGGCTACGCTATGCATTAAATTCAACACATACACTGCAAGGTTAAGGAAGAGGAGGAGGAGGGTAATGCATAGGAGAAGCTGCTGTTTGCATGAACTGGGCTTAAATAATGGTTTGGGAGCGCTGCCGGAGGCCCGAAGTTTGCGAGAGCGGTCTCCGCAGCTCTTCCTCCTCCTGCCAGGTCAGCTGCCTCTCCTCTGTCCTGGAATGTTCTTCATACCATTCCTGTACAAAAAAACACAAGCAGGCAGTACATTCTTCCACAGCCCATCCGCAAAGCAGCAACATCTGCAAAAGTCCCCTCCCTGCATACACCCTCTAGCCATTTTTGGCTGGTACAATAAGCCAGAATTCCAACAGCTGCAGCTTGGTGGTTCCCACTGTAAGCAAAATAGATAACCTTTGTCTGCAGCTGATTTGTTGCCAGTGTGAACCAGAATTCTGGGTTGTCTTAAGGGGAGTTGCAGTCATAAGCCATGTCTGTTTCTGGTTCACACATCGTGGCAAACCACAGATGGAAGATCCGTGGCTTGTTTCCAGAAGGAGCCAAGTGAACGTGATGGAGCAGGCCTGCTGGCTACTCCAGGATCTGCTGGGCTTGCCTGGAAGAGTTTAGGAAGAGTCTGTGTGAACCAGACACAATACTGGTTGCACCCAAACAGCCTGTGTCCAGAACCCCAGACTGGTTCTTGTCAGAGTATCAGTGATCTGGAAATCTGCGCAGAACCATTACAGTTGAAAAGTGGAATGGTAACAGTAAAAAAAGAATAAACTCTGGCTGCTGTGCTGCAACGGAACTCTCCTTTTTTAGCACCCTTCCGGCCATTTTCACATGTCCTGGTTCCCATGTAAAAACACCCCAGAATAAGGATTTGGTAAGGGTTATTATTGAATCATGGGTTGTTGTTCTGTGCCATCCCTGCACTGTGATTTAACTATGGGTTGTTGACAAGAAGCAACTCCCAAGTGCACAACCCAACACCAAACCTTGGCTTGTTCATGGGTAAGCCATAGTTAGGCTGTGATGCATGCTATGCATGTAACAACAACCTATGATTCAACTCATACTCTAGGTTATCATAATGTGTGAACCAGGACAACTTCTTCTAGCCTAGAATAGATGAATCTGTGTAACTTGTTCAAGAGTAAGAGCTTGAGTTTCTTCCTCCACTGTTGATAGAAGGATTTCGGAAGAAAAAGGATTCATTCTTCCTCCAGCCTTTTTAGGGCTAGGTACAGCTGCCAGCCCCTAGTTCCATATACATTCCTGCTCAGGGCTGGAGGTACTTCTGCAACCATCGTGACATCCCCCAAGGTCCAGGGGCATCACAAGCTAACCAGGACTGCTTGCAGCTTCACCTGGCCTACCTGTATCTCTTCCTCATACATTTTCATGCTCAAATCGCTTTTGGTCCTTGATCTCCGTCCCAGGAACAGCATGGAGCTTTGCTAAGGCAAAAAATGACAGGCAAGACCATCAAAGAAGGAGACTGACTGACTGATGCGAGAGTGAACTTCTGCACTGCGAGGCAGAACAGAGGGATCCCAGCAGCTGCCTGAACGCCTGTCCATGGATGTGAAGAGCATCATCACAGGTGTGTTCTGTCACTAAGCAGAAGCAGGAGGTCCCTGCAGCCCACCTTTGCTTCCTGGAGTGTGTACCTGGGATTTTGTCTCCTCCCCCACCACCCCTGTGCAGAAAAGGCTGTATTTGAGGCAGCAAAGCTGTTTTAGAATTGCTGCCTCTAAGGATAGTTGGTCACATGAGGATAACCTCTGGCACTCACAGAAATGAGTCAGTCTATCAACCCCTGGACACATCAGCTTGCAACTTAAGCAATAGGAGGACAAGAGCGGGGCAGAGATGCGGACTTCCTCCTTACCCGGTGCCTGTCCATCTGGGAAATGACCCGGAGCATCTGGCCAGCAGCTGAGGCATTGCCGCTCCTCCCGTACATTTCTGCTACAGCTGTAATTTCTTCCTTGGAGACCTCCCTCTCAAAGACGACGCCACTGTCTTCTGCAGAGGTGAAAGACAAGGACGAGGCAGTGGGAGGAGGCAGGTGAGAGGCCTGGATCAACGGCATTTCATAGAAACTAGATGGGGCTGGACACAGTGCAGCGCAGTCGGGCCCACCGCACAGGCAAAAGGAGGATTGCCACCTTCCCCGGCAGCACAAAAGGCAGTGGCGGTACTTTCCTAGGTGGTTTTTTGCTCAGCATCCAGATCCTGGCTGCTGGAATGGAGCAAAAGGCCGGGGAGGTATTTGCCACCCAGTGCGTCCCATTTCAGTACTGCTGTGCCACTGATTCACCGCAGCAGAGAGGTCAAATGAGGACAGCGCTCCTTTCATCCACCCCATGCAAGATTCGGTCTCCGTCTCGGATAAGCAAGATGATGCTGATAGTCCGACAGCGCTCAAGAGTCAGCAGGGCTTCCTCCAGATCGAACATGCTCGGCTGGGCGGGAGGGAGGGAGCCGCAGAGGCTCATCAAAGCCCAGGTCCTGCATCTTCCACTGGAGCCCCAGATCTCTGGGGGATGCTCTGCCCCACGGCCCTGCTGTCCACGGCAAGCGCTGGAATTAAGCTGATGGCCACTGCTGCGTCTGATCTCCTGGCTTACCTGGATTATTCCCCATTCCGTCCTGATGCCTCCTTTCCCCCATTAATCTTTGCACCTCTAAAATCTTTAAATTTCTAAAATCAAATGCCTTCCTCTCCCCAGCTCAGACATCCCTTTTTCCAAATAGGGGCATCATCAGGAGACGGGGTCCTTCAAAGATGCATACAGAAAGATTTTAGATGTTCATGCACCTTCCGAATCTCGGTTCTTTCGGGTGTAGTTCATGCGGAACACAAATGCCTCCAATATGAAGGCGACGATTATGGTCATCACCACCTGGGAAGGGGAAAAGAAGGGGAAACGGTCAGTGGCTGCACAGAAATAGCTCTGGTGGTTTGGAAAATCTGACTATCCTGAAATGCTGGTGAGTCTTTTCAAGAGCGAGATTTACCTGCCTTTTGTCTGGAGTTTTAGATCATCTAGGCCACCCAGAGAACCTTTGGGTTGTGGGGTGGCCTAGAAATGGAATGAAATAAATAAAAATAAATATGGTGTGCCATGTGAAAATCGAGTATGCCCCATAATAACATAGAAATTGAAACTCTGAAGCATGCCCTTTTCATATACAATTTTTACAGAGATGAACATACGAGATTCTTACCCCGTAATGCGTAATTTCCCAGGTAGGACCTTCAACTGGTATTTAAAACATTTCCTAGCTGTTACAAATGAGTTCCACACAGAACTAGTGCCCAGGTTTCTTCCTTCAGCACAAAGAATGTACAAGAGGATCCTTGTCTCTTTTATATTATTAATTTGTTTTTACATCTCTCCATGTAATTTATTTAACTGTTTTCATTGTTCTTATGAGTTTTGTCAGGATTTTTGTCATGAGTTTTGTCAGTTTTGTCTATGAGTGGATAGGTAAAGATTTTTTTTTTTTTGAAGATTAAAAAATAAATAGCTCAGCCTCATACCAAAGTGCAGTTTTCCCCAACTAGGTGCCCTCTGGATATGATGGAATCCACCTCCCATCTTCTGCAGACTGCCTAGCATGCCTGGAGGACCCCGGGTTGGTCGCTGCTTTATTCAAAGTGATTTTTGGTGGTCAGAGGCAGGGAAAAGCAGGGTTAAGTGCTGCTGTTTGGGAACTGATAGATTACTAAAGCTTTCTCCAGTCTGGTGTCCCCCGGTAACGTTAGACAGCCATTTCCAGCATTTCTGGAGTTGTGGTCCAGGACATCTGGAGGGGAGAAGGTCAGGAATGGCTGTATTACCCTGCTGTTGTCATCCCAAGCTCTTGGGATGGGCTCGAGAAATGTAGAGCAAAACCGGAATGAAAGAGCAAACAGAGAATGCAGAGCTAGAAGAAATGGATAGAGAGGGTGGCAAAAGTTTATCAGGCTGTGCTGCAGAAGGATTTCATTATTATCGCTGCCTGAAAACAGACCGAGACACGGAATAGTCATGAAACGGCTTTACAAAATGTGCTACCCACAGGTTTTTCTTACCATAGTCACAATATAGAAAATCATGAAATAGAGCCGGCTCCAGTGAGACGTCTCCGATGTCACTCCTTCCTGCAAAGCCAAGGAAAATGCTTCAGGGCATGGAAAACAAACGGAAAACCTCAAGCAAAAAGACATTCCAAAACAGCTCAAGCAGCATCAATACAGAACGAAGCTCCAGATGGAATCTGGCTGATCCCTTCATCATGGAAGATGGGGCGGACAGCCTGCTGATCAAATTCGCAGACGGCACTAAAACTGGAGCAGTGGCCACAACTGAGGAGCAGCTACTCCAGATCCAAAAGGATCTGGACAGACTATGGAAGTGGGCAGGAGACAACAGGATGGTGTTCAAGGTGGATAAGTGCAAGGTCTTGCACTTGGGGCATAGGAATAGCTGTCATAAGTACAGGTTAGGTGACAAGTGGCTGGAGAGCAGCACTTGTGAAAGGGACCTCGGGGTGCTGGTTGACTGCAGGCTAAACACGAGTCAGCAGTGTGATGCGGTGGTCAAGAGGGCGAACGCCACCCTTGGTTGCATAGCCAGAAGTGTGGCTTCTAGATCAAGAGAGGTATTACTGCCACTCTATACGACTCTGGTGCGCCCGCAACTGGAGTATTGTGTTCAGTTTTGGGCCCCTCATTACAGAAAGGATATAGCCAGGTTGGAGTCAGTGCAGCGTAGGGCCACAAGGTTGGTGGCCGGTTTGCAGGGGATGCCGTATGAGGCGAGACGGAGGGAACTGGGTCTCTCCAGCCTGGAGAAGAGGAGAGTCTGAGGGGAAATGTTGGCAACATACAGGTATGTGAGGGGATGTCACATGGAGATGGGTAGAGAGACCTGTTCTCCCCTGAAAAGGAAGGCAGGACGCACTCCAACGGAGCAAAGCTCAGGGAGCCAAGGTTCCGTTTGGATGCCAGGAAGCACTTCCTGACAGTCAGGACCCCGAGGGTGTGGAATGGGCTTCCACGGGGGGTCGTTGAGGCCTCATCGGTGTGGGTGTTCAAGGATAGGCTGGATGTCCACATGGTGGGCATGTCGTGAGCAGAGCCGGCTGGTGCCGGAGGTCAGACTAGATGGCCCGGGAGGCCCCTTCTGACTCGCTCTGTTTCTATGTTTCTCTGTCTTTAGTCTACTCAGCTGCCAGGTAGGTTCTGACAACAGGATAACCACACGCAGAGGAAGAATGTGAGTGGTTGTGGAGCTGTGGGGTTTTGTGTGGTCTGAACCCAGCCAAGACGACAAACCATGGCGAACAACCCACAGTTCCCAACCCCACGACAAACCATGGCTTGTCTTTGTCAGTTGTGAGGTGGGCAGATGAGGACAGAGGATGGCTCCTGCCCTGGCCCCAAAAATGCTACTCACCATGATGATATACCAGTCATTGACGACTGTCAACTCAAACAGTGTAACTGCATAAAGAAAACATGGGGCACAATACTTTAAACGGTGCTCTTGTGACACGGGCTTTCCTGGCAATGCTTCCTTTTCTGTATTACAAGAATTTATTTATTGATTTATTAAAACATTTATATGTTGAGCTGTTGCAAGCTGTCCTGAGCCGTTTGTTGGAAGGACAGGATATAAATGCTTGTTTAAATTAAAAAAATAAAAAAATATACCATCTACATTAGCCAAATGGCTCTCTGAACAGTTTACAATAAAAGCTAAAAACTTCTAACCTAATGAACAATACAAGAGAATATATATAAATATGATATGGGTCATAATGCACCAGTTTCATATCCAATTATATACAAGTATACAGATGTTAGCCTGGCTCTGAAAAACATCAAGAGTTGGTGTCAGACGCATCTCTAGCAGCAGAGACAGCTGGAAAGTTTCTCCCTGCTTTGGGGAGGGGCCACGGTTCAGTCGCCGAATTCCCACTTCACATGCGGGAGGTCCTGGGTTTGATCCCCGCCATGATCAAGCTCGGCAAGGAAAGAGTCCCACCCGAAACCCCGAAAAGCCGCTGCCGGCCTGGGCTTAGAAGGACTGAGCCTCTGATTCAGTCACCACTCCTGGCTTGATGTGTTGTGTCAATCTGGCCACAGGGCTTGTTCACTGCTCTGGGTGGGTTCAGGCAATACCCCAGGCCACCAATTTCAGGATCGGGCCGGCTGCCACGCTCCTACCGTGGCAGCTTGCTTTGCTGGGAGCGTGTGTCGATCTAAAAACAGCCTTACGGAGCAGCATCCCCACAGGAAGCGTCGCTGGGCTAAGCATCTCGCAGCGAAGTCCAGGGTTCCAGGGAGCTCCCTATTCGCACTGCACGGCCAAATTAAATCGCAGGACATGCTGAGGTGTGGAAATCAGATAGTTCTGCCCACTGTGCTCCCAGAAGCCAGTCCAAGGGTTTATCTCCACCGGCGTTTGCCAGGCTCGAGATAAATGCTGGCCGGGGCTGCATGGCAGGGGCTCCTCCAGGGACTCTGAGTTGGCATCAGAAAGATTCTGCAGTCGAGGGATGCAGGACAAAGGCCCGCGAGGCAGTGAGAGGGAGAGCCGAGTTTGGGGAAATCCACCCCGTTTGTGTCTCACAGATGCAAGCTCTTACCGAAGCTGCTCAGGATGTTGTTGAAGTTGTTGAGATAGTAGTAGCCTTCTTCCATCACCGTCCGGTTCCCAACAGTGCGGTTCACCCAGCGATAGGCATCGGCCACCGTGCTGGTGCTGAAACGAAAACGGGAACTGAAGGGCTAGCGGGGAGCGAGGGCAGCGGCGCCAGGGCCCGGGGCCGGGATGCAGGCCGCTAGAGACACGCCAAGCACAGCAGCAGCTCCATGTTAGCTGGGGAATTCTAAGAATTCGATGACCTTTTTTTTTTTTTTGGTCTGAACAAGGTCAGGTTTGCAGGATCGGCCCATGCTGCTATTTTTATTCCTAGAGACCCAGCCTGCAGCAATTCGAGCTGGTGGAAACACTCCATGGATTCTTAGTCTAAGAGCTGGCTTTGAACACAAACACACAACCCCCTTTTCCCATCAGCAGAAAAAATCAGGATGATCAGAGTCAAGTTCTTTTCTTCTTGCTTGAAACAAATAGGAGCCAAAAATCTTGATTTTCCGCAAGCCACTAGAGAAGGATGGAGAGATCCATACCTGCCTTCTGCCCACCCTGCTCCAAATGGAAAGCAAATGCTGGGTACTTACTTGCAACAGTTTGGGTAGAGCTTTCCTGAGAAGAACTCCATGCCGATGATGGCGAAGCAGTAATAGAAGATGAGCAACGTCAAACCCAGGCTGGAGAAAAGAAAGCCCAGGGTGAGCCAAACCAAGTCCACTAACCGTATGGCTTTTCTGGGATGGGAAATTGGGCTAAACAGCCAGCTCAGTACCTGGCCATCCTGGGAAACAGCTCGAACATGGTGTCCAAGACGTTCCGGTAACGTTTCTTCAGCTTAAACAGCCTGCGACAAGGGGGGGGGGGATTAACTGCATTCAAGAGGCTGTCTGGTGGAATGGCTCTGATCTTTGAAGCCATTATTAATCTGAGGCAGCAGAAGGAAGATACGATACAAGGCACATCAAGGCAGGGGTGGCCACAGCCTCGCTCATGCCTGGCCTTTCCCTGCATTATCATGAGTGTTATATTCCAAGTTCTGCGTCCACTTAGCAAGGAGTCCAGAGGAATGCCGAAGCAACCTGGTGCATTGGTGGGCTCTACTGGAAGAATGGCAAGGAGGTTATTCCAGTTCAACAGGTAGCGTAGTGAACTTTCCTAGGGTCCAAAACCCAACGTAGCTTCTTGGAGCTAGACCTAGCTTTTATGGCTTTCCCAGTCATTCCATAGATAAGAGCTGCTTTCACTGTGAGAATGAAAACTGTTTCCTTTACTGGAGCAACTTCATGTCTCACCCTGTGTCTCAGGAAGAGCATCTGAGAACTGAATAGGTGTAACCATTGGAAAAGTTCAACATTCATTCCTAATGCATTTCAATCAAAAAGAAGTTGGGTGCTGAGTGACTGAATGTAATAAGAAAATATTCTCAAGATATGATCCAATACATATTTACACAAAAAATCCTATGTTTTCTCATGACTGGTTGGGAAATTCTGGGAGAAGCCACCTTTTCTCTGTCTAAATATGCATAGAATTGGGCTGTTGGAGCGATCATTATATCATATGGTTATAATTGTTGTCGTGATGTGCCATCAAGTTGTCTTTGATTTACAGCAATCCTACAAATGAAAGCTTTCCACAATGTCCCATCCATAACAGCCCTGCTTAGCTATTTTGAAATCAAGGCAGTGGCTTCTTTGATTGAGTCAATCCATAATTGTTAGCAATAAATACCAAATAAATAAAGTTGAGCTGGGACCATTTGGGGGCAAGGCATGGGCTCTCTCGCAAAGGTTTTCCAGTTTCCAGCCCACAAACCTGGCCTCTCCGTCCAAAAGTGTCTGTGAGCCAAGTCCTCCAGCACATTTCTGCGGAAAGGCATCCTTCCAGCTCCCTTCATCCTTTGCGCTACACCTTCGACCTGCCACTCACCTGAGTAACTGCAAAGGCCGCAGAACTACAATGAAGTAGAATGGCTCCATGTTGAAAGCCAATGCCAGGAGTCCCAGGAATGCAAACAAGGTGACCGAGAAGTCAAAACTGGAAAGAGCAAGATGAAGAATTTGTGAGAATCAGTGGAGAATTTGTGGAGCTTCCACCCCAGTGACTCCAAAGCCCATCACGGTGGCATACTTACAAATTCCAGCCAGAGGACAGATACTCTACAGGCCCCAATCCAGTGATCTTTAGTAGCACTTCAATCCCATAGACTGTTGGTGCAGAGTGTCAAAGAGAAGAGGGCAGAAGGTCAAAAAAGCATCACAGATACTTTCAGGTATTCCCTTCAGGATTAAAACTGCACTGCCTGGGCCGCCTCAAGTTGACCAAGACTTAACCCAGAAGTACTTCCTGCTGGATCCTACATGGGTGGGCATGATTGGGATCGCATGCTAGGCTGATGAGCAAGTGCCATGACCTAGCAGGAGGAAACTCTTCCTTTGATCCAGCACTGATTTCAAAAGGACCAAAGACTCTACTAGGCTGAAGAAAAGGCCCATGCCATCAAATGAATTCCCTAACACTGATTTAGGAGCATTTATTTATAAAACTCCTCTCTCACCTTTCAGTAAAATTATTTTCAAAGAGGCTTGCAATTTGTTAAAAAAGTAATAAAATGGTTACCTGAAACCACCAGATTTTCTGCCAACACAGAATTCATTTTGAAGCCAAATAAAAACTGCTCTAAAAACTGCTCAAGGTCACAGAAACAAAAGTGTGTTTTTGTAAAAAAGGAATAAAGGGCCCTTCGGCAATTTGAATGTCAACACAGTCATTGTGGCACAGGCCTTTGTGAACCAGAGCCCAATGCAGAAGGAGCAGGAGTGGCTTTCGGTTGGCATGTAATGTGTGTTGTGCTGAAGTCAGCTCTGGTCCACAGACACTTATCCCTTAATTTCATTATTAATGTTTCAGAGGCTTGATTGGATTTCTTAGTTTAGCTGAAACAGACTAACAGGACTACCCCTTTGGCGCTAATTTTTACATAATGCCAGGCGCACTGATAAGGGGAGGGAATTCCATGGTCAAGGTGCCACCCCCAAAGAGGCCATGAACCTATCACAACCCTACCTGTTCTCAGAAGAAGACAGTGCCAAAAGCTAGGCCTGTTGATTGGGGAGAAATCCCTTTACTTTGCATTTTAATAAAAACCAACCTATTTGACACAGCCTGAATAAACCAGAACACTAATGTCCTTTGGTTTTTGCACCTCTCAGAATTTTGCGGTATAATTTTTGCATCAGAAGTGCACGCATTAGGGAAAACAGCATACAAAAACCCACCATTCGGAAAAATAGCATATGAAAAGACACATATTATGAAGAAATTGCTTGCAAAAATGTGCCTGTTAGGGGAAATTGTGCACAATAAGGTGTACAAATTTTAAAAAGAAATTGCTGTTGCTGAAACTGAATAGCATGAAATGATTTCTGAGAAACCACAAACACTACAGAAAGCAAAACGAACAGGTGTGTCCTTCCCTGGCTAGTCTTCTAGCAACGAGCTTAACCTGTAATAGCACTAAAGAGAAAGGACGTCCTGGCATCTTGGATCACGGGCAAACCTTTCCTGGATTGTTTCAAGCCCCGAATAGCACATGATGATCTTACTTGTAAGGAAAACTATGTAATTCCAAGGGACGTCCCGGGGAAAGATTCCGCCTGAAAAAGCAAAGAGCGCACAATCTCAGAGGCACTGAAATGACCCAGGAGAGAAGCGGTGGGTGGTCAGCAGGAAGAAGGGGCCCCAACACATACCTCGGAGCGTGAAGGTTTCCACGAGGATCCAGAGGCCGTTCACTGCCACCAAGGTATCTGCAGGACCCAACAAAAACATCAAGGTAAAGACGTAGCTCTGCATGGGCTATTCAGAGGCAAGCCCATGGCTAGGGATGTTTTGCATGTGAGTCAAGAGCCATTCCTTATTTCAAACAGTTTTTTCATACTGCTTTTCGGCTGGAAAGGGTCGCAGAGCAGTTTCCACAGCAAACAAGACCTCCCTGTCCCCCACCAGCTTGCCATCCGGAAACACGCCACAAAAGCAGAGGGGGGAGGAATTCTGCCTGCAATGCAGCCTCCTCCAGATGCGTAGGACGAAAGTGAGAGCTACTAGCCCAAAGAGTATTCTGGGGGTCAAGGTCTCAATCCCGCCCCATTCTTTGGGCATCTTTTTTAGTAAGTTGGAGAGCCAGTGTGGTGTGGCAGTTAGAAGACTGGACTGGAGACCTGGGACATCTGGGTTCTACCCTCCACTCAGCCATGCAGCTCCCTGGGTGACCCTGGGCCAGTCACAGACTCAGCCTCTCCTCCCTTGCAGGGCTGTTGTTGCGAGGGTAAAATGGAGCAGAGGAGGACTGTCTAAGCTGCCTTCAGTTCCCCCCAAGAGGGGGAAAGGCAGAACTAAAAAATCTAATGCAGTAACTTTGGCACAAGAAAAAAAGGGGGCCCAGATAAACACACACACGCACTAAGCTGGAAAAAACCAAAAACCAAGCACCCCCCTGCAGCCCCCGCTCAGGCCCTCCTTCACAGGGGTGTTTTGCCAAGAAGCTGACCCCTTGCATTAGCCCTGCAGAAGGCACACAGAGCTAGTTGAGCTTTTTGTGGGTTCCCAAAGACCCATCCTGGAAGCTCCGGCAGGTTGCAGGTCTCTAGTTTACCTGGAGAACGATCCTTTAGGGACAGCAAACAAGCAGAAGCTGGAAGGCAGCTAAACAGGCAGAACTGAGAGAGCCTGCAACTTACACATGGTGTACTGGAAGGTCCGGGAATTCACCAGAATGTTGATGCCTGTCGGAGGAAAGAAGCACAAAGCAAGCTGTGTTAACCCTCCGAGGCCCTAACCGGAAAGCTGCCCTTCCGACTCTTCTCTGCAATGCCCCATCAAGGCACGGGGCTTTTCCAGCACACCAGTTTTTTTAAAACTAACTGCACTGAGCAGCTGGTTAGACCTGAAGGAGAACATGAAAGCATTTCAAGAGGAGAAGGACTGACTCCATATAAGAAGTCGCAGTCTTGCATTTTCAGAAGCGGAGCAGGGCTGTATTTTCAGAAGCAGGGCTGTGACAGGACATTTTGGGGCTGTTTGTACCCATGGTGGCCATGAGTTGGAGATGATGTGATGTCACATCAAACAACAACAAGGCATCTTGATCTACTGCAGTGCCGATACCAAAGGGCAGGTTTGCACAGTTCCTTTGTTTCCCCACCTAATGCATGTTGGTCCTGCGTCAGTTCATTTCCATCACATCCCGCATCACAGGCGTCTTGCCACGTTCTCCAAACTGAGCAAGGGAAACCCACCAACACCCAAGTTCTGAGGTGCTTTGGAAGCCATCTCCTCCATCCACTTCGCCAAGTTCGGATGACGCAGCCACACATAAATATGGGAATCGGGCTGCAGGCAACCAGCATGCAAAGAGCAGGGAGAAGCCACGGTGGCATCTTTTCCTTCCTTGAATGTGTGAACCTGGTCAAAGAGTCTTGTGACACCTTAAAGGCTAACAAATGTATTCTAGAGAAGTTGGAATAGCATGCAGACTAGAGCCTATTTCTAGACCTGATTTATATTTAAAGATATATTTTATAATATAAATAAATTATAATATATTTATATTATATATGAATATATAATAACATTTTACATTGTTACTTATTTTATATTGTTATTTTTATATTGTTATTTTTGTATTTTACTTCATGTTGTGAGCCGCCCCGAGGCTTCAGCGAATGGGGCGGCATAGAAATGTTGTAGTTAATAAATAAATAAATAAATAAATAAATAAATAAAAACATAAATATAAATGAATATGTAGATATAGAATATAGAATTTTTATATTTATATCGATGTTATTTATCTTTATATTATTTATGTATACATGCTATTTATAGACCCTGATGCTGGAAACGATGGGAGGCAAAAGGAGAAGGGGATGGCAGAGGTTGAGGTGGCTGGATTTGGCCACTGGAGAGGTGGGTGTGGGCTTGGGTGAACTGCTGGAGATGGTACAGGACAGGAGAACCTGGAGGAATGTTGTCTGTGGGGTTGTGAAGAGTCAGGCACGACTTTGTGACTGAACAACAACAACACAGAGCCTATTTCATCAAAGACATGGGATGTTATGCAGATTTTCCGATTTATATACAAAGGGTACCAGGAGTTTGTGTTATCAGCAGCACAGTGAATGACCACTATTCATACTCTGAACGACGCTTTCTTGAATTAATTTCCTTCTTACAGTTGACCATTAATTGACCTGCTTACAGCTCTTCTCCCCAGCCCCATCGCACTATGCGTATAAAATGGAAACTCTCCATAATGCTTCCTGCCTCTGCCGAAGACACATCTCCAGGCCGCAAACACTTATGCCAGAATAAATCCGGTGGCCCTCGAGCTGCCGCAGGACTCCTAAACGATAGTCTCTGCTGCCTTCTCTGGGCGAGAAGGTTGTGGGGCCATCCTTTGAAAAGAAAAAGAACCCTGTGGGGCCGAAGGGAGACACTGGATGAAGGACAAGGCACTACCTTTAAAAATCAGGAACGCCGTCTGTGGAAGGTCATCGAACCAGTGCTCGCGGTTCCTTTTCGCCTGCAAATGGAACAGGACGTGACGCAGTCTCAGTTCAGGAGGGCTCATTTTCACTGGGAGAGTATTTACAGCACAGAACAAAAGCAAAACGAGCAGGTGGCCCTTCCAGAAGATCCTTCCGCTCCCACGTCCAACCTCTCCTTTACCAGTGCCCCCCGGTCCGCATTCTAGCCCGCCACCCCTAAATCCAGGAACCCTCCTCGCACTCACGACTTACCTTCCACTTCAAGCCAACAACTTCATAGAAATTGTACATATCCTTCAGACTGAAAGAGAAGAGCATTCTCCATGAGAAGGTGGATTTTATCAAGGTTATGAGGGTCCCCAATTCAAAGGTGTGCTGACCTTGACCGATGCTGTCTGAGGCTCTTGGGCAAGGCTTTGTGAGGGTCCTCCATGCTCACCCCACAGACAACCTTGGGAGGTGCAGGGGCCACTCTCCCTCTTGACCACCTGCCTGCAGTCTCCCTCCCCCAGCCCCCACAGCAGCAAAAAATAAAATAACAAAATAAAATTCCATTAAGTTATATTTAATAACTTGAATGCACATTTACACAGACACACACAGTACTATTTTATTTATTTAAAGCTTTTCTATCCTGTCCCCTACAAATGTCTCAGGACGGCTTACAATAAATACCAGGGAGCAGCAAAACCCACTTTTTAAATGCAACTTTTTGAAAATGTTGCCATGCTCTAGAGTGGAGCTACAGGGCCCTGGAGTGCTTATTTGATCCAGGATTGGAGACCTGGAAGGGTCTGGGCAGAGCCTGGAGCCCAGAGAGCTGTGGGAGGTGAGGACTCCGGAGCGGCTGACTGCGGCAACATGGCTGGGAAGGGGATCCCGATGGGCTGGACATGTCCTCACACACACCCTGTTGGGTGACATCCGAGAAGTGTGGGGGAAAGAACCAGAAATCAGAAGCAAAGCCGTGAGAGTGGATTCTGTGGTTTCTGCCTTGAAGCTTCATCCTCAGGCATCCCAGAAGCTGTGCTTGAAGCCGCCAGCTTCCTGGAATACTCCAAAAATGGGTTATGGGACCCTAGCACTCTCTATCCCTTCTCTCCCGCCCCAGGGAAGAAAGAAAGACAGAGCTCCCCACCTGAGGAAAGGCGTATTGCTTTGATTCAGTGCTTTGAACGTCAGGTGGCGGTCCCTTGCGCTCATCCGAGGTTTGTAAAACTGCATCAGCCCATCGAACTGCTTGAAGGAGATCCCCGAGGGCCTCTAGAAACGAGAATGATTCACCCTGGGCTGTGCAGGAAAAGCACCACAAGCAGCCTCTCCCAGACACTTCTCCGTCTGCCAAACCGCTGGGAAGAAAGGGCAGGTTCCGAGGTGGCTCTGCCCAAGACCTCCAAGTTCAGAATTGGGTCTGGACACAATTGCACCCCTCCGAAGAGCCCACTCCCCGAGTTCGGTGTGCCCATCCACCCCCCGCAATGCAACGCACCATGCATTAGCCATAAGGGGAACACAAAATGTGTCAACAGACAATTTCTGAGTTCTGCAGAACATTTTTTGAGTTCTGCAAAAAGTGCAGATATTTATTTATTACATTTATATCCCACCTTTTTCTTTTTCTGTAAAGAACTCAAAGCGGCTTACCGCATTCTCCTCTCGCTGCTCTCAGTCTCATCCCCACACCAACCACCTGGTGAGGCACTCTGGGCTGAGAGTCTGCAACTGGCCCGAAGTGACCCAGTGGGTTTCATGGCTGAGGGGGACTAGAACCCGGATCGCCCGAGTCCCAGTCCAACACTGTAACCACCACACCACTAGATGGCCCCAGAGGCCCTTTCTGACTCGCACTGAACGGCACCACAAGAAGCAACCAAGAAAAGGGTTGGCTTTTTTTCTTTTTTCTTTCCCTAACTTTATGCAAATATGGAAAATTTAAAAAGCACTGACCAAAACTGTGCATTTTCCCCACAGGTTAAAGCATCAAAACATACCTTGTGGGGAGTTTTACACATTTTCAGGAATTTGTGAATTTCCCTGCAAATGCATTTGTGCAAACTGAATGTGCAAGGAAGCAAAGGCACCTGGAAATCTATGAAAGAAAGAAGGAATGGATCCTGTAGTGTTTATACATCCCCAACTGCCGCCATGCCTGGGGGAAACCTGCCCATTCTTTTGGCAAGCGAACCACCAATTCCGGTAGCTCCAGGTGCGCTGGAGGCCGGCAGTTCCTACCCCAGACCTGGCCAAAGAAAACAGCAGAGTGGAAGTTCTCTCTTGGCTGAGTAAACTGCATCTTCTCATCTTTAAAGCTGGAAGAAATGAGGGCATATGTAGCAATCTTGTGCTTTTGGGAGAGCCCTACGTAACAACATCATTTCAACTTAGGGATGGGCTACAGTTCAGAGGAAATGCACCTCATTTGCATGCAGAATGCTGTAGGTTTGCCTCCGGCATCTCCAGTTGCAAAAGTCAGGTAGCAAGTGGCCACAGGGGCCCTAAAAAGGGAGACAGGACTTTTTGAGTTGTGGTACCCCATTTCTGGAACTCCCTTTCTAGAGAGATTTGCCCGGCACTGTCCTTAATATTCAGCAAGATGGGTAGAAACGTCTTTTTTCAAAAATGTAAGTAAGTCCAGATGTTGTAATGCCACTGTTGGGTTCTGAAAAGAGCCCGTGGTCCCCCGTGGCTGAAGTGCTGGACTGGGACTTGGGGGATCTGGGTTCTAGTCCTGACTCAGCCAAGCTCACTGGGTGTCTTTGGGCAATTGAAATGCTGCTGCAGGCAGGGGTATCTCGCCACCTCCCTACCTCACAGGGTTGTTGTGACGATAAAAGGGAGAGAAGGAAGAGGATGTTAGCTGGGGTTCCTTAGAAGAAGAAAAAAGGCAGGGTAAAAAGATGGTAAAAGACCATTCAGGTCATGGGTGTGATTTTGCTTTTTACAATTTTCATTGTCCACCTACATGTTAGTGACTGTTTTATATTTGTGGCTTCAATGATGTCATTGGTTCCACTTATTTATTTATAAAATCTGTACGCCGTCCAATTACTTGCGTCTCTGGATGGCTTACAACATAGATAAACTGACAATCCACTCTGGCTGCAAATTAATAAAATACAACAATAAAATTCAGTGCTTAAACATATTAAAATATTGATTAAATAAAAAGGTCTTGACCTGGTGCCGAAAAACGTATAATGAC